GGCTTTCCTTTTCTTTTTTTTTTTTTTTTTTTTTTTTTTTTTTTTTGCAACTACTCGGCGCAATAGAGGCGGAGTGGTTCCGGTCTTTTTCTTTATTTTCCTCAGTATATTTTTGAGATGTCTCGTCTACGTGGTTTTATATTCTACTAGAAAAGTCCGTAGCCGGGGCTGTGCACAATTGTCTTGATTATATATTTTTCTTGTTTTTTTTTTTTTTTTAGAAGATATTATGTACATTATTATAATATCACAACCGACATGCTTATCGTAGAGACAACGCATAATGCGACATAAATAGTTCGTGCCACCCGAAACTGCCAAACGAGACGCCTCCAAATGCTTCCCCAGCCAGTTCTAGCTAGGTAATACAGAGAGAAAAATAATACATCGTACTCAGATCACTGTGGACCAGATTAATATATACATAGAGTAAGGAAAAGAGGGAAGTAGCTGACATGTTGTCAGGAAAGAAAGTATTTATGCCCGAGCAGACGGCCGAGCTTTCCAATGTGGCCGATTTAAGTTGACTTGAGGATGCCTGCTCCCCGGGGGAGGATCGTGAAAGTCGCTGTATAGACCCGACCCAACGTCAACTAGAATAGCTTTCTGAGGTTGTGCTGATGGGGAACTGGCAGGCTTGGCACGGCTAACCCAGGATCGTGTATTTGATAACGATCCGGCAGCGGATTTAGCCCTAGTAACCTCTTTGATGATATCCCGAAGTTCTCGATCATCTTTGGTGATCTGGGCTCTGATAAATGCAGGGTCGTTTGCGGACTGGAGAGTGGACATCACGGGCTCCCGTGGCGTGTACGTATAGTTCTGAGGAGAGGGAGGGAAAATCGGGGTAATGGAGGGATCTAGAGAAGCTGCTTCATTCTTGTCCAAAAGTTGGACGATATCAAGGCTTTCACCGTGAGGAATTTTGTGTGGGTGTGAAGGAGTGACGCAATCCATATCCACTTCTTTCCGAAGAACGTGGTCAATATCAACCGCCGAGAAGTAGGCGCAGGATTGAGGGAGGTCGTTGATGCCAACTTGCTGCGAGAACATAGCACGAGTCCAAACATTGGCTACCTGTAGAGCCAGAGCAGCCCGATATTTGTCCTCGTCTTTAACAAGGTACCTGATTTCGTCATGGACAGTGATCGCTAGACGAGCAGCGATGTTAAAGCGCCGGATTAAATAGTCCATGGCAATAATGAGGAGGTGGAGATAATCAACACCGGAAGACTGAATTGCCCAGTTGATCCGCGATGTCATGAAGCTGCCTCGGTTGATAAAGCGCCGCATCAGCGCCTCGGTGATGCCAGCACCTAATGTAGGTGTTCTTGGTCTCTCTTGGTCAGCGAACTCTTCTAGCTTATTGAAAACAAAAGACTCCGTGCCGCCCCGCCAAAAAGGACTACCGTTCAAGATGCGACGGGTGGTACGTGCACCCTTCGTCTCTTGATATAATTTGCTTGCAACTTCCTGAGTTTGCTTTTCGGACATGGAAGGGTTGAACTGGCGGAGCAGCGAAGCAGCAAATTTAACGCCAGCTCCGTAGATTCGGCCATAGTTGAAAACTTTGGCGTCGTTGCGTGAAATCCCTAGAATTTGGGCGGTGCGTGAATGCATGTCCGTTCCGGCTGCTTTGGAACCTTCCAGAGTCATGAAACCGATCGCATTGCCGCCGTGAATTTGAAATTGAGCATCGCCTATGAGACTCGCAATCCAAAGCTCCTGTGAGTCAACGTCTGCACCAACGAAAACATAACCGGGTGGCGCTTTGATCATAGCTTTGAGCTCTGATCCAACACGATTTCCCTTAGCATTACTTGCAGTAAGCCATGTATTTTCCACAGCTCGTCGCGTTATAGTACCCATTGGGATGATCTGAGGCAAAATGAACCCTATTCTGCTCTTTGGGCTACCTGATTGAGAAACTTGCACCTCATCCTCGTAGACAACCATCTGACCCATGATCCGGTCACGAGCGCTAATCCAGTATGAGCAGGAGGCATTCATCTCTAAAGCTTCCTTGGCGAGCGCAAATTGCGAAGATAGAGTCCCACGTTCAAAATACTGCATATATCCTTTAGCCAAGGGGTTGACACACCGGGCTTGCGGCCCATCCTTATGTGGAAGCTTAAAGTAGACATGTCTTCTGTCGTCCCGCAATTCCACCATCTTCTCTTCCGCCATATCGCAGATCACTACAGGCTGGTTCTCGAATTTCTTAACCTGATCACGTGGAACCTTGAACGTCCAGCCAAACTTATCGGACCATGTTAATGGATATCCATCCCATGATAGCTTGAGCAATATAGGCGCGGTCCGACTTCGCACGGTAAGGTTGATGTCGGCTGTGCTTGTGGGAAAGAGATCTTTATACCACCGTGGCATACCCGGCTTCTTCTGCCTTGCAGCTGGCCGAGGAAGGTCTCCCTTCTTTTTGCCCTTCACCATTTTGATCTCCTGACCAGACCAATCCAGCTGTCGTAGCCAAGGGTCATTCATATACACATCCGGTTGGTCTTTGACCTTCAAAGCCTCGTCACATAACTCCACTAATTTTCTTTGTACGTCATCAAGTCGTTGGTGGTAGGTGGCTTCAGCATTTGTGATATACTCCTTCCACGTCTCATTGACTGGCAAAATAACTGAGGAAAGATGCCTGAGTGCCCCGAAGCTGACCGGATGGGGGCATACATCGAGAAAGTTTGGGAAAACCTTTTTATATACGCGATGAGTGATAGCGACATCTGCAGCACAGTAATCGAGTAGTTCCTCTAGCTTTGCCAGAATTCCTTCTCTTTCAAGCTCACCAAAATGATCTCGCTGTGCCTTGTCGATTGTAACATCACAATGGAATTTGGCGACATCACGGAGAGAGTTCACAGAGCTCCTTCCCACCCATAGTTCTTCTTCCTCATCACTGAGCATTTTGCTTTCAATAAGAGCTGCAAGCTCCACAGAATTGTTCTCATTCGCAATTTTATCCCTCAAGTCTCTGTTCTTCTTGTGACGCATCCAAGTAGGCCTCTGTTGGGAACACATCCCGTTCACAGCCACATGGAGCGACATCGTGTCGAGGAAAAAGTTACGAGTTTGCTTCATACCATATTCTTCTAAAACACGGGCCCGGTCATAGCCGATGTTGTGGCCGACGACAATCCGCGGCTGTGATGGGTCCCCTAGCGGTACGAGCTGGGTTTTGTTGTCCGACTCTCCCAGCAGCCACGGCGATAGCCACGCATACCAAGCTGTAGGACTAACAGCACAAGCCATTACGGCAAATGGGTTTTCTTTCCACATAACCTCCGTATCAAAAGTTAACATTGATTCGTTCGGGGCGTCCACGGGTTCCCAAGTGCCGTCACTATTATACTTCGTCCAACCACTGCGATTGATCCATTTGCGCGGAATGCTCGGAGAACTGACTTTGATATAGTCCTTAGCGTAGGTAAGATATGGTTCCGATGAGTCCATGCCCAGCTTGAAGAAATGCTCATCCAGAGTCTGTCCCTGGAGGGGCGGCATATCAAATGCTACTGGCTCTGTGGCATCTTGAGACTTGCCAAGCAGGTCATGCCTGGAGAGATGTTCTTTCGACAGCGCAACCAATTCTGGGTTGGGAGGATCCGACTTGACTGGAAAAACTTGGGAAAAAATATGATCACTCAATTGTTGGACTCCGATCTCATTGAACCGAGCCGTTGCCGGAACTGCGAAATTAGCATCTGCGCTTTGTTGGTCGTCACTTGTGGAAGAATGGGGAAATTACCTGAAAGAGATTCCCGCTTCGGTTCTTCATTACTTTCTTGAGTCGGGACTTGTGCAAAATAATACCGGGTTAGTGATAAAGGCCATGGCCGGGCAAGGAGTGGCAGGCGCAATTTTTGCGAACAGGAGCGTATAACACCCCTGGAGTAAGGAGCACAAGAGTGACTCCAAATCATCTTAGGTCTTGTGAAAGGTTAGTGTAAATAGGCCCATGGCATGGTGTGTTGATGTTCGCAGCCGGTGCTGCGCGAAGCTGATGGTTGCGAAGGGCGATTTTCCTTCTTTGGCATTCGTTTTGTACATTCTTTCCTATCGCGCTATCGCCGTCATGATGATACACGGACGGAACATACTATCTTCCGCATCTATCTGACCGCCTACTAGTATAGGAGATATTATCTGCTATCATCAGGTGATTGATGATTACCCGGCAATAAACCCGGCCGCAGATCACCGCCACTATCGATTGCTTATCCTCAAGACTGTCCATCTCACTTGCGCCTGACGCATGTCTTATATGTGATATGTGATATTCTCACACAGAATATCCGCCAGTGTTTCATCTCTACTCTGTATATGTCTAGAAATCACACATTTACGATCGGTATTCCCTCCCTAAGTCAGTACTTACGACAATTCGGCTTGCCTTTGGCTCGTTTTGACAGTAATCCTTTCTTTCCCCTTCGATACCTTCGAGTGCCATGGATAGAAATTCGTCTATTCATACCCAGGTCCATGCTGGCTCTCAATTAACACCTCATCGCCGACGATCTTCTGATCATACCGAGCCTTTAGACTCCCGAGGCGAGGAACGAAAACGCCGCCGTTTGAGTAACGTTAATACAGCAACCGCGGGTACTCGTCCCACCTTAGAACAACACAGAGACAATGACATTGAATCTATTGATCTGACAGAGGTTGAGGGTTCTTCAGCATTGTCAAAGGTTCTGGCGAAACAACGGGAGGACGCTGTTAAGGCCCAGCAATCCGTTGAGCACGAAAAGGGTCGGTCGATCTTAAATTCATACAAATGCCCCGTGTGTATGGACACACCGGAGGATGCGACCAGCACAGTGTGCGGTATGTGTTACACTCGAACGTTGCAGCTTCCTCTTGCTGACCGTCAATAGGGCATCTTTTCTGTCACAAATGTATCATCGATACATTAAAATTTAGCGAAGAACAGAGAGCTGATAGCACAACTGTCAAAGGTCCTCGAGGAACCTGCCCCGTGTGCAGAAAACCTCTTGCGCGGAATGATGCCTCAGGCAACAAAAGGAATCTTGTTCCTTTACAACTTAAGCTTGTCACGAAGAAAAGGAATACCGCTGTGCCAAATAGTGGATAACTGCCGTATACCGCCTTCGTCATGTGCATAACGTTAAACAACATTGTCCTGACATCGATGCGAAATGCTGAACGAATGTCTTAAGCATGACCGATATGGTGGAGCGTTATCTGGACACTCAGAAGACTCCCACGGGGTCGAGGCATCGCCGACTACGTTGGATATCCCTCACCCATCCATGGCCCCCATCATAAACCGGGACTTTGTCATATGGAACCTCATATGAACCTTTCGATATACCGAGCCAAGCCGCCAGAGAGTTGGCTACCATGACATTCGAATTTGGAGAGCATATTCCTCACAGCTTTCTGGAAAGGGCAAGGAGAGGTGGCGCTAAGCAGGACATAGCTGGCATACCATTTGCCTCTGCGCGACGCTCTTAATGGTTAGATAACGATCGTCTTACTACATATGTTACACGAGCTATTAATGAATTATGAATGGCATGAGCGATATTGTACTTGTCTGTTTCCAAGTCTCATGCATTAAAATGTGCCGTTTCACACAGTCTCCCTCGGTGTGGTGTAGACCCTGGTCGGTAATCTAATGATAGCGTTTTCCTCCCGTACAATCCATCTCGGACTCTTTCTCCACGCCAAGCTACAATTGACAGTAATAATACTGCAATGTATATGTCTATTATTGGTTTTTGAAGGTCTACGCTAAATTTAGGTTATGCCAAGAAAAATGTCAACCGCAGCTAGACTGAAAAAGCATAAATCTCCTTGATTCATGAAAGAAGGAACTCGGCATTTATTCCCACTTCACGGAGAACTTATAAAGCCCCTGAACAATATCGTTATTCATTATATAAGAAACGATAGTTAGTTAGGCGCCGCTCAAGCATCTAGTTATCGTTGCGGTCTATGCCCTTATAGCTTCACAGTACCTAGCGGACAACCTAACTACTTTTTGCAAACGTCATACTCCACCGCGCAATGATTTCCCCTCAACCTGCGTCAGATTTCGCGTACTGAGAAGGCGTACATGTCGCTCAATATTCATCTTACGCATGGAATAAGAGCCATTGACCGTGCATTCTGCCCTTCAATCAATCGTCTGCTCTTTCCCCATCTGCAAGAGTAGTGCAACTCTCCTTGCAGCGACTATCTGTTTACGCTCTAGCGTCAATGTTTCCGCACTGATCTTTTCCTGTTCTTTCTTTTTTCTCTATAGCCGAGACATACAAATCCCCTTCGTCAAAATGAGTAGGGACTCACTAGAGCGTACGCAAACATCGGAGCTGCCATCCAATTCTCATGATATTGAGGCGCATCCCCAGGGTTCTCCAACCAACGTGGAGCCACCCGGCCTTGAATCATTTCCCACGGTCACTAAGGCACCCTCTCATGATACGGTCAGAAATCGGGCGCGTCGGTCAAACACGGCGCGCTCGTATCATCCTGACAATGTCACCCATGACCCCAATTGGCACCCTGGCACGGAGCCAGGTATAGATCCGACTAGACCACTGCCGCCTTATAACGCGGAATGGGCAACTGCTGTGCCAAGCGATCTTTTTACGAGGTGTGAAATAATCGTTGTGGACTTCTCCCAGAATGAGATGCGGCAGTATGAGCTGGACAACGACACGTTGGAGCAATTCCTCGCGAGGGAGAGGGAGCCTTGGGTGCAATGCAGATGGATTAACGTCAATGGCCTCAGCTGGGATGTAATTAGGGTCCTGGGAAATCAGAAGGGCATACACAGACTTGCCATCGAGGATTTGATTAACACAACAAACCGTACCAAAGTCGATTGGTATTCGGACCATGCATATATAGTGCTCACTTTACAGAAATTAGTCCGAATCTATGAAGAAACTAGCGACTCAGATGAGGAGTCTGATGACGGACAGGGCCATTGGCCAAACCACCGGAGGAGCTCGGCGGCGAGCAGCAAGAGTGTGTCTCTGAAGCGAGCAACTACACTGAGTCTCATCACGGAGGCACTGAAAGATCTTTTCAGATTGAAATCAGCAAAGAAAGTCTCGAGTAATGCGCCTACTGTAGGACATAATATCCGATCTTCTGTGAAGAAGGCCGATTCAAAAAATGCGTTTAACAATACATCAGATGCTGGGCGACCTGCTCGCAGCATGCAGCGGTACCGAGGTGGACCAAATGAAGATCGCATCGAATTCATGGAACGGCATGCTGTTTTAGCAGCAAAGGGTCTGGGTGTCGCTCTAGAACAAGTATCGATCTTTTTACATGCAGACAATACGGTGACATCCTTTTTTGAGACAAGTGCCGACGATATTGAATCTCCTATCGTGAAACGACTGACTTCTCCTGAGACTATTCTGCGTCAATCTTGTGATGCCAGCATGCTTGTGCAAGCCATTTTGGATGCTATAATCGACCTTGCAATCCCAGTGACCACAGCCTACCAAGATGCGATTGGTGACCTAGAACTTGACGTCTTGACCGATCCCGATATCGACCAGTCCAAGGAACTCTATATTCTAACGTCTGAGATTTCGATTCTTCGAACCTCTATGCAGCCTATCGTGACTATCATCAACGCTCTCCGGGATCATCGTTCTGAGCCTATCAGCACCCCCGGCCTCGGTGTTTTGAAGGGTTACTTCGGCCAATCGAGCACCTCAGACGCAGCGCCATATATTGGAACTGCCACCCCGAATCTTAAGAGTGTCGGCGGCTCTAGCGTATCCATCAGCACCTTGTGCCATACGTACTTGGGCGATGCCCTTGACCATTGCATTACAATAGTCGAGGGATATGACCAGATGAGACGGGCTGCTGACAACATGATCGATCTGATTTTTAACACAATCGGTATGCATTGGACTCCAAAAATTAATGCCACCGTGACTAATGATGTTTCTTTTCCACACTTAGGTGCATACCAAAACGAAAGCATGAAGCAACTTACCCTTGTATCTTGCTTCTTCCTCCCTCTCACTTTCCTGTCGGTTAGTATCCATGTTTCATCTACAACTTAAAGCGACTGCCATTGACTGCATTCTAGGGCTATTTTGGCATGAATTTCGAAAGTTTCGAGGGGATTAAGCACAGCGATGCGTATGTGGAAAAACCTATTTTCTCCATAGCTTGCGACATACTAACCAATTTTATCAGATACTTTTGGCAAATTGCGTGTCCTTTCGTATTTGCCATCACTATATTCCTTATGTAACTACCCACGCCCCCAAGTTCAGTAGCACATATGCTAACTCTAGACTCTAGGCGCGACAAGATCGGACGCTGGATGGCGCTACTGGCTCAGAGACGTCTAATCACCAGCTCGAGAAAGAGACGAAAGCGCAATGCTATAAAGAGAAGATGACAGCTACACAGCAGCGATTGACCGATCTATTATATAATTCAGTGTACATGACTAGAGCTGGGAGGGATGACTTAGATATACATAATTATATATAGTACAGTTAGATCAGTCTCCTACATCTGTACTACAAACTCTTCCGCTTGAAAGCCATGTAAGCTTTCCAGGGCAGTTTCCAATCCGAGCGAAGAAGCTCAGGTTTAAAGATATCAAAATCCACACCCTGCAGCCTATCCAGCCAAAGCCGAGTTCCAACTGCAGGCATAAAGACCCCAAAAGCACGATTCACTTCATCCAATGGCGACTCCTGCCTCTGATCCCCAGATATCTCATACTCATGCCCCTCCTCTCCCTGATGCTCAAACTCATGCCCCACATCCTGCCCAGTACGCAAATTCCCTAGCATCTGCTGTACCGTAATCAAATGATCACTCGCCCGAGTCGCAACTGTAAACACCGCATCCCGTAGTCCGGGCGCCTCAGCCCCGAGCCGAAAAACCTCCTCCTCCTTTACCCCCGCCTGCATCATAACATCCAACGGAAGCATCACAGCCCCCTGCCTCGCACTCCCCCCACCAGCCTGACCTCCCTGCCCACCTGTCATCGCACCAGGAAACGCCACCAATGGCAACCCCTTCAAAACCGCCGTAATCCCCACCGCCTTCCCAACATGTGATGCAACATGATCCGCCGTAACGGACGCCATCGGCAACGCCGACAATGTCAAATACATGAGCGTCGAATACGTATTCTCAGCGTAGGTCTCCAGCGCCGCGATGTCCGGGTACGGGTCATTTGTGAGGCCGCGTTCGCGGGCGTTGATAAGCCGCGTCAGCCAGCCTTTGCTGATTCGGGCGCGGCCGTCGGTGCGCTCGTGGAGGTCGGATATGGCGGCAGATAGGAGGATCGCAATGGGTTCTTTTGGAGGGCTGCCGGCGAGTATTTTAGAGATGGATTCGCGCCAGAATTGGAGGCGCATTAGGCCGATTGTGTGGCTGCTTGTTGTTTCGGGGATGAGAGACAGGGAGACGTTTAGGGCGCGAAGGGCGAGATAGAATGGTTGCGCGGGGCGCGGGATGAAGGTGTGCAGGGTGTAGGAAGGGCGGTCATATTTGCTGGGTTGGGTTTTTGTTAGTTTGGAGTTTTTGGGGAGATGGTGAGGAGGGGCGTTACATGAGGAGGTCGGAGCAGTATTTTTGGGCTGCTTGGATTTCGGAGGCGGATGCTCCTGTTGTGGGAGTTTGGACTGGTTTGGTATTGCTGAGGGTTCGTTTTTGGGAGGTTTGGAGGTGTCGGTGGGGTTGCGAGAGGCGGTTTAGTTGCCGGGTTGTGCGTGAGGGTTTGATCATGGCTGTTGGTGGTGTGTTGATGTGGTTGATTTGAAGTTGGCGGTGGTTGGTTGGGGTTGATCTAGAAAGTCTTGGAGAGAGAGGAATTGCATCGGGGGTGCTTTATGCTTTATCTAAGGTAGACCTGTGATAAGCAGTGAGTATATTAAGGGAATAATTGAAGTAGAAGAGAGAGGGATATACTTTGCCCCAGCGCAGGATCAATGAGAATTGTTGTAAGAGAAATGTCCGACAATTTTGCCCTTTTGGGACAGCAGAAAATGACGTCGGCCCGTGAGTTCGCGTATCTCCGGCGCGTCCTCCGCGCCAATCATCCATGCCGATTATTAACTGTGCTGCTTTAACGGTTCTGAGACTCTTGACACGACTCATCTCCAGCTGACTGAAGGGTTGATTGCTACATGATGGAGCCGGGGGATATTAATGACCGCCCCTTGAAAAAGAGACGCTTTTTCGTCGAAGAGGAGGACATCAAGCAGTACCCCATTGACTCTACACCTGCATCCCTTGACGCGTCTACACCTCTCTCTTCTCACGATAACCAGCCCTCGAAGGTTCGGTCTCAAGATACGCAGAATGGCGACATAATATCTCCAGGAGAAAGAGAGGGGGAAGGCCGAACGCATGACGATGACCAACAAAGCAAGAACTATACTTTACAACGAGAACGAGAAGCAGAGATTTCTGGATATGACATAGGACAGGATACACCTATCACGCAAAATGGCGAGATACCAGAAAATCAGAAGGAAAGTGTGACTGCGGAGAACACATCACCGCAGGGAGTCGCAGACGGATTTGACACGGAGGCCTTCATTAGCATCGTCGGGGAGCGTCTCGCACTAGACGCGATACGCAAGATTCGGAACGTGGCCGGTGATGATCTAGAGAGGGCGATTAATGTCTATTTCGATGGGTCGTGGAAAACTTTAATTGGTGGCGCGAGAAACCAAACCACGTTGACGTCCCAACAAACGCTGTCCACGCGATCTACACCTGCTAGCCAGTTGTCTCGACAAGGGAATGGGCTAGGGAGGAATGGGAGTAGTGCCCCGCCTGAAGTTGCACCACGACGCACCTCCCAGCCCTCGCTAAGATACATCGGTGCTTTCGGCGTAGGAGCATGGGCGACTCGGAGTGGTGCGGGTTTGATCAAACATGGCGATCGTGTAAACATTGAGCGTGCCAGGTCTCAGCCAGTTTCGAAACGTGGTCGCGGAGGGAGGATTTTTACTAATAGCAGGGGAGACGTTTTAACTCGTTTCACAAATCAGTTGGGCCAAGAAATTGGCAGGCTGCCTCAGGAAACAGCAGGATGGGTGTCCACTTTGATTGACCAAAAGGTCTGTAAACTCGAGGGAGTTTGTGTATTTGCGCCGGACAGAGTCCGGGTGAACGACACAATATATCTGCAGCTATGGTGCTACTTGCGCATAGAGGCTTTCCAATCCGGAATACTCGATAGCTCAATTGATGATAATAGGTCGATAAGTATCTTTGAAGAGAAAGAAAGTACTGAGGAGAAGCGGCTACGTCTTCGCCAGGTCGCCCTGGTGAAACTCTTCGATGAGATTGGCCTGCAACCCACCTCCGCAAACGACATGACTCTGAAACACAAAAAGGACGGTTTGCTGCGTGCAGTGGAGATAGCTGAGCAGTACGACAAAAGCAAAAAGGAGAACAAATCGAACGATTCGTCCGAAGATGAAGAGTCCGCAGAACTAGAGGAAGATCAACTTGATACGCTTTACAAGAAGGCCCAGTCTTTCGACTTCAGTATGCCGGAGGCAGAACCCCCACCGACATTCTCTCTGAAGCTTCGAAGGTATCAGAAACAAGCACTTCACTGGATGCTAGCAAAGGAGAAGGATAACAAGTCCACTAGAGGTCGATCGATGAACCCGCTGTGGGAAGAATATGCATGGCCAACGAAAGACGTCGAGGATAACAGCCTTCCGAGTATTGATGGACTCGATCATTTCTACGTCAACCCGTATTCCGGAGAGCTTAGTATCGAGTTTCCAGCACAAGAACAGCATTGCCTTGGTGGCATCTTAGCTGACGAAATGGGCTTGGGTAAAACTATCGAGATGCTTAGTCTGGTCCACTCGCATAGGAATGTTCCTCCCAGCCAAGCAGCGGATGGTCCAAGTTCCATAAACGATTTAGCAAGATTACCTTCCTCTTCCTCTAGCGTGGTCGCTGCCCCATACACAACTCTTGTTGTTGCTCCCACCTCCCTTCTCTCGCAGTGGGAAAGTGAAGCTCTGAAGGCTTCCGAATCAGGCACGATGAAGGTTCTGATGTACTATGGTAATGAGAAATCTGTGAACCTCAGAGACTTGTGCGCGACAGGTAACCCTAAGGCTCCCAATGTGATTGTCACAAGTTACGGTGTTGTCCTTTCAGACTATCGACAAATGTTGTCATCAGCATCATTTTCAGCTGCTACACCGGGTGGATTGTTTTCCGTAGATTTCTTCCGCGTCATTCTTGATGAAGCACACCTTATCAAGAACAGGCTGTCAAAGACAGCAAGAGCTTGCTATGAACTTAAAGCGACACACCGATGGGTTCTCACGGGTACACCTATTGTTAACCGGTTGGAAGATTTGTTCAGTTTAGTGCGGTTTCTCAAAGTTGAGCCATGGAATAACTTCTCCTTTTGGAAGACATTCATTACTGTACCATTCGAGTCTAAGGACTATGTACGTGCTCTCAATGTGGTACAGACTGTTCTCGAGCCTCTAGTCCTCCGGCGCACCAAAACGATGAAAACGCCGGAAGGGGAACCTCTAGTACCATTGCCACGTCGGACAATCACCATCGAAGAGGTCGAACTCACTGAGCAGGAAAGGGAGATCTATGACTATATTTATACCCGAGCAAAACGTACATTCAACGACAACGTCGAAGCGGGCACCTTGTTGAAATCTTTCACGACAATCTTTGCTCAGCTTCTCCGTCTACGCCAAACGTGCTGCCACCCCATCTTGACACGAAATTCGGCTATTGTAGCAGATGAAGAAGATGCAGCAGCGGCCAATGAGGTAAATGGACTCAAGGACGACATGGACCTGCAGGAGCTTATAGACCGTTTCACGACAACTACCGAATCAGCCAACTCCAATCAAGACCAAGATTCTTCAAGTAAATTCACCACATACGCACTGAAGCAGATTCAAAACGAATCTAGCGGCGAGTGCCCGATTTGCTCGGAGGAACCCATGATTGATCCAGCAGTAACCACCTGCTGGCATAGTGCATGTAAAAAGTGCCTAGAAGACTATATACGCCACCAAACGGACAAGGGCGAATCTCCCCGATGTTTCGCCTGCCGGGCACCGGTGAGCAGCAGAGACATCTTCGAGGTCGTCCGCCGTCAATCGCCCAATACCACACCCACGGAAAACGACCTCTACACCAGTACTCCACCATCCTGCACACAACCGGGGCCCCGGATCTCCCTCCGTCGGATCAACCCCCTCTCCCCTTCCGCCCATACCTCCGCAAAGATCCACTCCCTCATCAACCACCTCAACCGCGTCCCATCAAACACAAAATCAGTCGTCTTCTCCCAGTTCACCAGCTTCCTCGATCTCATCTCCCCACAGCTGGACAAAGCCGGCATCTCCCACGTCCGCTTAGACGGAACAATGGCCCAGAAGGCCCGAGCCGCAGTCCTCGCTGAGTTCAATAAGCCCGAAACCTTCGATCAGGAAGAAATAGAAGAAGCCGAGCGAGAAGACGGCGCCTATACTCCGTTCACCAAAAGACCAGCGAACGGTCACACGGCTACAAGTCCCGGGCCCAAAGTCCTACTCATCAGTCTTCGCGCCGGTGGTGTAGGCCTCAACCTTACGGCTGCCAGTAATGTCTTTATGATGGATCCGTGGTGGAGTTTTGCGATTGAGGCCCAGGCTATTGATAGGGTTCATCGCATGGGTCAATTGCGGGATGTATCTGTTACGCGTTTTGTTGTTAAGGATTCGATTGAGGGGAGGATGTTGCGGGTGCAGGAGCGGAAGATGAATATTGCCGGGTCGTTGGGGCTGAGGGTTGGAGGGGATGGAAATGAAGACGAGAAGAAGAAGGAAAGGATCGAGGAGTTGAAGTTGCTTTTCGAGTGAGGAGTGTAGTGTAGTGGTGTCTTGTCTATATTCATGGACGATATCTGTGCCATATTACATTACATTTACATTGCCGCTAGTACATTTGTACTCCGGTTTATGCCATAGTACCTCTAATCAGATTCATCATCATAAGAGACAAATCAAGGTCATAATGCAGGTATCAAATTGATTCTCATAATACATCCTAATAGACACTAAGTAGATCCCCGAAATCAACAACTCATCAACAATCATTAATTAGAAAGTACAGTCACAGATAGTCATAACTGAATCATAAAACATCATAGTTCAATCCACACTCAACCCTTAAGACTTATGGGGATGGATAACTTCCTTAACCTTCTCCTTGATATGAGCCATCGTACCACCCGAATGCGAACTATCGGTACCATGCTTCTCAGAAGACTCCTGCTTCTTATTACTAGCACCAGCACCGACATCAGGCAAACCACCAGCGGGACCAGCTAAACCATGTTAGCATCATCCAACTTTAAAGGTACTAAGAGAGATAAACTTACCAGACTTATCATCCTCAGCCTTCGCAACCTTCTCATCATGCTTCCAGCCTTCTCTGGGCTCTGCGACAGAGGGACCTCGAAGAGCCTCCTTGCTCACTTGGTTAGTCTTGGGCGTGAAGCCCTCATGGCCGTCTTCCCCGGAAGTAGAAGGCTTGGATTCCTTCTGGGCGCTGCTTTGGCCGTCGGCGGCGGTGGAGGTTCGCTGATCGGTGGATTTCTGGGCCGTGGAGTCGGTGATGCTGGAAGGTTGTCTGTTCTCGCTGGTTGATCCTGCGACTCCAGAACTGGTGTCTCTAGCTTCGGGGCCTGTGCCAGTGATACCGGAGCTGGCGTGTCTGCCTTCGGTACCGAACTGGGAAGTGCGATCGGGGAGTTGGGTGTCTCTTGTGAGACCCGAGTCGTGGGTTGAAGCTGGCTGTCTCAGACCGGTTTCCCGGGCGTCTTGCTCAAGAGCAGACTTTCTGGGAGAGGTGGCGTGTCCGAGGTTAGGGGTCTCGGCGGTCTTGTCGAGGCCTGACTTGGGAGTAGAAGCGTGTCCAAGACCAGTGATTTCGGTGCTCCTATCAAGTCCTGATTTAGGGGCGGAAGTAGTGTCTCTGAAACCACCACCAAGACCAGCGGCCCCAATGTCTCTATCGGTGCCCGACCTGTGACCAGAAACACCAGAGGCCCCAGTGTCTTTATCGAGACCAGACTTCTGTAAAAAGTCGTTATATCCGACACCAGTAGCTCCAGTGTCTCTATCGAGGCCCGACTTCTGTGCAGGAGGTTGTCTCAAGCCAGTCGGCTGGGTACCAGCACCAGTACCAAGAGCACCCGTGTGTCTCAGCCCGGTTGGGTGGGAGTCGTGTCCGAGAGCAGATGACTGGGCTGACGTTGCGTCTCCCAGTCCACCAGTGGATCTATTGTACGCATTGCCAGCCCCAACACCGGCGGCGCCAGCGCCAGCGGTTGTCATCGAGGGACCCTGGCCGAGACTCGAACCCCATTCGCCCTGGCGTTCAAGGCTGGAACGCACATCCCTCTGCTCAGGGGCTCGATGGGTCTGGGAGCCGTACTTTCCGGTGGTTTCCCCAATGGGGTTCAGTTCGGGTTGCATGGCTGCTGGGCCACTTGCTGTCTTGCTGGAGGATTTAAAGTCCGAGGAGCTGTCAGCGGGAGTAATAGAGGAGAGGGCCTCGGGGACGAGTGCTGTGTTCTTTTGGGTTTGGGGAGCGCCGGGTTGTTCTGTTTCTTCTTGTTAGTGTATGAAGGATAGGACGGATGGTGTAGCGGATGGGTCGTCTTTTTATGACAGAAAGGCTGGTCATGGGATAGTACTACTCACCAGAACGGTTCCCGGCATCGTAGGGGTCTGTCGCGGTGCCTCTACCTTGGACTCCCGAAATTGGTTCCTCGCCGTGCTGAGTCCATTGCTGCTCAGAGGTTTGGTAGTCGTTCTTGAGGGAGTCAGCGGCAGTGTGCCAGGCTCTATCGATGGGCTCCATGGTTACGATGTGGAAGAGGTGATGAGCTTCAGTTGAGTTTGAAGGAGTATTGAGAAGAGGTAGAAGTTAAAGAGTCAAGATATGGTTGTTTGATCGTTGCTTTTGTTTGATTAAAGTGATGTTGGGAGAATCGAAGAGTTGGGAGTGAAGCAGCATCTATATAAGAGTGCTTCAATACTTCACCCACAAATACGTCAGAGCCATCGATTGAAACAAAGGAAGATGTCCATATCCGGCTTGATGACGATGTGCGCAAGAAGTTTCCATTTTTTCTATTTGTTGAAAAGGATGATCATCAATTCGATGTCATCGTTTAGGGCTGGTGACGTCACCCGCCACGGACCGGTACCTATGGAGCCTAAATTTTCAGGCGTCTTACCCGCAAATCAATGAAAATGAGAAATTAGGAAGTTCAATTATCACGAGATGTTGTGGATCCCTATCGAACTCATAATACGCTGTTATATTAATTGATTTTGTCCTGCTTTTGATGGCCGCTTTCCTAAGATAGTCTGTCTATTTATCGGCAGAATTTTATGATTTCTACTACCTTGTTTCTACTCCGTTTTTCTATCTAATATATATCAGGCAGGATATCTCTATATAATAAGTAAGATATAGAGTACCTATAGTGGAAATATGCTTCTAGCTCTAGTGGAAATTACCGATCTCTACCTATGATGAGTTCTACCTATACCGAGCTGTAAGCCCGTGTCTAGGTAATATATTCCTATAACTAGAGCAGTCGTAAACCTCGACTTTATGATGACACCTCCCCTATGAATGTACAACTGACGTGTTCAGTGCATCCCAGCCATTGATAATATGACAGATAGTAACGGTCAAAAAGAAAAGAAAAGCGAAAAAAATTGTGGAAGGAAAAAGCAACGCAGCTTCTAGCGATAAAGCCCTGTTACCGAGGCTCCTTAGCTTCGGGGTTTAGGGGGTTGCTAGCATCATATCCAACGCTTTTCACAATCCCCAACCCCTTGGTCTTTCCTTCACGGAAAAGTACCCGATCTCCGGGCGCTAGGAACTCAGGGCGTTGCATGAAACGGAATGCCACCAGGGCACGATCACCGGTTCGGATGAAGGGGCGGTCAATGTCAATCACAGAGCATGTTTGGCTCACGGCCCCAACATGCAACATCGCCTGGTACCGGGGCTTGATCGTAGTAGCATGAGATAGAATGAGAACTAGATTACGGTCAGAGGAAACCTGATACGGGTGACACAGGGCGCGTTGTCTTTCTTACCTTCGGCAACAAACTCCCGGTACACTTTGGGAGGCTGCTCCAGTTTCTTCAGAACAACCATGCCCTTCCGAACCTCTTTCCTGCGAACACGCTTCAAAGCGAACGAGCCAGACTGTCCAGCAAAGCAGGTGTTCACCGATATCCGTTTGCGTTCAATAGACTTGATTGTGGTGGTGGTGAACTGTCCAAGGGAATCAGGGCCAACCAGCACGGTGTCACCAGCGTGTATTACCCCGGACTTGGCTACCCCCGACACCACGGTACCTACATGTGGCACGGAGAATGTATCGTTGATGAGGAACTCAAACGGCGCGTCGGCATTGTAATGGCCACGGTGAGGTAGGATGTTCAGGAATGTCCGTACTAGTTCTAGATTCTCACCTGTAACATTCGACACTTGGAAGATAGGACAGATCCGCTGACTGACAAACTGAGCTGCCGTGTTGATAGTCTGCTCCATGTCTTTCACGAAGACGGGTATCTTGCGAGCCCCAGGAGACTTGAGAATCTTATTCAGTTGAGACATTGTCTCCTGCAAGATGTGTGGGGGACAGATATCGATCTTGGTAACAATGATCATGACGGGAACATTCAGAGCCAACGCGATCCCGAGATGCTCTTTGCTCATGCCGATCAAACCGTTATTAGCGGCAACCATCAAGAGACAGTAGTTGGGGCTGCTGCTCAGCATGCCAAAGACCGTAGTTCGTAAGTATCGCTCGTGACCGGCCAAGTCGGAGAAGGAGATAACTTTGGCAGACCGCTTCCCTATTTCTTCCCAAGACAGTTTACGGCCCTGCAAGCTACCCACGATCTCTCCGCGACTATCAAATCCCATAATCTCCATACCGACAGAGCTGGTCCGGCCGCTCTCAATTTCATGTTTATGTCGGAAGAGATTGACTCGAGCCTTGCCACGGCCATCGTCTAGGTTCCCCTTTACGAGGACTCCAAGCATCGTACTCTTGCCAGCATCCACATTTCCAACAACCGCGATACGGAGCTCGGCCATTTCCTCCACAGTCTCTGCCGGCTGTCGGATAAGGAGTTTGCCACAGGAACCCTTTATTCGATCATTTCTGATCTTGGATTCCTCGGAGCCTCCTACATTGTAGGTAAGCAGAATACGGCAGTGTGCTGGGAGCGTTCCCGCAGCCTCCTGTACGCGCTGCAACGCCGTGGTCCATTGAGCTATGTCGAAGCCCATGGATTCACCACCGTCCTCCGTACCCACGTCGAATATTGTTTCACCATGGCCTTCGTCGATGCGAGTCTGTATGATGCTCGCTAGTGTCTGTAGGCTGTCCTCTTGTTGGTCGCCTGTATGCAACAATAGGTCTTTTAACCTGACGGTTTTCGGAGCGTCGGACAATCCTAGCTGGTCAAGGATGTCCAGTTCGGCATGGTCTTCATGTACATTGGCGGTAGAGTAGCCACTATCGCTGGGAGCGACAGAGCGATGCGATTGCTGCTTCTCAGCATATTCCGCGAAATCGCTGAGCGCCTATGTGTGTTTGACAGTTAGCAGGTGGGGTTGGGGCAGAGGCAAGGGAGGAGAGGCATACGATCTCGCCTCTTCGCCGTTCCTCTAGCGTGAGTTTAGGTCCGGCCGGAGCCATGCTAGGCTGTTTGGTTGTTTGGTTGTAAATAATGAGAATGATGTGGAAGACCTATTGGTACACGGAACTTCTGCGGGCTGGACGGTATGATAGGTGACAAGTCGCCTCTGGCGCATTCAATTACGTATTCGTGTTAGCATAGTTTCACAACGATAAATCGGTAGATTAGGGGGTAAGTAACGGTAGAGGGCCGCAGTAATAGATTTAGAGGGCAATTGTATAAGCCAGAATAAGAATAAATGTTGCTGGATAATTGAATATGTGAAGGGAGATAGGTGAAATGAGGCTGAATGAATGGTGTGGAGTGGGCTTGGGGGAAGCTTTATCGATAAATAAACGGACGAGTCACCGCCTGAGTCATAAGGAAGCATCAACAGAAGTACGGGGAATACTGTAGACCGCAGCAAGTAACCCATTAAAATTATTTATTGGAAGAAAAAAAAAATATGAACAAAATTGAAAAATCGCCTATGGGAAGTCATGACTCAGATCGCATGCCATGCCATGAGGGAGTCATCACCCGGTCTTTAGGCTCTAATCTCTCTGCACATGACATTATGTCTATTGAGTAGGTAGCAGTGCCATGCCACACTAGACTTCGCTGATGACACACTAAAGACGAAGGAACTGGAATAAGATCATAGCCCCCCACCCTGAGGCCGTCGCCTGGTTTCATAGTTCGCTTCCCTCTGCTCCAGTTTGTAGGAGAGTCAATAGTCTCCGTATAGGTCCCTTTCGATGACTCCATTATCCACTTTCGTTGACCCGACCGAATTTTTTCATGCCTGGGGGGATATTAAAACGACGGAGTCTCCTAGAACCGATGTTAGTGGTCCCGTTCGAATGTGATGATCGCGGTTCGGACGCACCTCTCACAAAGAGCATTTCTTCCTGTCTTTTGATCGTCTGTAGCACGCAGTAAATTAGCCATAGTTGTCTGGGAATATCATCTTTCCTACGAAGGAGCCGAGAAGATGTATTGCAGCGAAAGAGAGCGACATACGCGAATAGTTTCTTCCTCGTTTTCATCCTCCTCTACGACGTAGATAGTCTCCTCCACATCTCCCATCACCAAGTTGCAATGACTGTCGTAGGCCTATCATCAAACACCGGTTAGACAAAGTATGGTGTAATTGTAATATTGACAGGGGGACCTACATGGAGACGACCCTTGAGCTCACGGTCACCACGGAGCTTCACAAAGACGATTTCATCAAGGGAGAGGCGCACCAGATCCAAAGGTTCGGAGACGGACGTCGCGCCCGCATCTTCCGTGTCGGCCATTTTGGACGGAACGAATGAAAAAGAGGAGACAAAAGAGGGGAAATAAAGGGGTTGTATGTAGTAAGGGTAACCGAGGGTAGAGCTGTCGCGTTCAGGCCGTCAATCAATCAATTCTATGCAGCAAATGAGGAGAAGCTGCAGGGATTGGTCGCCAAGGCCGCACCAACACAAACAGACGACTTTCAAGGAGGCCAGACAAGCTGTCAGGTTGTCCTACTCAACTTCTCTTTGACCTGACCTTTGGGAGGTCTTTGATTGTGCCGAATTTTAATATCCTGATGCGGGGACTCGTACTTGCAAGTGAGAGATTTAGCTCTCACTTGGTGGTTCCCTCATGTGGTCGCAATCGGTCCACCCAATTCGCTCTTTGCCTGGGGCCCACTCGACTGATGCCCACCCGTGATTCCACTCAGTGGAGGTCCAACTCCCATACTCCCAATCCCTCGTGGAATGCGAATGAAGCTCGCAGATTTACAAATCCTCGATTGAGCACGACCAGTATCCTTGAGGGTAGTAGCCATTATGACCGTGTTCATCAAATCGCCGACTCGGTACAAAGCATCGACGAGGAGGATCTGAGTGTACGGAAAGCGGCATTCTATGCAATCATCCAAGATGGTCAACCGGACCAAGTCATGGACGCTTTGCTTGACCCTCGCTTCGAAGAGCTGGTTGGATCGATGCCTCAGAGTGTGTTCGTGGAAGTCTTTGACTTATTATCTCCAGCTTACTTTGTGATCCCCTATCGCGATATCCACCGGCCGATCCATCCAAGTGCCGCGAAACTCAAACGATATGAATCGCTGGATTCAATCTTCGATGAGTTCGCTAATAATTTGGCTACGGTAGTCCAGATTCGACGGTCGGCTGGTTGCGCCCTCGGTCTGGCTGAGTACACCCACCTTCTTGATTGTGCACGGTCCATTGGAGACGCTCTAATGGCCGACTACATATGGCATAGTATGACAGAAGACGAGGTCGTTCCGGACGTTACATGCTACAATTACTACATGGAGGCTAAAGTTTGGGACAAAGCTTACACCGGCCGAGAGAAGTATCACCTGAGAATGACGCCTTTTGCTTATCGGCACAGAAGGTTCTTCCACCCAAATGTCGGCTGGCAAGGCCATCGTACTGCTAAACAGAGTGTACGAAAAGAAGTGCTGCAAATATTCAATGAAATGACCGAACTGGGGTACCAGAGCGATGAGACTACTTTTATCAACGTGATGCTGGCGTCCAGCCGTGTGGGCCATGTTCAGGGAGTGAAGAACATCCTCAAGGTTGCTTGGAACGTCGATATTGATGCGCTGTCGACAGAAGATCCGTCTAGTTTACCTCCAGCCACTAGCTACGATCGATCATCTCCTTTATACCCTTCAAGTCGTCTCCTATTTGCAATCGCTCATGCTTTCGGCACGAATAATGACATTTCTGCTGCACTTCGGGCAATTGAGTTCATCTCAAGCTCGTATGATATTCCTGTACCGGAGAAAGTCTGGCTTGAACTTCTTGAACGATCGTTTGTCTTATCACGGCCCAGGTTCGGCCCTGACGCACAGCGGAATGCGAAAGGCAAAGTCTCTCGCGAGTTTGTCAAGGGTGTGTTCGAAATAATGACGTCGAGCACCTTCAATGTACGTCCCACAGTCGAAGTGCATCGTGTTCTTGCCAAGACAGCATGGGATCAAGCCAGGTTGTCGGAATTCCAACGCCATATGTGTGCTGCTTATGAACTTTTGCGAGAGACTCGGAAGAAACGGAGAACTGCAAGAATGATCATTGAATCTTACCTAGGAGGTTCTTCCCGGCGTAGATCGCGGATCGATACAACGGCAATTAAGTCACAGGCGTTCGCCCAGGCAGTACATACATATGATGTTCTTCGATTGCGCGTCGCCCAGCAAACTATCACCATGGAAGGCCTCGCGAGGCTCCTCGTGATGCACAAGCGGTGGACCGGTCGTGATAATCCGGTGTGGGAACGCTGTCTCTTTCCTCAAGTGCTTGAAGAATGGCAGGATTTCCTCCCACAATGCTTCGGGTACAGCACTAAGAGTGGCGGAGTCGAGTTCCTAGGCGAGACGCACTGGGGTCAGCCAAGCTTGACGCTTCACAATAGGGTACAGGTCCGTCGGCCTACCGCGGTGAACGGTGTTGAGCTGGACGAGGAAGCCACGCAGATTGAGGATGATTTCATCTGGGCGCGATACCTACGCTGCAATCCTGATCTCGACCTAGAATTTGCGCCGTTAAAACGTCTATTCTCCGGTGTAAGGGGAAGAGCTACTCGCAGATATTATACCGTCAATAAGGAGCATATTACTCAGGCGGAAAAGCTAGGCTGTGAGGCGGGGGAACTTCCTAATCTCCCAGAAGGAGAATATGCAGGAACGCCATCGGATTCACAAAAGCAGAAGGATGGAGAAACACCCGGTGTTATACCCGGAAACTTCGGCCTGGTTTTCTCATAAGTCTCATTTCCACCTCATTTCCTAGACTATATTTCTTCTCTTTCCGTTTTTATGTTTGACCCCCCTTTCCTTTTCACTTCTCTTCGGTTCCACCTATGCCCTGAATGACCCACACAATGAACTGCTTAACTCAATCAGTTATGAATTTTCTGGTACGTAAGTATGTTGTTGCATCGGCCGCATACATACCCTGTCCATAGCATCTAATAGCAATGAAAACAATCTTTTTTGACAAGGTATCATCATACTTTTAACGAATTTTTCCTAGTCGCAATTTGCGTATGGTACACGATCTTTTTATACCAAGCAACCTAGCACACAATACACTTTCTGCGTACAACACCTCTATAAACAGAAAGAGAGATACGATATCATAATAAGAAGTATATTCAAAGCGCGGGGATTGGTGCCGATGGCTTGCAGCCCAGAGTTACGAATGGGCCCAATACCTTAGTAGTAGAACTGGAGCCAATGGATGCAACCAACGATTGTCAGTATATCATAGTCGCTACTGGCTGGATGAAACCATGAAGCTTACTTATTTACCAGCTAGAACCTGGTGATTAACGCAGGACAGGTACAACCCTATTTCCAGATGCAAATGAAAGGAGGTTACGAAACAGTTGATATTATATATGATCAGTTCATGTACATATGACCCATTCAATGAGTCACTGATTTTGAATGTAGACTCAAAAGGGCACATATCTTTAGACCCAAGATATGTCAGTATCCGTCGTGAGAGCATCGCAGCCTCAACTCAATTGATCTCTAGTCCAATGCGTCCTAGCTCTGAACAAACGTAAGTGCCTAGCTCGGTACTATTCCACGGACTCACTCAAATCTTTTCACGCTTCAGATCATTGACCGCCATATAACGGCCAAGCGTAATCCACCCATATCGAAACCATACCATCTGGCTCTGATGAGCCTTAACCATAGCCGACTGCGCGGTCATCCATTCGCCAACAGAGCTAACAAACAGAAGCCGAGTAGGAGCGTCCCCCTTCGATGCACGGGTGGAGCCCCTCACCGTCTCAGATAGAGCACCAAGCGCCCCACGAGCCATAGTGACCGGCGCATCAAGCACACCGATATACTTACGCAAGATATTCGTCGTAGCGAGGGTGTACAGCGTAACGGGGCAAGTAAACCCGGGTTTATCTTTCATCAAAGCACGTATAAAATGAACAGCACCATGGTAGAGAGAGCGGTGGTTGGGGTGATTGCTTATCCCACCCCTGTCGAAAGTGAGGAGCACGTCGATAGTCGCGACCGGTGGTTTGTCCCCTCTTGTCCGCTTCCGAGGGTTGGAATTGGCGCCCATCTCCGGGGCAAATGCTGAGGCAAGTAGCGAAGAGACATCGCTTTCTGACCAGGTGGCGCTCATGCTGTCGGGGAAGCGGGTTGGGTCGTCTATGATGAGAACATCAGACTCATTGCGGAGACCGAGGTGCACGGCGCTTCTTTGGAGCTCTTTCTTGCGGATGTGGCCTAGGCCGTCGGCATCTCCTTACTGCGTTGTTAGTGCTTGTACCCAGGCTCTGAGGTTGATTCAACGTACCGCTGCTGAGACATAGGATCTTGAGATGGTTGCCCAGTTCCGGCTTGGTTAGCGCTAGCACGGTGGGCGCGAAGAACATGGCCTCATCGTCAGGGTGGGCTATTAGTAGGCATATTCGCTTGTTGTACAAGCGAGGGAAGCTACGAGCAAATGGTGATGATGTCGTCGCGGATAAGGTCCAGAAGATAAAGACGGCGGAGATCGCGAAGCCCAGTGCTATAAAGGATGACGGAGACATTGCACGGGCTTGGAGGTGTTTGATCAATCGACCACGCCAGAAGCTACCGAAGTGGAATATTGGATCCACAGGGCCGGATGGCAGGATAGTTCCGAGATATTATGGACCAACAGTTCTAGCACGAGAATGACTGTGTATGGAATGGAGAGAGGACATCCGACATCCTCGTGCCACGCCTTGCGTTCTAGTACAGTATGTACCTGCTGCGACAAAATTGTCCAAATCGGCTGGTGTCAACTCAATTTCTGTATGGCATTCTATTGGATAATGAGAAGTATATATTCGACATTGGGCACGGTGGTATAACATAAAGGGGAAGCGTATGGGGGACGACGACCCTGGAGGAGGTCGTGTTATCACCACGTGACAGCAGATAGTAAGTAAACACCAGCATATGCTCGGACCAGCCATGATTGAACTGTAGACAGTTTGGTTTAAAAATAGATATTCCAATTCTGATTGTTAATCCTGTCATACAAGTACGTAACATGGCTACTCTGCTGGAGAACTTGCCGTGTACACTATCAGGAACGGTGATATTGACAATGCATTAAGTTTCGGCGTTCATAGCCGACCATCACTAGATCATATATGGGCGATATTAAGAGCCTAGGTAACATAATGTATTCCCTCAACTAGACGCTAAGCTCATGGACTCTAGCCGCCAGATCTATACTCCGTAGGTGCTAGGTATTGAAGCTTTGGGAACAAACGACTCGAGGAGGAGACGTCATTGGTCATACTGATAGAAGAGTACCTAAAGACGAAGAAAGGTTCTGCTTTAGAATTTACGGTCATAGGATTGAGCCTGAGAGCCAATGAATAGCTAGTATCGGACAGGACTTCCGTTAGTGAGTCATGTCATAGTGTGTAGTTGTATGTAAGCGTTATCCCAGGCTGTGCAATGTCGGGACTGGTATCCGGGTGGTATGTGTAGGTCGGGATGGCTTTCCGACAGGGTCAACGACACCAGGGTTAACAGATGATTCGCAACCATGGAAGGATTCCCCCAGGCGCCTAAGTATCCAATGCCAAGGAGGGAATTCTGTATACTTACGGGGGATACTCTTCGCCTAGGGTATCTATCTCATGTTGCCATAACTCGCCTGTTAGTCATATTAGGTAATACACCTAATCAACTTGGAAACTATGGCGCAATTTCTGATTTTTGACAATCCTAGAAAAAGGCGGTGCGTAACTGTTCAATGCCAGTCCAGATTTCCTACGCACTCTCCACTAACCAAGGCCTGAGGGTCTTACCACTACAAAGTATCTAACCTGGTGAGGGAAGTGGTAGACAAACAGGCAATCGGTCGTGGCCGACATTATTCTTCTAGATGCGTGTAGAGTAAATTGTCCAACCAATCAGAGTGGGCCGCCCGACCACTATGCCAACCCGATCTGATCAGGGGAGAGAAAACTCTGAGGCGCTAGTAACAGACGAATATGCGTATGGAGCGCCCTAAGCTAAGCGCGACGAAAGCCGGGAATAGTCCGTGGAAATGGAGTACGGCGTGCTGAACAAGGTTTCGCTTTCCAGCGGAAAGCGCCGATGGATCGAATTACCATGTGTCGCGGTCGGAAATTTTTGTTCTCCCCTGGGAAATTAAGCCCCCCTTTAACAACGAGCTGCGATCTGCACTGGTGACCGGTAGTGGTCCCTGAGCGTACATACATAGTGCTACATACAGCAATCCGCCCCCATCTGATATAGCTAGACTGCTAGAGATAATTGCCAGGTGCTTTCTGCCTGGGGTCAGTAAATACCGCAACTGCAGACACGCACATGTTCCAGCTGAGGAAATTAATCCCTCAATCTGGCGCTTGAGCCGGGATTGACGTGATTGTCTTGTTTCATGGAGGACGTTGAGGAAAGATTGGCGGGGGTCTTGACAATATAAGATTAGATCCCCATATGCAGAACCAGAAATCAAATCTAGTTGGATGTGGATATATGCCAAGCCCGCTCGAAACAGACAATTACGCGCCGCTCGAGTCAGTGCTGATGGAAGGAGGGATCTTATATCTAAGTGGTATACTATATACAAAGGATGAATAGGATAAACAACGTCTCTACAGCGAAAGTAAGGCGATGTGGTTCCTTGTAAAAACCAATAGTAGCAATGAAAGGAGCCATGTCCCTCCTGTTACATAAAGTAGTAATTCTCCGGATCTCTTGGGTACTATTAACATAGCGAGGAACGCCGTACGGGGAGAGCTGGGTCAGTCGGGGAAGCTATAGTTACTTGCCGTATGGGTATCCGATCTCATGGCATGATCGAGTCGGCCATCCGTTGGTATTTTCGAGCCGAAACTCTCACATCGGGGGACCGACCAACAGACATGGCGAAACAAGACATGATGTCGTCCTGGATCTTCAGAACTGATCATCAGCAGTGCGCATAAGGTGCCTCAGTCACGGGCGAATGGGCAGTGGCGGTGGTGAAACTGTTAGGTAATAAGTATGGCGCAGACGGTGGCCATTCGTCAGAAGGCGCCCATTTCCCCTGTTGGCCATCCAACGCACAGGGCACACTCCTGACAGCAAGGTTGCGTCTAGAACAATGTCGAGCATTGTGATGTGCTACACATCAACTGATCTATGTAAACATACTCTTTCTTTCTATTTCAGACTCTCTACTAATGAATTGGTCCCCCCATCACCTTGTGATTATTAGCCAAGAGAATTGGGAAGCCTGACAGCAGATGATGATGATGCAATACCCCCGCAAACGCTCAATTTCTTGCAGTGCGGGGAGAAAGAAAGAAAAATTAAAAATTAAAAAAAAATAGATTTTCGGACCAACGAAGGGCTGCTGAGCGACCTGGAATTTTCCGAAATTGTGCCTTCTTTCGCCGATCTGTTAGGGTGCAAGATGCTTAGGTTTGACCAGATAGGGTAATAATCAGGAGGCGCTCTGACCACTACTACAGGAATCGCCAATCTTAGCACGGAGTACAACTGTACAAGGTCCTCTCCTTGAGAACATCCGCCGGGAACTGATAATCTTACCCGTGGAAAGGGAGTGGACATGAAGTTGAATCCTAAAATTTTTTTTCTCTTTTTTCCTGCTTGGATAGTGGGGCCCGACCATGTTGCAACCGCATGAGCCTACCTTACGGAGTAGATTAAAAGAAAAAAAATTTCTATAGAAAAATTTTTTTGACCGGTCCCTTTTCCGAACGGTGTGCTTCCGGTTCAATGGGTTTTAGCGTCAACCTCCAGGCGGTACTCTGCCCCTCCATCCTGCAAAAAACGGAAAAGCGGCATCATAGTTCCAGAGGATCTCCAACTAGTGTGGTAACCTCTTGCCGTATGGCTTGGTATACCCGTGTACCGGTTCCGGTCACCACTGGTATGAGTAAGACTTACGCCAGACCGCCTAGGGACGCCGGGCCTGCAGGTCTTTTCATGACGCCACGTGATGGCTTGATGATGGCAGCTGACCTGCCTGAAAGGGCCAAAATAGCGCTGTCCTAGAAAATCAGGCGCAACGGATAGCCGGACCGCCTTTTGATTCCATCGTATGTTTGTTTTTGCTGTGTTGGACCGTACTTTCCGGAGGTGTGGTGGCTATAGATGATTTGTTCACTTTGTCTCTATAGTGTCTTGTCTCAGCCTTGCTCCATCAATTACTCTTGCTGGACAATGGATCCAGATCCAGAAAGTGATATATTTGGTTGTCGTTGTGGCACTGATGTCTTATTCTAAGTATGGAACAAGCCAATCAGTGTCGGCGGTGATATACTTGTAGTTCTGTCTAGAACATGAGTCAGCCCCTCGACCCTTGGTTTGGAGACCCAAGACTCCAAAAGACATGACAACATCCTTTACAATGAGGCATTGATAATCTGGCACAGCTTCAACAATGGTCAAGAGTTCATCTGTCAAACCCCACCCGCCAATGCGCTTAGTGTACGGGGTAGTAACTGATTGCGCATGCGAAAAGATTGCTTGAAGCGAATCGCATCCAAGTCAGGTAGACGGTCTCGGGATTGACAGTCTTGATCCCCAAAGGATCTAGAATGAGTCACTGCGCACGGGCTTGGTTGGATACAAATCGTCATGTGTCGAATATCTTTATATCCTATACATTAGTGTACGCTTTGTCATTTATTTCCGGTATGTTGTCAAATGATGCGAGCGCAAAAGCCTAAGGTCTGTAGGCGCTTGCGACATAAACCCTAAGAAAGACTGACTCCGCGGAGCAAGTTCTGTCGGCCTCACATGCCTATGATGTCTTTGTCGCCGGCGTTTGCGTCGGCTTTCTAATTCCTTTCTTATATAAGCGAATTAGAATTAACTAAATCATTATTATCTATTATTGTATATATGTATTTTTAAGAGGCGTTGTCAGATCATTGTTCCGCGATCTTGCGTAAGTATTCTTCATGATATTGCGTGATCTGCTTTTAGAATCTGGGGAATGAATTAGGTCTATCTAGTTAATATGCCAAATCTATCTTATTCTAGAATAAGACTGATGTAATTATCATACGCAAGCTACCAATGAGGGACTACGTTGTGGACGTGGTGAAATTCGTCTCAAATCTTCTCAAGGGAAATTTCTATGCGGATGGCCAACACAACACATGAAACTCTGACTATTTTTGCAGGGTGGTGACTGGGTATTGAAAGGTACGGTAAGCGTACTGTAAGGTCCACTATGACGCTTTTCTGCCGCGCCCCACTTGGACCCCATCGATGTGACGGAGCTTTAGGGTGGCCAGACCGGGAATAATTGGTACCTTGTAACTTAGGGTGTGGGAACCTCCTAGAAGAAAAAAAAAGTTCAATTTTTGGAAATTTTTTTTTTTAAAAAAAAAGGAAACAATGGTATATATGGAGTAATGATTGGAACTAAGAATGAAAAGCTTGTTCAACTTCATTCAAAGGCAGCGGTTCGCCCACTGTTCACTTCTTTATTCCTCTCCGTCTGGTACCTGAACAATACTAAAGTTCTTTCCATTTACTACCTTCACGCGGAACAGGAACCGATTCTATATTATATACTATAGCTTCACTATCTTCTATTCACCATCCAACATTTCAAAGAGTCACACGTCATTCTGGCTTCCTAAATTGCCGAAGGATTATGTTCTGGGTTGTTTGCCTCACTTCTCAACTGAATCAACACCGCACTCTATCCTGAAGCATATCGAAGCGTTAGTCGAATATATATTATTGTTGTTTTATCTCAAACACAACAGTCATCTACCTCTCCCACACCATTCATACTGCTTGCCTCTTGACGAGAGAAGCCATCCTCATACATCTTCACTTCATTTACCCCGATTTGGTCGGCACTGAGTCCCTAGAAGCGGACATTGATTCAATATGCCCGGCCGTCTCCTCTCTAGCCTTGTTCGCCCACATGTCCACCACCACACCTCCTTCTCGTCGCACTCCAACTCCTCCTCATCCACTTCCGTTAACGAGATCTCGACCAACACAGTGGCTGCTAAGAAACCCTCTGCAAACGTGCATGAAAGAGCACGCTCTCCAGAGCGTCGCTTGTCTTCCGCGGTCGATCATCTAATACATCCCCACAGGGATCATAGCAAGGAGAAGCGCCGCAGCCATGGGCGTTCATCCCGTTCAAAAGAGCGCCTAGGCGATCACACCACGAATGCTGCTGCCAAGCTAGACGTCGTTGTTGAGTCGCCCCCACTTGTCTGCTACGGTAGTCCGGCAAACTCAACGGGTGCGCTGTTCTCCGGCCGTCTGAAGATCACCGTCTCGGAAACGGTGGACTCGATTTCTCTAGGGAAGGTTAATATGAGCTTAATGACCAAAATGACAACGAAGAAACCGGTCTCGAGAGAATGCCCTAGCTGCGCCTCACGTACTGAAGAGTTGACTCACTGGAACTTCTTGACAGAACCACTTCACTTGAAGCCTGGCGACCACGAGTTCCCCTTCAGCTATCTCTTTCCCGGTAACCTACCGGCTTCCTGCAATGGATCCCTGGGGAAGATTGAGTACTACCTCTCTGCCAACGCGCAGAGCTTCACTGGTGAAGAATTCACGTTCCAGATGCCTCTGCACATTAAGCGCGCCATTCTATCCGGAAACGACAAATCTTCAATCCGAATCTTTCCTCCAACCAACCTCACGGGCCGTATCGTTCTTCCCTCTGTTGTTCATCCCATTGGGACCTTCCCCGTCCAGATGACTCTTAGTGGAGTCGTGGATAAGGGTGAGGAGACTCAGACCCGTTGGCGATTGCGCAAAATGATGTGGCGGATTGAAGAGCACCAGAAGATCGTCTCCCAAGCCTGCCCCAGACACGCCCACAAAATTGGTGGTGAGGGCAAGGGCGTTCTTCACCAGGAGACTCGGATCATCGGACACAACGAGGAGAAGGAGGGTTGGAAAACAGACTTCGATACTGCTGGTGGTGAGATCAGCATGCAGTTCGAAGCTAGCATTAATCCCACCTGCAACCCAGTGTGTGATCTTGAAGCCTCCGGTGGGCTGGAAGCCAAACACAACCTTGTTATTGAGTTGATCGTCGCCGAGGAGTTCTGCCCTAACCGCAACACCAGGCTTATCACGCCTACGGGCGCAGCGCGTGTGCTTCGCATGCAGTTCCATTTGCACGTCACTGAACGCAGCGGTCTCGGCATCAGCTGGGACGAGGAGATGCCTCCGATGTATGAGGATGTTCCCGCTAGCCCCCCTGGCTACACGATCCCCGACGGAAACAGTGTCATGGAAGACTATCTCGGCTCGCCACTCCCGCTGCCAGAATACGAAGAATTGGAACGCATGGACTCCCTTCGACTAGACAGTGAATCCACACACTCTTCCGCTCGTTCAACTCTCTCAATTCGCGGACGATCTCGATTTACCAACGACGATCTCACTGCCGAGCCAATGGAACTCGGAACAGTCGGTAGCCGCAACCGAGCCTCATCCGCCAATTCTCGGGCATCTCGAGCATCCGAGTAAAGCCACACTACACCCAACGTGAGTAGACCATACATTTTCGGTCTAGCTCTTTCTCTCATTCTGCTTTCTTCCAACACTCACGATGTTACGACTCACTCATGACCGAATGACCTCGACCTAAAACCCGAGAAACAAATGCCAAATCTCTTTCAACCCTATCATGACTCACGGACACTTAATTAACTACGTTGCCTTTCTTTTGCATTAGAAAACATATTTGGAGAAAACCGGGGCTCAGAAAAAGTTTTTTTTCTTTTGTACCTTTTTGCATTTCCTTCCCTTATACTACTGGTTGGACGAAGATATCCTTTTTTCATGATACCCATCATTTGCTGAGGGTTTTGACCTTGAATAATTAATTGTTATCGCCTCTCTATACTATACCGATAGATACCTAATTTATTATTTGCTCAAGATACATATTTGCTGATGCAGTAGTCAAGATCTTCACATATGTAGGTTACTGAGCTGGCAAGGTTCTTTCTTATTGAAACCTGGAACAACTACCTAGTTAGCTATAATATATACAAGTTACTCATCTCCGTCACTAGACATATCCCAAGGTCAACTTTTCTAAAAGGCCAGCCAGATGGTCATCTTGAGAAAATGCGCCATGAACTTCCCCTAGATATCACCAGATCGCTCATTCCTCTAGAATTCATGAAGAGAGAAAAGATCCAGTTATCTGGATACTATACTTTCGCCCACAATCCACGATACCCCAATAAGCCTAGGTATCGATATCTCATATCACTCACTGTATCAGCACTTCACCTCATGTAGATAATAACTAGCATGCTTCTATACCAAGGCCCCCGTGTTATCTTGTACGAAGCTGTTTCAAGGAGAAACAAATCCGTTGAACCGACCCGAGCATTCGAGTCTAGAGTTAAAAAGTGTAAAAGCAGCATTGAGTATAAACTTACCGATGTCGGGGTCTCGTCTAGAAGAAGCTTCCCACAACCCAGATTACGGTGGGCGATAGCCATGTATAGTGGTGATCTTTAACTATTGGGCTCAGGCAAAGGCCGATACTTCAGTAGGGTCGAAGTGAATCGACGTTGTTATTTATGCACAGATCTTCCGCACTTCTAGTTTTGCAGGGGGATTTGGGGGGTTTCTAGTCAGTATGTAGAGTGGGCGTGAATTTATCTGGGTTGTATCTGGAGATATACGAAAGGAGCAGAGAAGAGTAAAGGGCTGGCTATTTATGGGCAAGGGATGTTGGGAGGGGGTTTAATCTGAAGTACCTATTCGGTGTCGATGACGCCTGGGGCTTAGATCCGGTCTTGTCGCCTTGAGTGTTGCTATAGCCTACATGAGATAAACATTGTTGGGTGCGCCGTTGTTGTACGGACCAGGGGTAGAACGTACGTGGGGTTTTACGAAGTTTGGTGGTTCTGGCTTACGCCATTGAATCTGAATTTGGGCGTCCTTGGCCTCTTTGTTCCTGTAGACAGGTCGATCGAGCCCTATCGATAGGGTTTGTCGTAGATGACCGCTGGCGTAAACCATGCATGTCAGCGGTTGCACCTTGGCTTCTTTTCTTTATAGGATTCTGCGGATTTGTGAATGGCCTCTTCTATCTTTTGTGTAGCTGGCGTTCTATAATTAGTTAGTTTGAAGGGCTATCCACTTGAGTGAACAATGAAAGTATGTGCATGCATGAAGGTGGAATATGGAAATAAAAACCTTTGTTTGATTCTAATGTTAGATGCAATGTGCATGGTACTCGTTGTACAACACTATAATATACATGATGTATATTCTAGGAAAGTGCAGACGAGCCGTCGAGACAAAAAAACTATGTACAATACAGTTCCAGACTTTGTCAACCCCCCGGGCTTTACAAGATCAATAAAATCAAAAAGAATATAAATAAAGAGGACCCTTAATCAAACCAAATCACGAATCAAATATAGGGCCAAATGCAGGGATACCTCTTGACTCGAGCTCATATACAACGCTCTTTGTCACGACTGGGTTGCTGATCACGCATACAGCTTCGGCGTTGAATTCAGTGTAAAGCTGTCGGATGATCGGCACCATATCGACACGACCGGACGAATTGGTGTCGATGATGTATGGATTTCCATCCATTTTAGAGACCAAGTCGAGGACTCTTTTGCCATATGTCCTCAAGGGAGCGCGAGTTTGCCATACAACTCGAAGACTGGGGCGGTTGTCATCACCCAGGAATGAAAGGCACGGCCCGATCCCAGATCCGGTCGTGACCACAATTACCCTCTTGAAAACCTTCATTGCATAGGCGAAACCGTAGATGAGGATACCTCGCTTCCAGAGGTAGGTTGGTTGGTTCTTAATACAAGCTGCGGTCCAGTCCCCGGCTTTCGAAACTAGGCTTGAAAACGTTTTCCCATTAGGGTCTGGGAAGGTTGCAAAACCATGCCAGTCCTGAAGGGGATGACTTGCCAACTGGATACCTTTGCCAAACGTGGTGGTTGTGTGGCTGAAGTGAAGTCTCACTGCATGATGTGAGAGGTGCTCGGGTTCAACTGGGACCTTCCGTAAGAATAGCCATGGGTGGACGATGGCAACGACAGTGACCATCAAGAACCAGAATGCAGGAAGTTCAATAAGAAAGCGACCTAATGATTGGTCGGCGGCATAGCTAGCTTCATCGGCGAAAACCAAAAGGAGAGCTACAAAGAGAGCCACCACCAGCCATCCAAAGAAACGATGTGTGAGCTCAAAGTAGTCATGCTTCTTGAACCGAAACCCAGGATAGGCAACAACAATAATTGCGAGTAGTAAGACTAAAACAATGTAGGCCAAGGCAACTGGGACTACTGAGATTGTAGGCGATGGAGACCTGTAATTCTTTGACATCAAGCCCACAAAGCCTGTATACCAAATAAATGAAGCTACTCCGCATCCGCTGTGAACACCTCCATAGTGATACACTTTTGCGGCAATACGGCGAAGCCTCAAGGGCGCAGACCTGGGAATAGAGCACACCATGACGAAGACGGCGTTTACCACCAGAGGTTGGCGTGCCAGACCACATGCGAGAAGATTGGCAGCCGTCGCGTTCACCAACGCCTGTAATTTACGATCTGCTGTCATAACCGCAATGAAGACAGCAACATTGGCGCAAGAGACTAAGGTGAACAGACGACGGTAGATGTCGAGAAGAAGAAAACGAGTCGAAGAGAACAGCTTCCTTTTGCTGACCTGGGCCTCTAGGTCAAAGCTGTCATGGTACTGTGCCTGGGTCTGGCCCGCCTTTTCTGAAATCAATTTGGGCATGGTCGTCTCGACACCAACCAGTGTAGAGTTACTGGTTCTCGTCGACCCTGACGCACATTTGACAGCACGCGGGATTGAGATGACGCTCTTCTCGGAGAGCGACATGGTTGGGTGGGTTCAAGTAGTAGGCCGGGAATGAAGGGAGGAATGAGTGAATGAGAGTTATGAGGTAATGCGAGGTACAGCAGACGAATCAAGGGTCTAGGGAAATGAAGTTCTAGTAAGGTACAACAGTAGTACATTCGCTTAATGTATGTGTTAATTGGCGAATAGTTGTGAAGTTCAACAATGCAGGGCATACGCGGGCTTTTGAGTTAGCATATGATGTCTCTCTGCCAACTCCTTACGCCTTCACTCTTCCTCTCTTCCTCTCTCCTTCCTAAACCGTGAACATACATTAGACACTTGATAGACACTAACCTACTAGGGACTTGATACTGTTCGTCCCACCCCGCTCCTATCATCCATTTACCCTTCATCCATGTTGTGGATATAAATGACGCTATCTCTATACTAGTCACTACTAGTCAATCACAGAGGTCTGCCAATGAGCAAACACAGACGACATCATGACTCTTCCACTTCAGCTCCCTCATCAGGCTTTGGAACAACCAAGGGCCAATGAAGATATCCCAAGGGACCATCACACATCCCGTCCCAACCTATAGTCCCGAACCTTGGATGTATAGTGCTAATCGAGGGACCTAGAAAAGTGGTATCCCAGATGCAACCACACCCCCATCGGATCAAGGTTCCATCACGCAGGTGAGGCCTCACCTACGACGACTTGCCACATGATTCTAGATGCTCCACCAGCCTAAGGCCAGAGCACGAGGCGCTAGTGTTGATAATCGGACAATCCAGGACCCCACTAAGAGGTGCGCCGGATCTAGAGAATTGCTTGACAGGCTCAAGGGAGGATCCAAGCACATGCAAGACGCACTGATTGATTTCTTTTTCTTTCTGCCTTTTAGATTTTTTTCTTTCTTGTTTTTCTTTTCTTTTCTCTTGCCGAATAATGCATCAGACCAATCGGTCTCGATCCAGACGCACTAGTGAAGTCAGTGACCATGAAACGATGCCGTTACATGTATCAGTGAATACCAGGATTCGGACAGCAAGCTCCACCCCCTTGTCCACCGGATGAGCGGAGTCCAGCAGTGACCTGCCACCAATCTACGGTCGAGAATCCTTCGATAATGGCATTCATGCAGGCATTTCTGGATTTTGGGTCGTGGATATCAGCCTGGCAGGGATCCTGAGCGAGGTGGGTACTTGCAACATGGGTCGTGCACTGATATCAGTTAGGGTATGAGGAGGGGGGCTTTCCTCGGATCCAAGACGGGCTCTGGTTGCATCTGCTGGAACGATAGTCCAGTTCGCTCGACGGGGGTGTTCGCGCTGTGGCTCAGCTGCATGGCGAGCCATGAAGACTACGCCATGATAGGATAACAAACCAATGGGAGGACACAGTGGAGGACTGGCAAGATCGAGTTGGGCTGAAGGTCGCCCAGCATTGGATTAAGTTACGGAGACAGGTGATCATAGAACCTAGTTCGTCTGCATGACGGCAGCTGTTCGCCAATTCATTGCTTTTTTTCTAGCCGACCATGAAGACGACCCACCGGTCGAGATCTGAATTATAGCGTTACGAACGGTCATTCGACAGAAGAGGCGCATAGTGCTTGTGGAGCGGGAGCAGGATCAGCACCGCGATCTCAGCGGAGCCTTGACCTTAGCGGAAGTGACGATGTGTCGGGTTTTGCGCCACGCCCTAAAACCAATTCCAAATTATGGTCATCCTCAGCCCCATCCCCGGAAATTGGAATTATTGTCCACGCCTCAGGAGGATTTTGGGGGATTTTTCCCTCCCTCCTTTGTTTCTTTTTTTCTTTGGAAAGGTCTCCAGCATGACAAAAACACCTGTTCAGGCGCGATATGGCTTTCCATATATTTATAACCGTGGGTTCCCTCTGTCCTTGGGGGTTTTACCTCCGTTGATCTACACCCTCCAAACCCTTCTTTTAATTCCCATGATCGAAGATTGATCACTATTAAGAACTCCTTTTCAGTTCCCCATATATATTAAACCATGGGTCTTTGGGAATCTTCATTGGTACTGACCTCACCCCAACTGGGGGGAGATCACACTTACACCGACTTATTGACCTTTGCTTTCAGTGGCCCTCAACCCTACGATGAACAACGGCCATTGTTCATTGATGCCGAGCATCCTTCATACTCCCTCAATGCCCTCCAATTCAGACTATTGGTGCGGACTCTTATTGCTGGGTTAAAGGCTCATAATGTGCAAAAAGGTGATTGTGTTCTGGTCCACATGGGGAACAGTGTAAGTCATCCGACATCGCAAACTGCAACATCACACCGAATCTTTATTCCCGCTACTTCCGATTGATTCTTAATTTTCCCACTTCTTTTTCTTAATTAATCTAATATTTTATTTTATTTTTCCTACTGCCCCTCACCAAGTTACTAACTCCATCATCCCCGTAGATCATATACCCCGCCCTCTTCTACGGCATCATCGGCGCTGGCGGTGTGTTCATGGGCTCGAATGCCCGCAGCCAACCCCAAGAATTAGAACATATCCTGGAACTGGGTAATCCTAAGTTGATCATTACATCCCGCGATGGCCTGTCCACGGCCCTCAAAGTCGCAGCCGATCGAGGCATGCTCCCCAATCAATTGTGCTTAGTGGATGAGTCGGCTACTAGCCATTTAGTCCAGTTGCTGCTGTTGGGTCCTCTTGCCTTCGCTGCAGCCATCTCCACTTATCTGTCTAACAGTGGAGACGGCTGCTATCTAAACTTCGCACATCTCCTCGGCTATGGTGAGTCTCACTGGCTCTCCTTCAACGACGAGGCAGTCGCGAAGTCCACGCCGGCAGCGATGTTCTCCACCAGCGGCACAGGAGGCTTGCCTAAGGCTGCCATGCTATCTCACCACGCTGTAGTATCCCATCACCTTAGCATCCATTACGATGTGCCCTATGAAGTCACCCGGTTAATGTCGCTGCCCATGTTCCACCTATTTGGTGCCCTCTGGACACACATCTTTCCTATTCGATATGGACAACCGCTGTTCATCCTATCCCGCTTTGATATTGCCCAGTTCGTGGCGACTGCGTATCAGTATCAGATTACCGAAACGTATATGGTGCCTGCAATGATCCATGCCTTCAATCACTGTGCATTCCCTGTCGCAGACTACCTCCAGTCGCTGCGGTACGTCGGTGTAGCGGGGGCTCCCATCGATGGGGCTTCCATGCAGCAGTTCCAAGAGCTGCTCCATGTCGATGCTCAAGCATCCCAACTGTGGGGCATGACTGAAGTGGGTGTTGTTTTCCAAAACCGCTACGGGGAGCCAGGTAATGGCGGAAGTATCGGACGACTCGTCCCCGGATACGAGGTACGGCTGGTTGGACAAGATGGCAACCTGGTGCTTGATGATAACAAGCCCGGGGAGCTGTATGTGCGTGGTAACGGCCTGCTTATTGGCTACAAAGGGCGAGATGACGCCAAGGACACGCAGGGGTGGTTCCGTACCGGTGATGTGGCGTATGTGAATAACGGGTTGCATTACATCGTAGGCCGAACAAAGGAGTTGATCAAAGTTCGAGGGTACGTTGCTTTTTTGGTTTTCTTTGTTCTCTTGTTTGTTCTTGTTTATTTATTTCTTTATTTGTTTTTCATGCCCTTCCTCTCTACGTTAGTGCCAGAAGCTAAGAGAATTCCCAGTTGGCAAGTGGCCCCTGCGGAGTTGGAGGCTGTACTCCTCAAGCATCCTGGCATTGAGGATGCAGCTGTGACGGGTGTGACTTCCAAAGATGGTAGCACAGAAGTGCCACGAGCTTTCGTGGTACGTGCAAAGCATCCGGCCGGGACGCAGTTGACAGCGGAAGAAGTATACATGCACTGTCGGCGACAGTTGGCTAGCTACAAGGCACTCGACGGCGGCATTCTGTTTGTGGAGGAGATCCCGCGCACGGCGAGCGGGAAGATCCAACGATTCAAACTATCGCAAATGAACACGTACCGCGAGATAGTGTCATCGCTCTTGGCGCGGTTCAAAAGAACTAGTAGCCTCCAAACAGTTGGTCTCCTGCATCAAGGACGTATCACCGTTTAGGGGGATGATTGCTTTTTCTCTGTTCTTATGGCGTTCGGCAGGCTTTGCGGAATTTTGGGAGTTATTAGTAGATTTTCCCACAGTTTGGATTGGTTCCTTTGTATTTGATGCAGCTAATATAAAGGTGGTTTTGTTTTCACCCAGCAGAGTCAATGATCACATAGGTCTGGTTGTGACAGTTACACTGGCTTTTCATTCCCCGTATGAAGCCTTATTCATTGGCGCCAAGTAGTTCGGTCTGATCAATACCCTTCACGGCAAGGAACCGCATACCGCAATGAGCGAAATGCAGGCCACTATCTTTCGTGTCAGTGCTTCCTCGTTGGGGGAGGGAGAGTCTCTCTTTTTCTCTTTTCTTGGTTATCCGATATGCACCGCCAGCGTTGAGTACCCTTCCCAGTTTCTTCATGCATCGCTCGAGAACAACCAGGTTGCACCACGTCTGTCTTCATGTACGTACAACATGTACACACATATGTACCGTTCCTCGGAAGCCAGCACAAACTCCCCTTCTCCCATGAAACCAAGGAAATTACTTTTCCCCATCTTATCTATTTCCGTTTACTCGTCCGTAATTCTTCATGTTCCCATCGTATATTAACCTCTCAAACCAAAATACCCTTGTTCCAAAACCTACCAAAAAAGATAAGGTAAGTGAGACCGAAACTCAAACTTTAGTTCAATTTAATTTAGTTAAATTCACTCCGCGAATCAGCTAACTCCTCTGATTTGCAACTTGGTCGGATCGATTGGGGATTTATCCGGTTTAACAAGTCCAGCAAATCATCAAATTTCTCACTTTCGGTTGCTTTTCGAATTGCGATTTTATCACTTATTTAATTTATTCAGAAGCCAATAAAAAGAAAATACAGAAAATGAGATTGCACATGAGGTATGTATCCATGTTTACATACATCCATACAAATACATATGAAGAATTCCAAGAACAAGTGGAGTTCACCGGGTATGCAGTAGGGTGGTTGGGGAGAACAGGGGGGGATCCTTGTCCTGTACCTATATAGTAGGTATCTTTGTGTGATCCTGGGATATATTCTGAGTAGGTACTAGGTAATGTTATTTATTTTTGATCCAAAAAGTTTCATTTGTGTTGCATTACTTTATATCATTATTATTATTAATATCATTGTATTAGGTAAACAGTGAATTTATCTACATATACACATAACTACTAGTTATAGTAAATAGTACTAACTACTAACTGTATAGATTAAAAATGACGTCAGGTCCAAGCGTTAACCTTTTTTTCTTTGTTGTTTTAAATTACATCTAGAACTGTTCGAACTTTGAACCCCCTGCTTGGTTCATCCCGTTCCCGTGGTTTATATCTTGGGTTACTTTCTTTACTTACGTTGATTAATAATTTAATTTGATCTTATTTATCTTATTATTCTGTTTCATATTACGCATCCGTTTAAATTGTTTATTGAGATGTTAATTTATTATTTAATATATTTTCAGCATTGGGAAATGATAGATCTGCAGAAAGAAAAGAAAAGAAAAGAAAAGAAAAGAAAAGCAAAGAAAATCTCGGAGAAGTGCGGTCTGCTGAAGGAATGGCTTTTTCTTTTCTTGACTTGACGGGGAAGTGGATCCACTATCTAACCCCAATAAATAGCGTTCGGTGGACCTGAGTCTTAGTTAAAGTATCGTATACCGATCGGTGTCAACGTGAGTGGCGGTGGGAGCGACCGGTTTCTCCCCATGCGTGATTCCCAAGTGGATGCGATGGGATTGCTCGAAATAGTAATAGGAGGATACCTTCTAAGAAAGTCTATTTGTTGTTCCCAAAGTTGAGTCCTTTTTACGGTAATGTCCTATGTAAGTGTGTACACTAGTATTATATGGTACTTAATCAATCGTCTGTGGGTGTGGCGCAGGATGCACCGCCACATGTTTTTTTTTTTTTTTTTTTTTCGGATCGAAGGAAAGAGAGATGCATTGAATGGGGGATGGTCTGAGGGTGCGACTAAGTTTCGATAGTCGATTGATTCTATCGGACTGTCTTCCTGTCAAATCGCTCCAGCGCGATTTCCGGTCGGGTGATAATCCCTTTAGACTTTCTATAGTTCTACAATCGCATTGTCCATCCCCTTTGGCCCTTTTCGGAAGGTTACACGCCATCAGCTGTCATTAACGTGACTATTGTATTTTGCTTTGTCCGGATCGTGCGGCTGCTCATCCCATCCACGGCATCATTTCGATCCCACTTCATTGGCGTGCTCATCTAGATACGGGTTTCTCTGCTCATCTTGCCCGTGGGTACTTCTGACAGTGATCAACTCCAAAGTGCTTTGGAACCCCCCACCACTTCAGCCCCGCTTTCCGTGAGATCTCAATCCGGACCATCGACGGCAATTGCTAAGATGTGATGGAGGGGTGGAGATACCCGTGCCCCTTCCAAAGCCCGGTTGATGGTGCGCCTGGCGCGGTACATGGTTGTGAACTTTTCTTTCAGCCTGCGCCGCGCTCACGTCTCAAATCCCAGTGTTCCGATCCCCCTCACTGTCGATCGCCGAAGAGGAATCCCAGGGTGAAAGGCTGCCGCGGTGATAACACTAGTCACAGACATCAAGCGAGTAGGAAGCTATATCGCTCCATTCTGAGAACGGAAGTCCCGATACATACATCATGTGACATCGTCTCCCTTAGCTGCAGATACCACCACGTTCGCTCGGGAACAAGGCACCGTCGCTTGTCAACAGGGGTTTGGCTGCCAGGTTTCTACCCTGGCTTAATCTGCCCTCCCGGTTTGGGCTCGGTGGCGACGCTCAGACCCCGAGGAACGATTAAACCTTGTCACCGGGCCCGTCTCGACTGTCGCCACGTAGACCCTTGAGGTAGCCTCAAACTCGTCAGTATCCTAGTATCACACCTGTCTATCTCTCGGGTGGATCGTACTGAATGCAAATGGAGATTTTCGCCCAAACCCCAGGAATTGAGGTTCTATAATACTTCGTTGTAAAGGTGTGATCAGACAGTAGCATCGCTCAGACCTTCACTGCCCAACAATTCATATTCACATGCTTTGCTGGAATTTTGGAAAGGAAAGCCTTGCCCTTAGCGTACTTATCACACACAATCCCGAGCTCACAGATATACCCAATACTGCCGTGTATGCATAGCTGGCCCACTGCCGTCTGCTAGATGTTCGTTGTGATGTATGCTGTACTACGAGGAGTGCAACGGGGCACCTGACATCGTCGATATGTCATGCATACAACGCCGATGTACCTCCCGAGTATAGGGCTCTAGACCATCTGTCCTGCAGAGTGACGTTATAATCGAATCCGAGTCCAAGAATCGACCCCCAGCACTCCCATCATACGGCTGCGGCACGTGCTCTGCCTGACCTACAGAGGTAGTTGAAAATTGAATATCGTAAAAAGGCAACCAAAGTAGCGTAAGAACTCGTCAGACAAAACAGTCCAGGTTAGAATCTCTGGCCCTCCGGTAAAAGTTGCAGTATGTCCCGACTCAAAGAATGCTGTAACCCTTCCACCATACACCCCAGACCAATGGCCCTAATGCCCCCAATACAGCCGCACCGACTGGGATCTCCAAGATACTCCACACCCACAGAGTCCCGATGGAAGGCGCTCGTTTCATAATAGCGTAGTACGGCTCTTCGTTAGTCATAGCCATCAGTTTAGCCCCGAGGTAGATAGCAAGCGGAAGAAAGAGCAAGGTCCGCCACGAGGGCGGAAAAAGAAGCTTTCGAAGAAATGAAATCGACAGTTTATTCCGATTGAAAGGGATGAGCGATACGAATTCAGAGCTCTGGGTACTGCCGAAAGACATGATATGCCCATGTGCCAGATGGATAGCAAATGTCAGGAATGGAAAAGCTACGAATAGGGATTCGTGAATTATCTTTTCCAAGACGATGGTTTCTGCGTACTGATGAGCCGCGAGATAGGCCAACGTCATGTGTAACGTCGTCAGGGGCACGGAGAGCAAGACTGTGTCGATGACGGGCGGGAGTGGCACGTCATGTTCACCCTGGCCTTTCTCAGACCCAGTATTTCCATCAGATGGCGAACCCGTGACGGATCTGTTGTTTCGCTGTTGTTCGCCTGGGAGCTCGGATGCGTCGAAGTTGGAAATTTCGCCGGAGGTCGGGTCGATGCTCACGAATCGGGTCCCCATCCCAGGGCTCGACCTGCCTGTCTCGGTCGAATTATTTTCTTGACCGAGGCCCAGAAGCTCATTCTGCCGCTCAGATATCAATTCAACGAGCGTCTTTTCTTTCGGATTCTTTGTGGAGTTTCGGGATGGATGGGCCAGTGGAATGGAGGATGGATCAAAAGTCGAGTCGGATTCGCTCTTGGAGGAGGCGGCGACGGCCCGTCGTTGCTTTCGATTTCTAGGAGCTTCCATATTGATAGAGGATCAAAAGGAATTGGGCGAATGGGCAGTTGGAGGTCTGTTGGGTTGTGTATATGTTTGAAGGGTTGTTGATGGAAAAGATCACCTGTCAAGTCGGATGTTTATGATCGCCGTCGGATATAAGCGGGGTTAAGGCTATTTATGGACACATATTGTCATACTACTCCCTTCACCTAAGATCATTTCTTAACATCGGCATCAGTCTCAACTAAGATAATAAGCCAAAATTTACATGTTACAAGGCATTATTCCCTCAATGTTAAGTTCGCACATAAACACATATTACCTCACGTCAACTATGTACAATGTTTCTGCAACAGACTCCGAAGCGAACAATCCTCAAGCGTTTCCTCGGGCTCAAAGATCAGATAGCATCCGAAAGATGGGAGAATCTAATGTAACGTTAATATCTCATCACCATATTTTCTTATGCACCACCAGGGTGACTTTGTGTTCAACCGGATTGGTAGAGAGCCGGACCGGCAACCACATGGGGATTGATCATTGAGAGGTTGGACGGTGTCAAGGGGTTTGAATCGGTGACTGCGATAGACACAGTACCATTGATGGCAGGGTCACCAGCATATGTCTCAACATCTGGCTGGATTGTCGTTCCACGCTTATCATTAGTCATACTCAGCGAAGAATATGTCACATTCAACTGTGTTATCCATGCGGCGTACCTCGCATTGCCCGCCGTCGTTGAGGTAATGTAGCTGTTTTTTGGGTCCGACTGACTGGCCTGGGGCATCCCAATGCAGCAAACCCCTCGCCCTGGCCATGAAAGAGGCCGTGTGTGATTGTGCGTAATCGCAGGTTCAAAGTGTCATACCACTCCCTAGGGTCTCATTCAGCGCAGAAGGTCCGTTGAGACTTGTCGGGTTTGGTTGATTTTCGGTGTACAAGGCTGGGGAGTTTTGCCACACTAATCTAGTCTGATCCGCGGGATATGAGCTGATGTAAGGTGCTAGTAATGTCCAAGCCCAAGACTGAGGAACTCCAACTTCAAACGACAACGACATTGGAAAGAGCCCTCGAACTGGCGGAATTTCATTTGCTACCGAGCTTCCGTGGTAATTGACTAGAGAAGAAGCGAGCGTCGCTGTTTCACGTGAATTGAGATGGCCCGGAAATCCATAAACGCCAGACTCTCCAAAGCGAGTCAGCTACTGGCAAAAGTCCACAAAGTACAGATCTAGTTCGATATATTCCTAGTAAAGAGTAAAGGGCCTGGTATCACAGTTAGCATATGTGGTCCTTCAGTCCACAGGTATTCTATAAACATACCAATGACTCATAATCAAAGTCACTCTTCTCATTGTATACTGGCCTCTCTCCGCCAGTTCCAACGCCACCAGCTGGGATGTAGGGGCCCGGCTGAGGGTTGTGGAGCTTCCCATCACTTGGGTAAGTAGTAGCCGTGGACGGGATCCCCAGGGGAGGAACACCAGTACCAATTGAAGACGCACTTAAAGCTCCGGTGACTGTTGGGGTACCCCTAAACGGAGTATGAGTCAACGAAGTTGGGTGGCTAACTGCAGGTGCAAGAGATATAGCTCGAGCAGCTTTTTCCAGGGGAGTTGCCAATGTCGCTGACAGCCAGCTCAGGCAGCCGAGCACGACAAAGCGATTACAAGGCATTGCTAACGTTTGAAGCACGAAACTAGGCTTTATCCACAAGGTCGGGTATCCTGTGGTTCAAAAAGCCGCTGGTCGACATCTCGGGCTGTAGTATCGAGAGAGCTGCAATATATAGGAGAGTCAAGCATATGGTATTCATTGCGAAAGTGTCCACGTCTGATGCAATCGATGTATTATTATGTCCAGTATCTCTTCTGCTTATTCAAAATTGTGATCCTGGCTGTGAGAACAGCGCCATCCCTTCCCGGTAGCTCCTGTATGTGTAATATATGCGGCATATCCATGTCACCATCATTCAATCAGAAACTGACGGGTGCTAGACATTGTAAAAGTGCTAGTAGCTCGCCTTCGATCACCGTAACCATTGCGGTTGGGAAAGCATGTTCTTCGGCACTTGAAATCCGCTCAGTAGACTATGATAGACAGGGATGATAAGTCATGTGGATACTAATCATGGTAAGACACCTCCACAATCAGAGCGGATTTGTAAGGTGGAGTTTCTCAATTTTAATATCAGTAAGGCTATCAACACATTATCCATACATAGCAGAGAAACAGGTATCGGTGGAGAGCATACTGTATCTGATGGAGCAGATCTTTTCAGAAAAGAGAGCCATTAAACCGCCATCTATCACTCGTGTTGTGTACCGGCCAGTGTATTATTCAGAGTGAACGGAAGCCAGCATGCAGCCCTACAGCCGCAGAGCTGAAATGCGTACAGCATGAGAAAAATGTGGGACCCATCGGTTTGTTGATAACCTGTTTCGTTGGAGGAAGTAAGGGCGATGACGTTAAGCACACTCATCAGGATCTGGAATTCTTTGATAATAGAGTCCGATGAACTCATTCATCAAGAAGATGGTCTGCCAAAGTGGTGTGATATTTTCCGGCTCGGAATTATGAGCTCCTCAATACAATCTAGTAAGCTGGCAGACCACGTCCCATTCAGGCTACCGCCATCTCGTGACAAAAGAGCCCTAAGCTTCGAGTAAAGTGCAGGGTACTGCTAGTATTCACTGACAACTTTAAATTGCAGGTAAGCGTTACTACAAGTGGGTGTCAAAAGTAGCCTCCTAACGTTGGTCAGATATGGTAGGCTATGAATGCTTCATACAGTGCTCGTCACTAAGCATTAAACAATTTGTCTACTAAGGATTGCCATTATACTCATCTGCGTAGAGGGATATCTAATAGGTATCAGCCCTAGCTAGTTACAAGATGTACTACATATTGCTTTGCAACTTCTATCCGTCCATAGATCCTAAGTTACAGTGTCGAAAGTACTATGCATCTAGTTCCCAGACTTTTTCTAGCCTAATAGCTATTGAAGGTAAGCCCTAATGCGGTCACTTTTGCACCACACGTAAGGATAGTGTGCACATCAACTGGATTGAGTTAGCAGCTGCGAATAAAAGCATTGCAATAGCATGCACTAATCAATTGATTAAAGAGGAATATAATGCGAGTCAGGACCGAGGATTACCCCGCACGACGTTTACGAGTGGGGGAAATTGACGATATAGAACCTTATCAATCAACCCACCAGATAATGAATTTTCTCCTCTCTTCACTTCACCCTTTGTACATCTGAGAGGATTCGAGATCCATTGATATTCTAAATCACTTTGGTCCTTCACCATTGCAAACATCCCCAAACCCCCACCCCTCATATCCAAAATGTCTCACCTTCAACCCTCAACCCTATTCTCCGTCAAAGGCCTAGTCGTAGTCCTAACAGGAGGGGGAAGTGGTAAGTACAATTGTTTGCCCTCGTAGCTGCTTCTTGCCCCAATTCCCAGCCCCCAAGTGATAATTCCATCGCAACACAGCAGAAATTGCCAACCCGCCCGCATAGTCCCTACCTAAAAAGCAAAGAAGCCGAACAAACACTCAAAGCTAACAAACCCTTCCCCAAACCACAGGCCTAGGGCGCATGATGGCACATACCCTCGACGCCAACAATGCATCCAAGATCTTCATAATTGGCCGCCGAATCAAAGCCCTGCAAGAGACCATCGCCCAGACCCCTAACGCCAACACCGCCATAATCCCAATCCAAGCCGACATCTCCTCCAAAGAATCCCTAGAAGCAGCCTACAAAGCCATCGCCGCCCAAACTGACCACGTCGATCTCCTCCTCGCCAATAGCGGCATCCTCGGCCCCAACGCCAGTCCGCCACCCCCAAACACCGACGGGTCTCTCCCTACCCTCACCCAGGTCCGGGACCGCCTCTGGTCCGTCCCCATGGAGGACTTCACGAAGGTCCTCGACGTCAATGTCACCGGCGCGTATTACACGGTGCTGGCTGTCTTGCCGCTGTTAGAGGCTGCGAATAAGCAGCGGCCGGTGGCTGTTAAGAATCAGGTCTCGGCGCCCACGGCGCAGGTTATTATTACTACTTCCATTGCTGGGTTTAATCGAAAGGTGCCTGTTAGTGCAGCCTATAATCTGTCGAAGGCGGCGGCCAAGCATTTGGTGAAGATGCTTTCGACGACGTTGGCATTTTATGATATTCGGGTTAATGGGATTGCGCCGGGGATTTATTTGTCGGAGATGTCGGCGCAGAACTTTGAGGAGGGGGATAAGGGGGTTTCGGATGGGACGTTTCGGAGGGAGATGATTCCTCTCACCAGGGCTGGTGGGGAGGAGGATATTGCTGGGCTGCTTCTTTATATGGCTAGTGCTGCTGGGGGTTATTTGAACGGGAATATCACTATTTCTGATGGTGGGCGGTTGGGTAATGTCCAGGCGACGTACTAAGGAGTGTGGACGTCCCCAGACCATCTTCTTGTGGGTAAACTAAGTTGTATATACTTGGCATTATGACTGAATGAATCTATTTTCAATTATTTACTACATGAACGGACACGATTTTCCGATGCATCCGGTACGTGAGAGCAGTTGTGTACAGGAAATGATAGGGCTGCAACTTCGATAAACCAACGCTGGAGTAAATAGCAAACCAACCAATTTGTCAGAAATTCAACGGATACTCCGGTATTAGATAGTGGCTGTGAGTCGCTGGACTAGGTAATCCCCAGCAACAATACCCGGGTATTTCGCTTTCTTGATATCATCTCCGTAGGTTCCAGGGATAGCTTCGATGAGCTTGTTGTTGTTAGGGTTGCAAAAATATGCAATGCTGTACCGATCTGGATACATATCTGACTCGTTCGTCTCGCCAATAGGGGCTGGTGGCTCCACGACCCGATGGCGTGTACTCTTGATCATATCATTCGACCATCGCGCCAGCAGGTCACCCGCATTGACAACCACTGTATCTGCGATAGGAGTCACATCGACAAAGCTACCTATAGGACTACGCACTTGGAGTCCACCGCGACCATCTTGGAAGAGAAGCGTGATAGAGCCATAGTCGCTATGCTCACCCGCACGAACCTGCGCCGGGTTCTTTTTGAAAACTTCCTTCGACACAGCTGGATAGTGAAGCAAGCGAAGATTATTGTCCCCTTCATCTACGTAAGAATCGAAATAATGCTCCGGTAAGTTCATCCCAAGGGCAATGGCCCGCATTACTTCCATGTGGAGGGATTTGCATCTGTTGAAGAATGATGTCATGACTTCCCTGAAATCCTTTCCTTCATCGTCGATCTGGTCCGGCCAGCGGTTCGGAAGATCATCCACATTGTCGCGACCGATCTCCATGGTTTCCTTGAGATCTGAGGTAGCTAGGAGAGTTTCAGGTGCCGATGGATCGTCCACGGTGCTCAGCTTCTCTTGTCCCGTCTTCACGTAACCACGGTTCGCCTGTGGGGTAGTCCAGCACACGCTGTCTTTCTGATCTTGGGGTCTCGCAAAGAAGCGTGCAGATGAGCCAAATACTCGGGAGATGACGGAAGGGGGGATACCGTGCTCCTTGAGATAAAGGAAGCCGGATGTTTTGAATGCTTCTACGACGGACACGGCGACGGCATGCTTGTCAGCGGGGGTTCCGCTGAGAAAGGGAGCGAAGTCAATGATCTACAGTCATAAGTAAAGGCCCAACACACAGCAAAGACGAGCGATCAAAGAATTGAATCATAGAAAAAAAAACCACCGTGTTGGGATTCAACATTCAACTCTTGTACTCACTGGAATGACAATATCATCTTTCTCAACCGCGGTGGTCGCAGGATGACACGCCTGCTGCGGCAGATTGCCGTCCATTTTGAATAGAGCGGCACAGAGTTGTATTATCTGGAAGCGTAAAATTTGAGTGAAAGAGAATCGTTTAGTAGGATGGTCAGGAAGGTTTTAAAAGGCGAACAAGAGCAGTGGCGTGAGAGAAGTGGAAAGGCCTGGTGAAGTCACCACGGAACCAGAAGAGCGAAAGACCGAAAGAGAATATCATCTCTTTAAGCAAGTAGAAGTCCCTCCTCGTGACCAGCAGGTGGCATGGAAGCGGGGAAGATAAATTCAATACAACTATGGAAATGGTACCTTAATCTTCTATGTATCTAATCTTATCTTGACTGACAGAGGAACTAGATAACCGATAATCAATTAATTCTAGGGCATCAATCAGACCATGATAACGGACTTCAACTCATGATAACGACTTGGCTTCCATCGATTCATTGACCTCGGAGTTGATGTTCACTAAACTTGAACATACATTGAATCCAGCACTTGTAACCCCACCTCATCATATCTCCTCCTCTCAACTCAGCTTCCCCTCTTCTTCATTGCAACCTCAATCCATGTCTCTACAACCCTAACCTCATATCCCACCTCCCAAACGCATCACTTAACTATAGTCTCCAGAAGTATCGAGTAACAATGTCGCCTCTCATTGTTGATATCCATACCCATGTCTATCCTCCGGCGTATATGGAGATGCTCCGCGCTCGCAAGAGCGTCCCTTACGTCCACGATCCGGCTAACAATGCAGATCCCCGTCTGATCATCCTATCTTCAGATGATGACCCTTCAATTCCCCTCGATGAGCGCGGTCGCCCAGTTGACTCATCCTACTGGAATATCGACATGAAGCTGGCCTTCATGCGTCACCATGGAATAACCTGCAGCGTGATCTCTCTCGCCAACCCCTGGTTAGACTTTCTCGAGCCCGAAGAAGCGCAGAAATGGGCAGAGCGCGTCAATGATGACCTAGAAGGCACCTGTGCACGCGTGAACCAAGCCGCAGACCCGGAGAAAACCCTTGCGCTTCACGAGAAGGAAACGCTATTTGCTTTCGGTGCACTTCCACTAAGTGCCCCCAGCGCGGATATTGTCGTGAATGAGATTAAGCGACTTAAAACTTTGCCGCATCTCCGAGGTGTCATTATGGGTACTTCCGGGCTAGGAAAAGGACTGGATGATAACCAGCTAGATCCTGTCTGGGGGGCACTGCAGGATACCGAGTCTCTTCTCTTTTTACATCCACACTACGGACTACCCGATGAAGCCTTCGGTGGCTCAGACGCGATGAATCGCTACGGCCATGTTCTTCCGTTGGCGTTAGGGTTTCCCCTAGAAACGACAATTGCGGTGACGCGGATGCTTTTGGCTGGTGTTTTTGATCGGTTTCCGCGATTGAGAATTTTGTTAGCTCATTCTGGAGGCACGCTTCCCTTCCTTGCGGGGCGCATTGAGAGCTGTATCCATCATGAGCGCAAGTTCATTGCCAACGGTGGTGATGTACCTGGCCCCCAACGGAGCGTTTGGGACGTGTTGAAGACCAATATCTATCTTGATGCTGTGGTATATGGCACTGCCGGTTTACAGGCGGCAATGACGGCATCTGGAACAGATCGTCTGCTTTTTGGTATGGCATTTCTTGAGATGGTGTTAGAATGATATGACTTGCTCACTGAATACTAGGAACGGATCACCCATTCTTCCCTCCTTTGGATGGTAAAGAAGAGAAATGGCCTAGCGTGACGACCAACTACAAGGCTATCCACTCTACGTTTGATAAGGATGGCGATGCAGCTGCGGCCGTCCTAGGCGGAAATGCAGCCCGTATTTTAGATCTGAAGTGATCTTCCGATCAGAGCACGGTTGGAGGAAACTTACAGATGAACATATCTATAGACAGTTATAACCATCAAGAACAATAGTATAAACCTTCTCTGTGACCAGAACCTTCTTCTGATAAGACAACAGTATACTGTGATAAAACTACTTTCAACGATTTGAAGGGTTGCAGTTCACCAATATGTCCCAACCCAGTAGTCTCCAAACTTCTTGCATGAACCAATCCGGGACCGATTGGTCCGGAATTGGCGGACACGTTTGTAGACCGTCAAGATCTCCACCTGTCTGTGTGGGCTGATGGAATGATTGTCCCCAAATCGACTCTCTGCCAAAAACCGCCTGGAGAAGGGTGCTTTGCAGTCTCTCCTTGAGCTTTGCCTCAAATGACACACTTCTGCGACTGTCCCTAGATTCCGAGGGAGACAAAGATACAAGCCGGGTTGTTACTGCCAGTGTTCTCTCCAATAGCCAAACTAGGTATTTGGCCTCAATATTTGCGGCATAAAATGTCTTGTCGTTGAGGTCGACCTCCGTCAAACCTCTAGGAAGCGGGAGCTTCGTAGAGTCTGTACAAAGTTCAGGACGCAGTTGAAGATCCTGAAAGACGAACAGACACAGCAACTTCCCGACCCGGCTTATCAAAAGGAATAGAAATCCTTCTAAAAGATTTTGATGTTCTGAACTTGCAGGGTCAAGAGCAGACGCCATCGTGCTCAGTAGCTGGGTAATCTGCACGGAAACCTCATCATCGGTTTTCACAATAGTATCTGACGGTTGAACATCTTTGGCTTGCCGGTGGCTCATCGCTTGTTTCTTCTTGGCTGACGGTGTTGAATGTGCCTGCTCTGATTTAACCTTGCATCGCTGCTCCAAAGAATTCATCGTTGACTCATAAAGATGAATTACATGGTATATGACGTGGTTGACGTATCGTGTTCCATTTTCTGCTCCGGAGAGAGCTTTGATTGCCCGTAAAAGAAGTTTAAAAGCGCCTCCCACACCACGAATCACTTCAACAATACCGGGTTTCTCGACCCCTACTGAGCCCCCCTTTTTCGCAACACTAGAAACCATTCTATTCTCATAACCTGCTTTCGAAATTTCATCCGCAGCTGTCGTGCATAAATTAACCGCAGCCTGAACAACCGCCGACCCAGTACCCCGTTTCTGAAGCGCCTTCTGAAGCGTATAAAACTGCCTCATAAACGACCCAGTAGCTAAAACACCAAACCAGTCAGCACAGCACCTAGCATATTAACTCAATCACAAACTCACACTCCTCCACATAGTCAACAGACCCAAGCTCATCACCTACACGCAAAGCATGACCATTACCATTACCTAAATGGCCGACCTGAGTCTTCGCTCGTTTCCGTGTCATTGCAGCCTTCTTCCCAACAGTTGCCTTCCGTTTCGATGAAATTAACACTGATTCATCCCCAAACGTAGCATCCCGGGCCTGTATCTTCGCATTAAGCGCTTCATTGCGCCTCTCGAGGTCATAGATGCGATCTAATAGTTTACTCTGCTCGGCTTCAGACTTTTCGTACGCTTGCTGCCAGAAGGAGACACTGTCGAAGAATTTATCCTTGTCTTGGGTATATGTTTTGTCTGCGTCTTTGGTGGCTTTGATATTCTGGCGGATTTGGAGAATATACTCTGCGTTATTGGTGTGAGCGAGTGGGTAGGGGCTGGGGTCTGGTATGGAATTTTGGGGATACCTTTTATATCCAGGTCCGCTGGTTTTTGCTTGACGATTGCTAGTGCGAGGGCTAGTTGTGCTGGGAAGGGGGTGGTGTCGGCGTCCATCTCTGCTTTTTTTTGGTGTTATGTCGTGGGCATGGTTGGATGGGTCTTTTGGTATTGGGAGTATAGATGGGGTAAGAGTTAGCAGACACGTGCTTTTAGTTTACGTATGATTGATTGAAGATTGGTCTATGTAAAGTGATATATGTTTTATTCTCTGGAAATACCAAAGAAAATAAATACTGGGAACATGAAAGACTTGCGATACTGTCATATCGATAGATATAGTACTGGGAACTATTATAGCTACGAGCTTTATAAACAGTGTACAACAAACTCGCAGACATAAGAAATGAACCCAAATAAAACAAAATTCAAGGTCCCTGATCATCGAAGAGAGGCGATAAATATTATAAATATTCTCAAATTTCACAGACCTCTCAAGCTTGTAGTTCGGTAAATTTAGTTCATTTTGATATAAATTCATTCCGAGTCCCGCCACCGCCCTCCGCCAATAAATACCAACATTTCCCCCAAGCTACTACTTCACACCATTCAATTTCAACCTCTCACCTAAACTCGAACCCGCCAACGCACTAGGGTCCCCAAGTACACTTGCGTACAAAGCGCAAGCCATACAATTTCCTCCCTACCATCAATTCTCGGATCGCTACCTAGCTTCCACCTACACATTGCAAGCAGCGACGCCTAACCTACAACCCCCCACAAGATGGCCACAAACGACGACCTCAAGGCGCACGCTGCCTCTAGTCAAGACTTCTACGCCCTACTAGACATCACGCCAGCAGCCTCCGAGTCCGAGATTCGCCGCGCATACAGAAAGACCGCACTCAAATACCATCCGGATAAAATCGCGAACCCGACGCCCGCTGACATCGACAAATTCCATACATTACAGATTGCCTATGATGTCCTCTCTGATCCGTCCGTACGGCAGTTGTACGATAATGCACGGGAGGCGCGGCAACGGAAGCAGCGCGAGCGGGAGATGATGGATTCGGCGAAGAGGAAGATGAGGGAGGATTTGGAGGCTAGGGAGCGCGCTGGTGCTGCGGCGATGGGGGGTGCGTCGCGTGGGGTGAAGCGGATGTGGGCGAGTGGGACGGGTGATGATGATGCGGAGGAAAAGTTACAGAAGGAGATTGAGCGGATTGCAGAGGATGGGAGGCGGCGGCGGCGGGAGGCGGAGGAGCGGTTGAAAAGGGAGGCGGAGGAGGAGGAGAAGCTTGTGCAGCGGGAGGAGGAGGAGGCGCGGAAGGCTGCTGATAGGAGTAGTCAGCGGGTTGATCGGTCACAGGAAGGGGGGGCGAATGTGCCGGAACTTGAGCGGGCTGTTAAGGTGCGCTGGGTTCGTGAAGGTTGGGGGTTGCCGTTGGATAAGGATCGTTTAACGGCTTTGTTTGCCCCATTTGGCAAGATTGAGAGTGTTGTTGTGCTTAAGGATAAGCGACAGCGTATCGGGGAGAAGCGCGAGAAAAAGACTGTCGCAACGGGCGTCGTGGTCTTTACTTCTATTGTGGGCGCACATGCTGCCGTTCTAGACAGTGAGAAAAAGATACTCCAGGCTGCTGGACAACCGGATAACGAGTGGAGCTACATTGACTCGGTATGCTGGGCATCTGGTAAGCAGCCTGATCTAGGGACGGGGCCTGACAATCGTCCTGCTTCTCCCAGTGCAGGGACCGGTGCAGCACCAGAATCAACGAAGCCAGCTGCCCCTCCCAAGCCCACATTCAACTTCCCCGGGATCAAGTCGGCGGGATATAATAGGACCGAGAAGAAATCTGGGAAAGCACCTTCTTTTGGCTCATTTGCTTCTGCTGCGGCCGCAGCTGGCTCGGCTAAGTCTACACCTAACTCATCGGCTAATGACACTAGCACCCCCAGTCTGGAAGAAGTGACATTAATGCGGCTGAAGACCGCACAGCGAGAAAAGGAGCGCAAGGCTCTTGAGGAACAGCTTCGGAGAGAAGATGAAGCTGCAGATGCGGCGGAGGCCGCGGCTGCTGAAGCCAATGCTTAACTTTGCTGCTCTTCTTTTACGTTGATTCCCTTTTGCCCTCCTACATCCGCACATGCTGGACACGGAGATCACAAGTTCTTCGTCCATCCTACGGTCAAGTTTCAGTGGGACAAATTTACTGGCGTTGTTGTGGGAGATTTGTATAAATAGACCTGTTTCTACAAGAGATACCCTTAATTTATGGATCAATGTTTGTTCAGATTGCCGTTCTATAATACATGGTCGTTACTACACATATGCTACATGATATAAGAGCCTGCTACTCTTTCTGTCGGAGCGACTCTTCCTCCTCTAATTGCTCCAGGAGCTCTCGTGCGCGATGGCCATCTTCGGCTTCGCGACTACGGGCGTTATTTTTTACGCCTCCGTTTAGGATGAAGTCTCTCGTCCAGGACGGTACAAATGCCCTCAGCTTGACCTCCCCAGGCTCCCGAGGGTCCGACAGACCTTCTTCCGCCGCAGTCCAGGATACTTTGAACTCCTGTTCCGGATTATACTGGGTGCCTTCGCCAGTAAGAGTGATATCGGTCATCATCTCCAACCGACACAATGCAAGGCCAATGTTACCAACTCCACCGAGGAATTTGCCTGTACTCCGCGACCTACGCGTGCTGATCTTGCTGATATTCATCCCACTCGGTGGTAAAGGCAACTCCACAGTAGGATCATACACGGGCTCATTACCGGATGCCAAAGCACTCTGATCTCCGGTATACAACTGCACAGGAAGGATCCGCTTCCGCACAACACCTGTATGGTGGGTACGAATCGTAAGCTCTTGACCAACATAACAGCCCTTGCGAAAGTCAATCCCCTTCATCATATCCATGTTGCACTCCAATGGGAGAGCCGATTCACGGATAATCTCAGACTGCCCTTCGGCAATACCGTGCAACATTCGACGCACGGTATAAGCTCCAAGGCTCGCCTCCGAGCCCGCAATCTGAGTTTCATCAGGAATATGGGCCCGAAGATCTTCCGCACCCGGAGTGATGAGTCGGGAGCCGAACCCAGGAGCCCTGGTATCGATGCACCCGGCGATCAGGGATGATAGGGAGAAAGGAGAGGAGGTTGGGGATTCCAGATTGTATGCGGCCCAGCGGGGCTGTTCGTGGTCTTTCCATGACGCCCACACCGTACGTTCTCCATCTTCGAGGGCACGTAGTTTAAGCTTCGCGCGAAGCTTGTGTTTCTTAAGATGCTTCATGAGACTGGTCACTTCATTCTTATCCACCTCAATAAGCCATGCGGGTTCGTCGGGCGACGCAAGCTCTGCTTGCGGGAGAGGATAGAGAAAAGCATCGTTCAGAATTCGACCTTGAGAGTTAAGGAAGGCGGTATAGGATCCGGTTCGACGAGTTGCGCGATTCGGATCATTCGATATTAGCATATTCTGGGTAATAAGGCCCTGAAGAAACGTAGTACTATCTACTCCGGTGATGGAGATCAGACCTCGGTTCGTAAGGCGAGCATAACCGGCCTCCGGCGGGGAAGCCGGAGTGGCATCGTTCTTCTGCTGTGACCCTAAACGGACGGTTGTTGAGAAAAGCCGGCTATGATTCGAGCAGCTAGCACATATCGTGCGTGAAAATGTGCTAGGGCGCATCATATCCACTAACTGCTGTAAGGAAGCGTCTGGAGAAAGTTTACAAATCAAAGAAAGCTCCGTGGATGATGATATCAATCAGCCAGCGGGCGGTGACAGGCAGCAGAAAATTATCAAAAACTCCACTTAGTTCGACTGCTTAATACTCTTCTTGTCTATAGTTCCCTATACTAAGAATTTAAACAAGAACAATCCCAAGAAGGAACTAAGAATATACGCAGTCCATTATATTGTACCGTCCAACGCGCCATAATATCTGCTCAAACCCAGAGCTACACTCAATCATATAAGCATAATGCCCTTATAAACAGCCAGCTCATTCACTTGTTTCCCTTGGCAACCCCTTGCAAGAATCCAAGCAAGAAAGCCTTGTTATCCGGTAAAGCCACGTTATTCGCAGGCAAGCTTCCATTGTCTTCCACTACGGGAGACCCTCTACTTGGTCCAGTTCCGGTGGGAAGATTAAGAGGTGAGAGTGGACTGACCACAGATGATGTGGTTGCTGGCTTCGGTCCCGATGTGCGGATGTTGAGCTCTCCTGTAGGCGGATGCCTAGGCGATACTGGCTGTTTGTTGAAAAGGGAGAGAAGTGCTTCTTTCTGAGCAGCAGTTTGACTTGGTCGACGATCAGGATTGCTTGCATCTTGTCCCGTGCTCGGGACCGGAGAATCATCTTGCTGGGATGAGTCATGGGAATCTTTGGCCCGCACGGGAAGGATATGGTCTAAATTTTGAGAACGGCGGAGGATTTGGGGCTGGAAAGGCTTCGAGGGTTCGGAGCTCTTCACCTTGCTCTCCGCGCGACTTCGGGAGGATGTCCGCGAAGATGATGCCACCGCTGGATTAGGCGACTGCTCTCTCTTAGCGGATTGAGGCCTGGCCAAGATTGTGATAGGTGACGAGAGACCCTGGGGCCGTCTATCTCTGTTGGCCTTTCGATTTTGCATGTTCTGGTTCCTCTTACCAGGTGGCCTTGTAGGTGCCTCAGACTGTGGTAGATTCACAGGCCCAGACACTACGTTTTGGTTCAATGAACTGCCCTTCGGAGCCGCATTTGCGTAAGTAAGTGCCTGTTGAGTATGATTTACATCACGGGGCCGCTGTAAAATCTCCTTTCTAGTCGGGGAGTTTGCGTGGCCCGCCAATTCGGCTGGCGCTGAGCCAGAAGCAACCGGAGACCCTCTTAGGAGGCTTAACAATTGATCCTGATGCTGTGATGATTTACGCCCATTCATGGGGACCTGTTCAGGCTGTGGTGCCAAGGATGCGTGGGTGGTCTTGGGCGTTTTTGCGGATTCATCTTTGAAAACGCTTAACAGCGCCAATGAATGGCTTGTGAGTCTCGGAGGCGGTAGCTTACTGGCAGGCGGTATACTCGCTCCTTGGATTTGGGAAGGCTGAGCCGGCTGGGAGAATGGATCTCCTGTTCGCTGGTAAGGAGCCGTATGTGCTTGGTTTGGTGGTGCAGTATGCAAGCCTGAAGGCAACCGTCCGTCATTGTAGGGCTGCGCAGAGACGTGCCGAGGGTAAGCATCGATACCACGATACCCAGCTGAAGGACCACGTTGATTCATATTTGGGGATTCTTGCGCCAATGTCTGCTGGGGGGTACGACGGTCTACGGCATGGTTGTTTAGAGGTGGCATATGAGGTACTGCGATAGGCTGCTGCCGTGGCGAAAACTGTGGGTGGTAACCGGCCCGTGGGCCTTGACCTTGCAGAGGAAAGCCTGGAAACAAAGTTGAAGCGGGATACGGTGGATGCTGACGAGGCACTGCTCCAGTAAAAGCGTGCGGTGGGGATGTTTGCTCATTGCTCGCAATCTGTGGACCAGCTTCGCGAGATAATCCACTTCTCAAGAGCTCCAAGAGAGCGTTAGATTTGGAGGCGTTAGTACTGGAAACTGGTAATGCCTCGGCAGATGGACCTGGGCTTTGCGTAGGTATAGCACCGCTGATATTCAAGAGACGCTTAAGGTGAGCAGAGGCATCTTGAGAAGATGCGACCTCGGGTAGTTCGCTAGAAGTGGCCAACCCTAGAGGCTGGCTGGGCGCCGGAAGGCCTTCATCCATCGACATCTCCCCCTCGTTCTGTAGAACATGGGTGGCACCTGTTTGCATCTTCGCATCCAGCCTCTTTTGCTGGGCGATCCATTTCTTGAGCGGATGCATGAATGGTGCAACCATGTAAAATTTATTCGCGTTTGCGACCGCAAAGCCCTGGTCCTGTTGTTTACTCTTCTTCAATGTTGGCAGCTCCGATAGGTTGTACCATTCAATCTTGCTAATTTCTTTTCTGGTGCGAGGCTCAAAGTGAGCATCGCGGGGTACCCCACGAAAAACATATAGCCGCATGTGTTGTTCTCTCATGGTGATTTCAATAAACTTGACATCCTTTTCGTCCTTGACGAGTCCAGCTTCGTGAATATCATAGCCAGTCTCCTCATAAACCTCACGGATAGCGCAGTCGAGGTCCTTCTCATCTTTGTTAATTTTGCCTCGTGGAAAACTCCAATTCGCGCCCTTCTTCCAGCCTTTGACCAAAACTACCTCGTCCATGTCTTGGTTGAGCATTATGGCCCCGCGCACGGGAACACGTGTCTTGTATGCCAGAAACTCGGAAAATGCTGTAATGTGGTGGTAATGTGACCATTGTGACATGAGCGGACAGTGCTGGAAGATGCGCAGGGCAAATGCTTTCAGGGAGAGCGAAGGAAGCGCCGGATCCAGCGGCCGGATGAAATCTTCGTAGAACCATTGTGCCTCCTCAACCTGGAAACATATTCGTTCAACAGATTCAAGTTCTTCACGAGGCAAGTTTATAATAAAGCGGACACACAGGTCATCCAGCCCTGTTAGAGATCAGCTGCGTCAGCATCGCCGTGAGTAATGGGGGAGGAAGCCATTCAAGATAGGGAATAACTCGGTCGAAAGGCTTACAATCTTCTAGCTGCATCTTTTTTTCTGTCATATTGTGCGATGTGCCTTAGCATTTCAACACAGCCTAGTTGGGGAGAGACGAAAAGGTCCCTGGAGCCTGGGACGCGCGGAGAGAGAGGTCGGCTTGGAGGGGACAGCACAGCGATGATGCAGCTTCCAAGGGTGCTTGGCAAAGCGCCAACCCTGAAGCGTACGGTGGCTGCAGAGGAGATACGGAGGCAATGAATACAAACCAATGGTTTGTCAATCGACTAGTCAAATGAGGGGAAAACCAGGGAATAAGAAAGGTGGTTGAAATAAATATTGAGTTGTACTCAACAACCGAAGAGTACGAGGAAGAGCACCTGAGAGCTTGCCCGAATTTCCATCTATGTGCATGTGGCGCTGTTGCCCAATGGCAGCCCACTGTGGCACGTCCGGTCGCCACAGATGTGGCGGTGTGGCTGGTGGTCTGATTGTCGGAAATCATGAATTACACAATGTAATGGACTAGACTTGGTGGAACTTGGAAAACTGCGGGATGACGTCCTCACACGGCCCATGGCCCATGGGAGAAACAGATAATGATAAAAAGGCTCAACAACATCTGTGTCTTCGCTGGAGCTTAAATGGTCGCTTCAAGCCTCCCTGGCTGAAAATATTCCTACGCTTGAGTTTTCTCCGATCATTTCTCTATAACTCTCCCTTGTGATCGCAATATAAGACCCTTGCCGAGGACTTACTATACTTATCGTCCTGGCCGGAAATACACCATTTCACGCGAGGTCTTCTGTCGCAACCCTACAATACTATCGGAAGCCTGTTTGTTTTTGTATCTAAATTATTTTAATTTTCTCGTTATTTCTTCTCAAACTTGATCGCAAAGCTATGTCAGGTCCGCTCGTGTCTCTGGTCGGCAAGAGGATTCTAGCAGAATCGGCGAGAAACCATTTCGGGCAAGAGGTGAGTGATCCACTGTATCTCTGGGTTTTTAACATATTTCTCTCATTCTACCAGTCTGTCTATTGGCTAAACAAGTATATCGGACGTAGGATCCGTATTTTGAAGAAGTTCCAGCCTCACGGTTGCACCGCGCATTCGGCAAAAAGACTCAAAAGCGACGCAAGGCGATTCCTCCGGGCCTGTCCGAAAATGATCGCAAAGTCCTTACGCAAGTGAAGCGTAGGGCATACCGACTAGACTTGTGTCTGTTTAGCCTGTGTGGCGTCCGGTTTGGTTGGGGCAGTGTGATCGGCCTGGTTCCATTGTAAGTAATTTACCATCCTGTGTCATCCAACAGCGCTAACTTCCGTGATATCTCAGTGCCGGTGACACTGCCGATATGGCACTTGCGATGATGGTGGTCAACACCTGTGATAAAATTGACGGCGGGCTCCCGACACGCCTCAGAATGATGATGCTGATCAACGTGATCATTGATTTCGCCATTGGCCTTGTGCCCTTCGTGGGGGATATTGCAGACGCCATGTACAAATGTAACACAAGAAATGCCGTTATACTGGAAAAGCATTTGAGGGAAAAAGGAGCCAAGGCGCTTTCGAAGCAACGGCGACGCCAAGAGACTGATCCAGATCCAAGTCTACCAGATGAATTTGACAAGTATGATCAGACATTGGTTAATGGCCCGTCTAGGCGTGAAAGCCACAAGCATCGCAGCAACACCAACCAAACCAGGAATGATCCAGTGGTTCATTCAGACAACCGGAAGCACACCAGATGGTTCGGCGGGTCTTCCCATCAGAGACATGACGATGTCGAAGCTGGAATTGTCGGCAACTCCCAGACCCGTAGATGATAAACGATACTGTGAAAATATATGGGCCGGCTTTTGTTTTGCGAATTTTTATTAAGGCGTTGGTGGTCAACAGATACCTCGGGTGATTTTTATGACTCTTCTTTGTGCTCTAATACTGAATTGAAGCGTTGCAATATCCAATTACGAGGTCGTACTCGGTCGTGACCGAGTGCATGCGTAGCAAAATTGAGATGCTCCAGCCTCATTCATCAAAGGAGCACCGCAAAAAGCACAGTGCGACACATCGGATGGCATTTGGGAAACGTCGAGTTTGTTCGCAGTCCTCGTCACATTCAACATGACACCGGGATATTTCTCGCCCTGCGTCAAGACGTACCGCATCATTAGGTCGTCGATAGATAGATTTTTGGTTAGAGTATTTTCGGAAAGGGGTTCATCTGGTACGATGAGGCTGGTGAGCTCTGGAAAGAAACGAGCATAATCCCTTAGCTCTGCCGTGAATATGTCCCGCAAGGGGAAGTTGAACTCCAGACCAAACGGTGACATTCCATCGGAGACCTGCCAGATTACTGAAGAGCCGCGCCCTTTTGCAACATTAGCAAGAGTTTTCGCAGCAAGTCTACTATCCGAGTCTCCCCATATGACTGTCTGACAATCCATTTTCTTTGCAAAGGCCACAATGAGTCGGTTCATCAAGGTATAATCAACATCAGCCTTCGAAGTGGATGTTGCGATACACGAGCGAAATGCATCGAGACGCTCTGCATTCGACAAGGTGATGTCATCCACAAATCCGTTGCCAGCAAACTGAGACATCGTCTCCTTGAAATCAGGTACGAGATCGAAGATACTGTGAAAGGGAACCCGGGTAAAGGAGCACAAAGGAAAAGATTTTTGAGCCAACCCGAAAGCCTCGTCGTCCGGAGGGTTTGAGGGCGAGATAGTTGACGGCTCGATGACGAGTACATGTAAGCTAAAGCCCGGAGTACCATGTGTTTTCGCGCGCTGAGTTTCAAGTTGATCATGCAATATGTGCAACAATACCGACGAGGAGAGACCGTAGGAAAAGGGAAAGAGCAGCTTGCACGGGGTGACTTTCGATAAGCCTCTATTCAAGCGAAACTTCTCCATGCGCTTGAAGACCTTGTACGACACGAATCTAATATAACAGTCCCTACACGCAGAAGGGTTAGTATTCACAGCAACCCCACTTGTACAGTAAAATCCAAGGATAGCAGGAACATACTTGCAGAGACGCCGCCGCCTCAATGTCAAACTGGCTTCTGCATCGCGGCAATCTACACAAGGATCTAGTAGTTCTTTCCCGGGCATCTTCAATTTGCTTGGGTGCGAATGTTGCGTTCTGATAGTATACGAAGGCGAAAAAATAAAAAAGTAAAAAAAAGAAAAAAAGAGGCAGAAATTAAATTTACTAAATTTAATCGCTCGGCGGTAAAAAGCATGGGCTTAGATAATACTCCCATCGGCGGGACGTCAACACGCGGCTTCTCCATCTTGAAAGCCAAGGTAGCCACGAATCCCTACCGCCTTAACCCGGGTTTTGCGAACAAAGTGCCGGCTTGTTATTTATTATCTAGGATCTCCCTCTCGCTCTCTCTTTCTTTCCCGCCCATAATAGCTTCCTTGCCCTTTCCTCTCATGATTCCGTGGTTGTAAATCACCCATTTGCTTTCGGCATCTCCGGAGCGCGCTTAGTACTACTACCTGGTCAGCTCCTTTTCAGCGCCCAGGATGAAAGGCTGGCTGCAGACCTTAGGCTTAGCTGCCTTGTTGGCAGGCCGTACACTGGCAAATGAAGTGGAATTGGTGCGTACAACATCAGGATCCTAATTTCGAACTACATGTTTTTAATTGTCGGCTGTTTCTTTTTAGACACAGGATGAAGCTCACAGGCAGCGATGTTCGGGGATGTACAGTCGCAAGTCTTGGGGTGGAGATGTTGACCCTTTCATATTGACTAAATTCGTTCGTGATGGCGACGCTGGTGATAGTGACCCGCTCGTCAGCTTGGTGATCTTTGAGTGGAACGACGAAGCTCTAATTGGAAGAGCTGTGTCGAACGATGCCGATGTATGTTTTCCTTGGCCACCCCTACTGGTACCTGTTAGCTAATATTATCTTAGGAGAAGGAAACGATTTGCGACGAAGCTAGTGTCAAAGCTGATCTGTGCAAGGAGGAAGACATAGGTTCCTTTATCCTTGCCGCGAACGCCAGCGAGTCTCAGTTCCCTATTATCTCCAAGGCGATACATCTAAATAGTCCCGCTGCGATAAACTATCCAGTGAAAAAGACCGGATTTTATTGTGTTAGCACATATGGATACTCAGGGCGGGACTACAAAGCAGTCGTCGAGTTTAGGAATGCGTATGGTGAACTCCCAGCCGCGCAGATCGCCAAGCTCCCGTTCTACGGCGGCTTGACTATAGTCTACGCGCTTATTGGGGTGTATGTTTATGGCAGCCCTCTGCAATCTTTTGAAGATTTTGCTCACTTGACATAGGTTCTGGGCTTTCTTATATGTACAAAACCGTCACGACATCTGTAAGCGACTTCATCTACCCGCCTAGACCATGGCTGACCCACGACAGTGCCTGTACAAAATTATATCACCGCTATATTGGTCTTCTTGATTGTAGAACAATTGATGACCTGGGGCTTTTACGGTATGTCAAACGTGCTGTACAGTCGAGGTGTTGGATCTAACAACACACAGACTTTCAAAACCGACACGGCCTGAATATTGGCGCCAAGGTGCTAATGGTCATTGTCGCCGTTCTTAACGCGGGCCGGAATGCTTTCTCATTTTTCCTCCTCCTTATTGTGTGTATGGGATATGGCGTGGTCAAGCCTTCCCTTGGTCGAACCATGGTCTATGTCCGTGTCCTTGCAATCACCCACTTCGTTTTTGCCGTTATCTATTCGGTTGCAAGTCTGTCTATAACCCCAGACAGCGCTGGTCCGCTCGTTCTTCTTATCGTGTTGCCACTTGCTGGAACCTTAACAGCGTTTTACGTGTGGACCCTGAACTCATTGAACGCAACCATGAAAGACTTGATCGACAGGAAGCAGAAGGTGAAAGCACTGATGTACAAGAAGCTGTGGTGGTGTATCTTGGGTAGCATCATCGTTATATTTGGTTTCTTTTTCATCAACTCGATTGCGTTTGCTGGCCGCAGCGAAGCAAGCTTTGTCCCAGAGCACTGGAAAACCCGGTGGTTTGTGTTGGACGGCTGGCTCAATCTGGTGTATCTGTTTGACATCGGCTTTGTGGCCTACTTGTGGCGCCCTACTGCAAACAACCGCCGGTTTGCTATGAGTGACGAGGTAAGCAATTATTCCGACAGAATTAAAGCAAAAAGGAAACCCTGATGATAGGTGTTAACATGAGCCACAGATTGCTCAAGACGATGATGGGTTTGAAATCCGGTCTTTCAACAGTGGACTGGATGAGGAAGATGCGCTTGATGGCATTCAAGGAAACTCTGCCCATGAACAACGCCGTGACCTGTCACCTGTGCCCCCCAAACCCGTCCCGGCCGCGCCGCACCAACGGGAATCTCTTGATGGAGAAACTATCTTTGCCGTCGGCGAGGATGGAGACAAATGGTCAGATGACGAGGATGATTTGTCCCGGGAATCGGGTGAGAGGAAACGACTTACGGGCAAGGACGTTTAGGACATTTGATTCATAAAAGCTGAGGGCCTTCCTTCGAACTGTAGGCGACGATGATTTGTGACTGCAGGACACGCGTCACCTTGTACTGATATCATTGAGGATGAGAGATACCTTTATTGTCAACTATTTAAACGAATCAACGCATTGGGTTTTATTGATCCTTCGCAGGCATTTGATGGCGTTTGGCTCGTTGGTTCGAGCTTATATCTTTCTTTTGACGTCAACTAAATATAACGAAAGGAGAAGTATAAGACGCTGATGACTTTGCTGCACGATAGCTTGGTATCATGGAAATTGTGACTGGAAATTGTGACTGGAAATTGTGATGTCGTTTATTCTGGTGTATTCTATGAGACATGTGTACATGCGATTATAAAAGGGGTTCAACTTCAAAGTAGTGCCTGTCCGATAGCATATCATTATATAGCTTTCAGTCAGTTAAAATACTAACAAGCGGATGTTACTTTCGCAGCCCAGACGAATTGACAATCATAGGGACTCATTCCATACGCGGTTTTGTCAAAAGTGGGAGATATCAGCATATGACCAAACGCCATATTACTCAGGGCTGTAATGGCCATCCAGGTAAGATCGATAGGCAAACACAAGATCTTATTAATTCAGTCTACATTCAAGATGTATAAAGCAGCAGAACACTGCTCTCAATACAGAAGGTACCGATAGGCACTCCAAGTCAACGGGCATGGTTTAATCATACGCGATACATTTTAGCGAAATCCTTGTCCATCTTTCACAGACTGTTTTGGAACATGGACGGAGACATTCCACTATCGATCATGAGAGTGGTCCCATTGGCATAGCTCGCAGCTGGGCTACACAAGAAGACAACAGGATCGGCAATCTCTTCAGGCAACGCAGCTCTTTTCAGAGAAGTAAGATTCTCAATCACTGGTTCTAATTGATGCTTTCGCTTCAAACTCGCTTCCACATTGCCGTTTCAGTATAAGCGGGGGCAACATTATTGACACGGATGTGGTTTTTCACGTTATCAATAGCTATACATTAAGAATTTGGTCAGTAATGACATCTCAAGAGTACTCTCGAATGGCTTGCTCACAAGCTGTCTTGACAATGCCAATTACAGCATACTTAGACGCTACATAAGAAAACATCCCAGGCGCAACCATCGTGCCATTGATAGAACGAAGCACAACAATAGAGTCCCGACCACAACTACGCCAGGTACCGTGACGAGGGCTCTGGTGCATGCGGGGCTTCTGGTTAGCCATTGCGGCCTCGACAGCCCGCAAGACCAACATCGTACCTTTAGCATTAATCGCCATCGTCTGGTCATATACGTGAATTTTGAGATGCTCAATTGTCGCCCTTCAAAGGCTGGCGATCTAGAATCATTGCCAAGGCTAGTCCACAACCCAAGGCTTTCCTGTTTCTACTGACTCATCCCTGCTGAGTGTACACTGTAATCTATCCTTCCATAGTCTCTCGCTGCAACTTCACCAATGTTGTCCACGGTGGTCTCGTCGGAAACGTCTACATGGACAGCCGTAGCGCGAAAGGAAGGATGCTTTGCCCAATTCTTGTCCTCTTAAGCCACGGATTCAGCGCCGCTATAGCTTATATCGGCACCAATGAGGCCCTCTACACCGGCCTGGGCGAGGGCAAAGGCCCTCTCCTTCCAGATTACTGAGACAGCCTATTGTAAATGATCTTAGAGGGCTGCTGTCGGCCTGAAGGTTTCTAATGCACGGTACGTACCCCCGTGACAAGAGCAATGCCTCCATCCAGAGTAAAGGCCACTTGAATAATGCTGAGTGTGCAAATGGCTCAAAGAATAAACGCAAATGAGCGGATAATGGGAGCTTTGTAGTCTAGTACTTATGAAGAGTAGAAGGATAAAAAGAAAAAGGGTCAGGGGAATGGGGTGTCTACCTCGCAGTACCTACTGCCCCCCTACCTTTATAGACGTTCACTCCGGTTGTATCTCTTGTACATACAAGACTAGATCAAATCCTGGTTATACACAATAACGGTCGTACGTTGGATTCGCACATGGGGGCCAACCAACTCTCCTTCATCTGCTTGCGCTAATTGGTTGGCCCGTTTGTCGCTTGCACCCCATCCCCTCTAGACTTTACCTACAAGTGGTAATGCAGTCTATACTTGACTCACTATAAAGCAGAGGTCTCTCCCTGGTTAGGTGTTCCATAGGTGTCATGTCTCATGAGAACTATTCTGCCTATCCCCCTCTACATCCGTACATTCCTTCGCAAGATCATGATATCCAACCATAAGGTCAGACCGAAGCACATTAGTACTATTATATCTCTGTCTACAGGTTTCTGGACGATAGTGTAAGGGACTTGACTAGGTAACTATCCTAAGGCCCAAGGGATAATTGGGTACGTATGTACTTACACTGAAGTTAGGTTGTTGGATGCGCATTTATAGCAACCCTAAGACATTTAGGAAGGTAAACTTATATTCTTTATGTATTATTAATCTTAGATATTAACGTGGACGGGATAATAGGCGAATATACGCCGTGCCAATCTCCCTAGCTCAGTAAGAATCACAGGGACGACAAGGATAAACCTCACAGTCCTTTGACCTAGAGAAGAGAACTATTTGCCGATAGATTGTTTAAGATGAAGGCTATTGAAGTTTCAAGCTCTCCTGTGTTCGGTATATACTATAGATCAGTATATTCTGACATACTTTCCGATTGGACTCTCTCAGCCTTATAGTTTACGCAATGACGCTCTATGAGTTCCACTAAAACACCATTTCGCAGCACTCCGAAGAGGTATAGGGTTCTCTTTTTCCCTCTCTCTTCAGCCACTCAGACCATGTGTTATTAGCTCATTTCCGTCAATTCATGTTTCAGGGTCGTCACGGCTATACCAACCGCTTCATGGGAACTCACGATGCCCTTGCAATGCGGCCAAGACCGCAAGGCGTTGATAGCTCGTAGCCGAATACTGTGATTCGGACATCTAGACGACACCACAAAGAGGCCGGGTATGATCCCATAATCCAGGGTGATGGAGGACCGCTCTGGATATTTGGTCAAAGGCTTCCGTGGCTTCCAGAAGGACCAGATAGTCAGACGTGGAGTTCTTTGGCTCTAAAACATCAAAAGGGCAGGTTTTCTGCGCCAGCAGCTGATCAAGGTACTGTAATCGAACTAGCTCCGCTGCGCACAGCTCCCTCCGGCTGAGTCAGCAGTAGGATCGTCCATAGAAGTGTTCAAATTGGTACGCGAAATGGCGGAAATGGGACAGGAGCATACGTTGCTTCAAAAGACATGGATAATGTTCGTCCCCGCTCGGTCCGGACTTTGCTATGGCCCAGTATTTAGCGCGTAGTGGGCTGCTAAAGCGCATGAGATTATCTAAGTGCGACAATGTCTGTTCAAGGATTTGAATCACTCTAACACTGTTGATTTTGAATACTTCATCTTCTGGTCTATTTATACTGCACAAGCCTGGCTGATCGGACCTGAAATTCGATAGCTGGATATCCAGGTGAACGAATGCTGTGACCAGGCTCTCTTCCATGAGTTCTTCCAGTCGTCGCTGGATCTCCAGTTCTTTTAATATACGCAGGCCACTCTGTAAATGCATGAATGCGGTATCACGCCGCCCACATAGCATATCAGCTATGACAAACAGCAAACAGCAAAGCACGATCACCTGATGCAACTCGGGGTCCTGGGATGTATGCCGTTTACTTAGTAGTGCGAATGACCGTGTCGACTGCTCAAGTGCGTACTGAAGACGAGCATGCTGTTTAGCCCTTCTTGAGTCCTGCTGAATGGCGCTGAGCGCAATGACGGCGTGATACACCGCACGCTGCTCCTCCACGGTCATCACCCAGTTAGGACGTGTTCCTAAATCCGTCAAGCGGGAGATGATATTAACATGCACCCGGTGCAGATCGTACCCGTCGCAGGTCCGACCAGTGGTTGAGCAGTTTTTGCACAGATCAGGGTGCTCATCGCATTTGATGTAACGAGTTCTGGATTTATGGTAAGTCCTGTCGAATGCCGAGTTACTCATACGCGGTGCTTACCGGCAGGTCAAACATCACGTCCTTGACCTCCTTTCCGCTGGCTCGAGAACGTCTATTAATTGGCATTTCTCGTGTATCAGCCGTCACTCGCCCAAAACTGGGGATCTACGGCAGACTGGGATTCCCATGGTTCAGGAATGCTCAACATTGAATAGAGTGAGAGGGGAGGAAGGGGAAGATTAATCAGAAACGAGATCGCCCGTGGGGTCCGAAGACTATATAGGTCTCAGAGGCTAGGGCTGCGCCGTAGGAGATATATATTCCAACTTTCATAACCCATCACTAGTTAGATAACGATGGAAGCTGTCTGTGTCATTATGTGCTATAAACTATGTCCTAGTAGTCTAAGGCATGTACACAATGAGGATGGAATGTACGGGGCTATGCGGGTGTCTCACCTCGAGCTTCACCGTACATCTTAAGACGACCTTTCGATATAATGGAGAGATCATGTAATAGGCAAAGATCGTCTAATATCGTTGAATTCAATGCCTGCTTACCGTGTACGGCTTATTCAATTTTACACCGCGTATAGATGGTGATCTGACCTTTCCCGTGACTGTAGGTAAACTCGCGATACAGCGGATTACTTTGAGGTTGATGATGGACGTTCCTGAGATATCGTTATAGGTGCTAGATGTGAAAATGGTGGATAGGTATGACGGCCCATTCGGATCCGACGAATTGGACACCGTTTTGTCTATAATCATCTAGACTACGCTGAAGAGAAGGCGAGGGCCGGACTCAATATTGCCATAGGGTATATAGTTCATTAATTATTTATATAAAATACATACTACTACACTTGAGTCACTAAAGGCCGTACATGGAGATGAGTTAGCTGGGCACACAGAGAAATAAAAAACTTTCCGGATATAGGATCCAACTCCCAAGTCGAATCCCTTTATATACTAAAGTGATCCATGACGATTTGCGGCTGTCGGATGGAAAATCGCTTCCATCGCCTAATTCGAAAACTACAGGTGTATGTAAACGTGGTGGCTCTGAAGGATAGTCCTGGAAAGGTTTTGGGGGTCTAAAGGATTGCATTGAAAGCCTCGTGGACTATGCCTTACGATGGCGCCTCAAAATGAGGAACGCCTGGCCCCAGAAGCATGCCTGCAGCACCGACCGAACCAATTGTCGCTCCGGCTATGGCACCGCCTGAGAGGGAGGATCCAATAGAACGTCTTACCGTAGATGTCTATGTGGATGAACTAGTAGGCAATGATCCGAGCTAGACGTGGGCCTTAAACTGCGACGTTTAGAAATGTCTGCTAACTCTGTATTGTTGAACTTGTGTTCCGGCTTGCTCCAGGTTGCGCCACCAGTAGAACTGTTCAAGTTAGTGTCAACCTGGGGAATGGATATATACGGGAGATGGGTAAAAGGAACTCAATGCACTTCCCACCAATGGCTTTGGAAATCTTTGGTCGGATAGTGTAATTGCAATCATCACTTGCATTGTAGTTGATCATCCACGAGAGACTGCGCATGCCAAAGATCCCCACACCATCGGCAAGGGTTGCACCATTGCAATTCTATATACAAGGAACATATTCATCATCATCATCAACTGGAATTACCCCTCCAATAACAAGCATTGTATGCTTTTGAGCGAGCTGGTCTCTATGTTTACTGCGGACCGTGCTGTCATCATAGAACCGGATCCATTTGAAAGATGGCAAGGAAAGAACATCAACGTTGCCGTGAGACTCTTCCATCTTCCGGGCTATGTCTCCGAATACATAGCTGCAACTATGAGTCTGTGTCACACAAAGTCAAGGTTTGACAACTTACATGGAGAAAGATCATAGGTCTGGTGCAGTAGTAACCACGCTGCAGCCGGACATTCGCCAGTGGGGAATGTCACCCGAGGTTTGTTGGGTGTACCATTTGCTATTTGCAACATCATAACGCGAACGAACTCCATTGCAAATGCAGGTACTCTAGGTATACGGTATACAATATTTACGCATTCTATATACAGAGATGATCCTATACTCTATTGTGTTATAGTGACACGGTAAATGTATTCTGTAGTGGGCAGAGAAATAGCAAGCTAAGAGCCTTCCTTCTACTATTGCAGCACAATAGGGAGCAATGGATTGATTAATGAACGAGCGTGGAGTGCGGAGTACAGTTCGACACAAAGAAAGACGGCATATGGGCAGCCGTTTCGTTATAATTAGGACGACAATAAATTAATTCTATCGAGACATTTTACGGCGCAGTTGCATGCGTTAGCCTCTTCAAAAGTACTCTGGTTGGATAAACGTGTGGTTTGACAGGGTTATGGAGAGGTCTGACCTCAAAAAAACAGGACTAACTAGATAGGAGACACAGAGTACGGAGTACACGATAGTCTCGGCCGCGCCACTGACTAGATACAAAACAGGTAAGAATGCTGACTTCATTATTATTACCAATAAAAAGGGTCTTGTTGACTACTAATTTTCAAAAGTAGACTACTTTTAACTATGGACTCAGAACCATGGCCGAGACACACTACATTCAGACCATAGACTCGATATAGTATAATATATACAATGGTGCTCCAGACATATACAGTCCAAAGTACTTTATAGATATGAGAGCACTATGCACCAGGTATACGTTTCAGCCAGGAAAAGGACCTACAGTACGGTATAAAAGGACGTCGTAATAGCAATATATACTCGTGGATACACGATGGATCCACGAAATTCCCCTGATATTGTGTACAGTAACAGGAATTACAGTACAGTACAGTACTTAGGCAATTCCTTCGGAAATCACTTGGAGCTTTAAAGGTTCGGGAACTCTTTTGTGATTTACTAACGCACTGTTCCCTCCATAGTCTCCAGAGTCTACGGCTCCCAGACTGGAGTGTGGTCAATCCATGTGGGATTCGACCATAAACCAGGCGTCTGAATTTGGTCCATTGCACACAATCCAATTTAAGGAGGTAAATGGTGTGCCAAATACGTAATAGGAAGTCCGCAAGATTGAACTAAATTCTTAATCTACAATCCATAGTCCCGTCAAATAAGGGGCGCTAACGGGTCGGTCGGCCCATCTTTCTGAGTTCCAGTTGGCAGTCTGGGGCCCCAATCCACTACCCACTCACGATGAGGCGTTATTACGTTAATCCACTCCCAATGCAGACCAAAACTTCAAGAGAACTAGAGCCCACGAGCTTTCGATGCACGCTGCTGTATTACTATTAATGAATTAGCAGGGGTTCGTCGGAGATCTACGGGTGAAGGGAGTCTGCCTTTGCTCGCACACTCTTGTTACTTGGCGTAAAAAGAAGTGAGGATTTATCCTAACTCGCTGGTTTGGCGCAGGCGTGCCTCATCCCACATATGATAGGACTGCCCATCGGAACCCCAACGAGCGCTAAGTACTATGTACCTACAGAGTATACTGGCTAGCGTTGACCCTAGTCTGGTCGCCAGTTGGTTCGAGTCTATCATGGCTAGTGGCAACAGATATTTCCTCGTGCTATCTATTAGGGGTCAGCCGCCCATGGCCCATTTCACTACATTCCAGCAACTATTTGATTTTGAAGCCATGACAAAGCTGTAAATTATATCAAAGCATGTGCCCAGTACCACCTTTTATGCCTCTTGTTTTGTGACTTTGCATTGGGATCTTATACCTCTATGCTTGGGCAAAGGGTTGCCTTCAAGTCGCTTTCTAGAGCAACGCCTTCATTACTGCTCATAATGGTCGGAAGGATATTCGTACGCAAACAAGCACTATTCTGTGTGGCTATTGCCGGCGTCTGCATTGGTGCTCTTCTCTTTGGCACTGCCTACAAACCTACAATAGCCATACCTCCCATCCAGGGCCTGGTGTGTTCTAACCGACGCTGTCACGCTATGATGAAAAGCTGATTCTGAATCGCCTACAGATTTCTGGCCTCCATGTGTCCGATACGCACCCGATTTCTGATTTAATCCAGAACGCAAATAGACAGTGGGAACGGTATGAGCATGATCGTTCAAGGACCTTTCGTGAGACTGTCGAGAAGTATAGACAACGATATGGACGGCATCCACCCCCCGGTTTTGTTGATTGGTATAAATTTGCGCGCGACCGGAAAGTCCATAATCTCGACGATTTTAAGCAAATCCTAGATGATCTGCGACCATTTTGGGGCAAAGAACCTCGGCTTATACGCCAGATGGCGGCGAGCTTATCTGATCATGGCAACGGCATAGGAGGCATACATATTCGCAACAAAGAAGTCGCCAAAATATCACATCCTAGTTGGCGTGTAGAGGCTTTGGCTGCTGTGATTTCTAGATTCGTTGAATACTTGCCTGATATGGACATCGCAGTAAATATTCATGATCAGCCCCGACTTGTGGTCCCTTTTGAGGATATTCAACAGTATCTACAGGTCGAGCAGAGCTCAAGAAACACAGATACTACTGCAAAGAACTCTTTCACAGAAGGCTTGGATCATTTGCTGAACTTGACGCAGGCACAAGATGGGTGGGATGAGCAGAAAGAGGCACAGTGGTTCTCTCCCCCAAACCATCAGTTTATGGAGATAGGCAAGATGGCTTGTCCTCCCGAGTCCCCTGCACGAACTGGTAAAGATGCAGATCATTTATACAAAACACCAGTCGGAGGATTTATAAGCAATTTCAATCTTTCTACGGACCTTTGTACCGTGGGACTGGCCGTCAAGGATCTTCATGGTCTTCTTTTTGCACCAGCCTCGCTTCTAGTATCACAGAAACTCTTACCGGTGTTTGGCGAATGTAAGCTCAGCGTTAACAACGAGATTCTGTTTCCAGCGAATATGTATACCATGAAGGACCCACGGTACCTCTATGACCCAACATTCGATGTCCCATGGGAGGCCAAGACAGAAGTTCTACTCTGGCGGGGTGCTACATCTGGCGGTATCTCGCGAGAGGATAGTTGGAAACGCCTGCACCGCCAGCGATTAGTTCTTCTTGCTAATGGAACTTTGGATCACCACGGACAAGTATCCGTACTGTCTGAGAACGCGCAGCACACATACGAGCCGACTCGTGAATTTAGCTTGTCTAATTTCGCGCAAGATCATTTTGATGTTGGTTTCACAGAGGTTTGGGCTTGTGAACCCGATTGCTCATTCTACGATGGAGTAATGGGGATAAAGGCGCCAATCCCGCTAAGTGAGCAATTCAAAGCGAAATATCTAGTCGATGTAGATGGCCACAGCTTCTCCGGTCGGTGGCGTGCATTCCATTTCAGCCGATCATTAGGCCTGAAGGCGACGATATTCCGAGAATGGCACGACTCACGACTTTTCCCTTGGCGACATTTCGTCCCTCTGGACAATCGATATGATGACCTCTATTCTCTTATGACCTATTTTATCGGTACCGACCATCATTCCAACAAGGAGGCAGAGCCATACATCCGCAGCCATAGCTCTGAAGCTAAAAAAATGGCGTCGCAAAGCCGTAGCTGGGCTAACCAGGTACTGCGTGATGAGGACATTGACATCTATATGCTCCTCCTGTTGCTGGAGTATGGACGCATCATAGATGACAATCGGGACTCTATTGGGTACAGTGGGGATGGCAGGGAGATGGATGAGTACGACAGAAAGTTCTACGGTCCATTTTCCTGGGCGCGCGGTTGGAGTTCGTCTGACTGATTCTTGGGATCGGAGATTCCCATGGCCCTACTCCCATCCTATCTAATTCATGATCCCATCTCTTTAATACTTTATACCCCATTCTGAAGTCCTGATTTTGTGTTAGTTCAGCAAAGATATTTTTGTGAGAGCCGCCTGATGAAGAAAGGCACAATGCTTTGGTGGTATGAATTGGCGGACACAGTCTAAAATAATATGTTGTATTATGTTCCTTTACTTCTTTTCCTTCTGGATCCCGACAGAGTATTGATTATTAACCCTACTTAACAATGCCGAGGATTTTCATGTATTACGATTGATGGACTAATGTACTATTGGGTTGCCTAGATACAGCGTCATTCAGCCAATTTGTCCTCTTTGCGGTGCTTTCTGCAGCCTAACATATCCGATTGCTGACAGCCCGGCGCTCAGCCTTGTTACCCCAAGTTGACTGATTTCTGATTATATCACTTCGACTCCATTTGCGGCCTGGCAATGAGTTTCGGTTCCAGATTCGGTGGCCTTCTTACGGCCATCCATTGAAGGTTATTTTTATCCACCCCTAAACCTTTACCAGTAGTCCCGTCTTGATTTTCAGTCTAGCGATCAAAATGAAGACTGAGCCCAGCAACATCGCCAGTCCAGAAAAGAGTGACAGGCCGAGATACCCGTAGGGGCTTAGAACTTGCCCACTGATCGGTGTACCAATGAGGCCCCTGGAAACACATTAGCGTAGTTCAAGCTGCTACAAGATAAATGGGGGTAGAGACTTACGAGATAGACAAAAAAGTCATGACAGCTCCCATAGCCAATCCAAATTGTTCTTTTGGACGATCTGAGCCGCGCAAGGTGACTGCAGACTGATGACGGCCTTCATGAGAGTTAGTGAATTGAATGTCCAATTAAAACGAGGTAGTTCAAGGTTGAGAGGACTACTGACCCCAGATGCCAAGCCGTACGCCAGTGAAAACACGACGATGCCTCCGACACTTGTTGCTTTTGTCCAACAGCAGGCAACCAACCCAGAAAACACCGTCACTAGAAAGAGGACGTTGTAGTTCCCAGTCTTATCGGCAAGCAGGCCAGGGAGAACACGGCCGAACAAACTCGCGGCATTGACGATTGACACCATATAAAATGCCAGATTGGCATCTTTTCCAAGCGAGACCATGTAAGACGGGATGTAAAAGAGCGGAGAAAAGAGTCCGAGAAACACCAGGAACAGTCCTATGGAGAGAAAGATGATGACAGGATTCTTCACGATGGAGAAATCCGCTTTCGGTTTGGGACGGTTAGCAAATTCTCTAGGGCGATCCATCATCAAACAGCCTAGGCCTAGTAAGGGAATCATCATGAAAGCTGCGATGCGGATGGTCCATCCGAACTTGACTTCAGAGAGGAGACGGTGAAGAGCGATGGGCCAGATGACACCACCTAAGGAGGATCCAGCGACTGTGATGCCCATTGCCAGACTTCGCGAGGCAGCATAGTAGTATGAAACCGTGGCCATGGCTGGGAGAATGACGAACGATATTCCGACCCCGAATAAGACGGCTTGAGTGAGGAAAAGTTGGTAGTATTGGGTAGAGAGAGACATCATCATGAGGGCGAAAACCATGACCAAGCTGCCAAAGCAGAGAGGAAACTATGTTGAGTTAGATTGAAACTGGAGAGGGTCGGGGTGGGGAATAGATGAGATAGTACTCACCCTAGGTCCATATTTATCGGTGAGAATACCGGCGATGGATGTGCAACCGAACATACAGAATATGTTAACGGAGCCGAGCCATGAGATATCGGAGGCAGATCTGTTGGATAGTAACGCTTGCTCATAGTATTCTTGAAATACACCAAATGCGTTGACAAATCCGACTGAGCAAAAAGTCACGAAGAAACAGCTGATGAGTATTAGCATCGCTCGAGAGCTAAATGTATATGATTAATATAGGTTAGGGCTGATTCTGTACAGGCGGAGATGAACTCTCACGTAAATTCAGATGACGGACGCTTGTCAACATTATCATTCTCGCTAGACGAGATCGAAGTTGGATCCTGTGGACTCTCTATCGAGTATAAAAGCTCTTTATTTAATCTCACAGAGGTGGATTGTGACATGGTGGAAAAGCAAGTGCACCGGTTGATGGGATGAGGATGGGGATGACAAGAGCAGGGAAAGGGTCAACATACTTATACCCAACCTGGACGCACGAAAATTCCGCGGATGATCAGTTTAATTTGCCAATTGTTGTAGGCCAAGGAGCCGCAGAGAGGACTTTCATGAGGCGTAAGGACTAAGGGAAGCCCTACATCCGAACCTCCATGGAAATTCCACGGAAGCTCGGGCACGGATTCGGGCTTGGACCATCCCTCACAGACTCTCATTCCACCACAATATACCTGTAGATAGCGACAGTATCTCTTCATTCTTTTTTTATAAGTCAAACGGTTAAGATGAAATGCTCTTTCCATCCATCGGAGCAGCGGCCTGAGAGGTCGTCTCGTCCACAAGTACCAACCTCCTGTCACTTTTGCCGCACAAAGAAGCTGAAATGCGACCGAGGAATTCCTTGTCCCAACTTCCAAGCCCGTAGGTTATCATGTGTCCCCGTTCCAGGTACGTTGTGGTAACTAGAATCTGATGCAGGACGCTAATGAGTCGTAGATCCATCTCGAGCGGTCTCTCGGAACCCGAACCAGACTCTGGCCACCACTGGAAACGAGGATTGAATGTATGAAGTCAGCTCATAAGTACGTGCAGTTTTGCTAACCAAACACTGCCAGTGGAAGTATCAGTGAGTTAAGAGCCAGGTTGTAGAGATTGGAAGATCTTGTTGCGATGCACGAGGAAGAGAAACTTGATAGCACTGCCTCTTCTGGTAGGCCGTCACTCTCCCTGCCGCTTTTGAGCCCAACTATTGATTGTCTAGATGTAGCAGCAAATAAGGGGCAGCATGGAGAAAATATGAGGCTTCGAGGAACATGAATCTCTTGAAAATAGATGCCTTTGAACACCATCCTGTGGAGTTCAATGTAAGGCTTGGGCAGCCACACGCTTAGAGCTAACTATAAATGACCTGTTGCTTCTAACACTGACGAGAAGATTGGCCAGTTATTGGTATTTTCGTTCAAGTCATACATATCACCCACTATCCGATTGGCAATAGACCAACTGACCCTCTCCATTTTACACTCTTGGAAGCAAGCAGAACGGCTGTTCGACTGCTACACCAAACAGGCTATCGGCTTTTACTACATTATCCATTCCCCCACAGTCCGAAGAATGATAGGTACAGTCTACACAGGTCTGTATTGAACAACAGACCGCCTAGACTTGATTATCTAGCCCTTCTCTCTACCATCTTCGCCCTAAGTGCCTACCTTGGCTCCTCTTCGTCACGCTTCTACTTTAGAGGTATTGAAGCCAAAATGATGGCCTATTTGTGGATAACAGTGGCCCAGGAGGCACTTTGCGCTGCGAATTACATACGTCAGCCTACTGTAGCAACTCTCCTGGGTATTATTTTGATTGCGGCATATTTAGTCCCCAACATAGGCTCCATGGCGACCTTCAGAGTATAGATGGCTTCGGCCTCACAAGTTGCTCTCCAACTCGGGCTGCATCAGATTGACTCGCCTGCGAATAAAAGGCAGAGGGAAAATGCAGCCGACGTAGTTTGGGACGACCTAGAGTCGAAACGCCGGATCTGGTGCATCTGGCTTCAAACGGACTGGTATGTTAGTCCTTGCCCTCACCAGGGACCTTTCTAAACCTTGACAATAGGATCATTTCCTTCATGAACGGACCTCGGTGCGGGACATGTCAGATACACCCAAAACAGATGATTCCACCAACGCCAATGACAGGGACATCAACTCCTCCTGCAAGCCATGCGCTCAACAACTGGAAACTGTCCTCACCGACATGACCTACTCCAACCTCCGGAGCAAGATCCCCGTAATCTTCCGCGAAATCATCGACGGCACCATCGATTCGAACTGTGTCCAAGAGGAGCTCCTTTACGAACTCGTCTTAGCATTTGACAAAAGGCTCAACGACATTATGAAAGACGTTCCGGCTTGTTTTCGGGCGGACCCCAAGAGCCGGGCTCAGAGTAAATCGCTCGACCTCCGCCTCCACCGCCTCATTGCGAATGCCTTCAATCGCCTCCGTAATCCGTACCTAGCCCGCCGAGCATGCGATCCCAAATACTCGTACAGCTGCATAGTATAATTGCGGATAGCTCGAAGCGTCACCACCGCTCCAGGTGAGGAGTTCCAACACAGTAAGATATGGATCATTGCGCATCCGTTGTTTAGTTCGGCTTGGACCATTGCCTCAATCGTGACGAGCCGTGCACTGAACAGCGGAAAGCGGAAATTATGGAGGAGGAATTCAGTTTCTAGAGGTGTGCCAGGAGGAAAGTAGCTTCGCAAAGCGGGATTACAGCAGATGCAGTAATTGTTGAAGGAGCCCTCGTACCAGGATTCTGTGCCGATGTGACAGGGAAATACCATTCCTACCGATCGATACACGTCCCTGGATGATTCATCGATCTCACAGAGTGAGGGATTTGATGTTGATATGGTGCTGTCTTTCGATCTTCAGCTGCATCATAGCAGTGGTATGGCTTTCCAGACTGCAGAATTTACTGGATTGTTGTCCTAGCTAAGAAATAAGCCCTTGCTAATACGCAGAACGGAATCGTATCCCTATATAGCCGGCTATACTAACAAAATGATTCTCCTAATCTAATTCGGGGTGCATCTCCGTTCTATTTACCTTGTAGTTCAGCTGCATGACTACGGCTTAGCCAGAATAAGCCACCTGAACTGTGGTAGGGTAACTATACTTACCTAGTAATTAGTAGGCATAGGGCACTTGAGAGACGAAAGCAGTATCCTTAAGCCCTAAGGTATACTAAGTTATTTCTTTTCCTCCCAAGCCCTAACTCAATAGGCACTAGTACTGATTTGGAAAAGACCTTGAGGTAATGATACTGGAGGACGCACGCTATCGCACGTTGATGCCCTGAAACGATCAGAAATGGTATACGACCATGAATTTATTGCGGTATACCTACCGAAGAGGGGGCTCTCTACGATGACTCAATCAAACAGATCACCAAGACGGGAGCGAGTAGGATTAACTCAGCAATAGGCGCAAATCAAAAAGACGACCAACCTCTTCAAGAACTTCCCCGTACATAATGATTATTCCATGTGGAGATCTTTATATGACAGGAATTATCAACCTCATATAGTTGTGTAATAGAAATAAAAGGCAAGAGTATAACTATTGAATAACCTCCGATCAATTTTTAACATCCATTTGTCCCCTCAATCTACTTCTGTTATGTCATGGCTGCGGGGTGCAGATACGGTGGTCCTGGAAGCTATAAGGGGCCGGAGTGAACATTTGCAATAAACTGTTTAACGGGAGTTGTCGATTGTTCTTCTCTTCGATGGAAAGTAATGAGTTGTTCATCCGTCAGGTTGGTTGCCACAGCTTCTCTTGAGCGTTCTGTTGAGATATCCTGAATTTGATCATATTCCTCTTGAATGAAGATTTTGAAGTTGTTGAGTTGATAATGAAGTATAGCTCTTCTTCCACGCGTTAAGGAACCGTGAAGAGGATTCGGCATCTAGATGGTCATGTCCCAGTTGTCTGTTGCGGAGCTCAATACATTTTTCTCTCAAAGCCAAAGCATCCTGAAACTTATCTTGTGATATCAGGGTGTGAGCAAGAATGTTCATGCTAGTTAGAGTGTCAGGATGCTCGGGTCCTAGAACCTCCTCTTGACCTTCTAGAACTCGCTGCTGCATGGCTTCAACCTCTTCATACTTGCCCCGTCGTGCAAGTACTGACCCAAGGTGGTGAACACTGGTGTGAGTGACAGGATGCTCTGGCCCGAGAGCTGTCTTCCTGGCCTCTAGAACATTAGTAAACAGAATTAGAGCTTCATTATAGCTTCCATCACACTGCAAGCATCTCCCTATCTTTGAAGAAAGCCCATCATATCTATACCGGTAACACTGGAATTCTTCACTGTTTACTAGATAGAGCGCATGTGGTAGGTAAACTCTCCATATTTTTCGATTGGCATGGCCATTATCAGGGAAGACATAATCCAACTGGCATGCTACTTTTCTTACCCAAATATCGAATCTTGTTTAATCTCATCCGATTTCAAGTCGCAAGATGGACTAATTGATGAATGCAAAATAGGCAATCACGAACCTGCAAGCTACTAATGGAGTATACCTTCAGAAGACCTAATGCCTCCGCTTAGCTTTTTACTAAAGGTGCAGGTAGAAGATCGACTGCAAGGTATCTCGTAGATCAATACAGATCATAAATGATAAATAGTCAGCTGCTAATTCATCCTATTGCTGGATTTGCAAGAAAGAAATTCACCAGGTCATCACCACTGTGTTCTGAATCCTGGTGTTGTATCCATCGTCCTTGAATTCTTCGCTTAGTATTCAGATTACACTTCTCTCATACTCACCTAATAATGACAGGTACTCAGATAATGAAATCCCGTTTTCGTTGATATAAGCTGCGGCCAGTCTAATTGCAAGGAAGTGAAAGCAAAGCTGCTCAAGGAGTGCTATAGTTACACAATCATCCTATAGCAATTACTTTTGTATAAGTAATTCTCAAATATCTCTTTAGCAGTGCTTTGGTATATATCAGGGATGGATAGCACATTCAGTGATGCCAACTTCACCGCGAGCTTTCGATTACGCGAGGTAAACAGTATATGACTATCTTCACTTTAGGAGAGGATATTCTTGAGTGGTAGTGTAGTCGCGCTTCTTTTGGTCCACATTTCCACATTATCTGTATTGTCAAAAATAAGAAGTCACCTTCCAGCATATTCTTGATTAAGGAAGATTTTAACTTGTTTTTTCGTCTCTGCTAGATTTATATCTGGTATTCCTAGGCTTGAGGAAATGCTCAGGTAAGCTTATTCAATACTCTTGTAGCTAGTATATAGGATCTAGAAAATTGAGATTTCAGGCATCTTTTGTCATGCGCGATAAGCTGGCTTCAGGGCAATTGAAGTTTTCTTAATTCTGCCTAGTCTATATATATCAGTCTTTGTCGGCCCTCTTGAGTGAATAATCGATTGTTCAAGACCGTCGATCTCATTCTGTCGACCAATAAACCGTGGAATTCTTGTAAGGGGAACTATCCAGCGGCTTTTTTTTTTCTCCTGCTCAGGTTTGTTGTATAGAGAAACCATTTCCAGAAGAACTCTTGTATAGGCAGCTACAGTAAGTACTGTTTATTCCTGCTATTTTTTACATTTATGCGAGTCACGATAGTCATAAACTCCTCGGATGACCAGGCACGATAACTGATCGATTAACCCGGCTGCCTCTATTTCAAAGAAGAGGATGTCCAACTCTTGGGCAATGGAGTCTCGTATCTTAGCTCTTTTTTTATAACCTGATTCCTAGAAAGCAATCGACCTATAATGAATGAGGGACTCATTGGTTTTTCGTGGTGTAGGGACTAGTAGCTGGGACTGATCACATAGTGAACATTTAGCGATTTTGCTCTCCTAATTATAGCCCGGTTTGAATAGCCAGTCTTGGTCTGGCTGGGAGAATATTTTGTGGATCTTGTAGTGCTTCTGAAGCATATCCGATATACTTTTCTTGATTAGTGAGTCTCTGACCATGTAATCACCGCTTATTGAGCGACCAAGTGCGCTGCAAATATCCATCACGAAGTGCCTTCCCGTAGTCATATTGGATCACGTCTCTAGAGGCCGCAGTAGGTATGTTAACGACTATATCACCGTGGCGCATATCTGAGTTCTTGCTGGGCACTCTGCCACCGATGCCCATCAACGCAAATCGAAGAGAAGGGAATGTCTGCAACATGTGAGCAAGCACGACTGCAGCAGATGTGGTTCCGTAAACAACTGATAGGAGGCAGGCCACCACCACATTATGGGCGGTAAGATTTCCAAGTGTAGACATTGTGGTCGGTTTTTGGCTGGGACAGTGAAGGATGGATCTTACCGAGCATGGCCTTCGCCGCTGTCATTTCTAGCGGCAAGGCGCAGACCCATGCTATAGTATAGTCGTCGTGTGTGAAGCCCATTCTTCAAGTCATAGATAACCCAAAACCTAGAGCCACAACTGGCGACATATGGTAACTTTGGTCCCCTTGAAGAATAGGCATGGTTCGGAGACAAGCTTGACGAGGTCGAAAGGAGGGGTAGCTTTTGTGTCTGAGGTCTTCTACAACCATTGGTTTGTCCCGGAATATCTGTTTGATAAAAGCAGCCAGGAGAGTTAAAGGAGTTTGAATATACATCCAAAGAGCAATCTTACGAAAAGTCCAAGCGGAAAGAAATACGTTGTAGAAGTCACGTTACTCTACCCTTTTACTACCATTGTCTGAGATAAATTTTATTGAATTCATACGGCCTAGCAGGCTCGTTTACTTTTTCCCCCACCTCTCACTACGTTGTTTCAGGGCATTCCAAGATTGCTAATCTAAATCTATCAATCAATTAACCAAAATTGTAAATCCATGTACTCATACATTTTTAGTTAAACAAAACGAAAAATATACATTACATTGACTATTAGGCCGATCACCGAAACCTGAAACCTGTTAACCTGTAACACCACACCCTAGACCTGGCCTCAGCCCTTATATACCCCACCAGCAAGGCCCCACAGATAAACAAACTCTACACGTGACCCTCTACCCAAATCGAGTCACACAAGCAAAGCAACCTTCCAATCAACATTGACCTCATTGGACAAAGTGCTAAGGACCAGGTCCGCTTGGAACCATGTCCGCCAAAAACAACAATGTCGACCTGATCTCCACCCCCTCTTCAGGCTACGAAACGAGCCAAGCCCTCGCGCGCTCCCTCGTGAAAAGATGTCACGATCTTCTCGGAGAACTAGACGCATTCCGCGCCCTTCTCGAGCAAACCCAGCGCAACCCCCAATTAGTCGAGGTCCGATCCCTGCGGTCTAATGTGTTCTCGGAACTAAGGACGCTCGAGAAAGTATCGGAGCAGATTCAGGCTCTTGCTGCGGATGCGGATGCGGATACGGATAGTTCGCCTGATGTGGAGGTCGAGCCGCGGCTGACGCATGCGTTGCGGTCGTCGAATTTGCCGTTTTATGAGACGGTTTGGGATGTTGCGAAGGGGAGTTGTAGTGGGTTGGTTGCGTTTGGGAAGAGGTTTTACTGGGATGGGGAAGGGGTGGCCGTGGAGGGAGCCTCTGGAGAGAAGAAATCGAATAAGGATAAGCGGAAGAGTGTTTTTGTGGACATAGTGGCGGATGATGGGCAGGAATGGGTGAAGGTTTCTACGATCTCGGTGACGAGATTGTTGTTTGAAATGGCCAAGAAAGGCTGGGAAGCTGATTCGGCGTCCGAATCGGAAGAAGAAAGGACTGTTTTACGGAACTTTGATGATGATAATGATTCTGATGACGATGATGAGATTGAGTTGGTGAAGTTGGCGAGTGATATGAGGAAAGCTGCAAGTTGCACGAGGGTGAGGTATAAACATCCTCGTCTAAGACTAGTGATACCCAAGATTGAAGCAGGCGAAAGCCATGAGATTGATGACTTATTGAAGGTACTACAAAGCTATGATGTTACAGTGGAATGTGGTGAGGGAGCATTGTTTTCTGGTGAGAAGGGCAATCTCGCGAGTGCAGCTGCTCAAGGGCATCTGCACCATCTTCTTCCCACCCCATTCAAAAACTTTACACCCACTTTGAACGTGGATTGTACATTACTGCTCGCCCTAGTATCGGATCTCTCGCACCTTAAAAACATAGCACCTTCACCAGCCTATCATAAGGCCATCATCCGACAACTCGAGTTTGAGCGTGAACGACCCTTGCTGACCACAGAACTCTGGCCAGCAATGAATGAACATGTTCTAGTATGCACCGACGAGGCCGCAAAACGTATGCGTGAGATCGTTGATACCATCGGCACCGACACCGAAAAGAGACGAACAGAAATATTATTCGGTGACCCTCCATCTGATAGTCGGGAGGCAAAGTCTGTCATTCAAGTATTTCAGGAAATGTCTGATTATGAGATACCGCCACAGTTGAAGATGCCAGTTAAGGTGGTCGAAGCCAAGCCGGTTATTGATTCAGCGATAGAACAAGGCAAACTTCCTCCGGTCTCGCACAAAGTGGCAGAGATTCTGTCCGACATCAACCACAGCGTATTCTTTTATGGATGGGTTACCGGTATCACAACCATATCGAGCAATCGCACCGTGGTTAAGCAGATCGAGACGATTATTGAACAGTATAGAAATGGCGACGAAGACTTGGAGGGGCCGAAGATTTGGGTATGTGATACAGCCAGGAGCTTGATTGGTAAAGAAAAGGGCCGGAAAGACTAGAGAATCTGTTGTTGGACCGATAAAATATTTAAGGATGGCTCGATAGAGACGAGACCAGCCTTTCTATCAGCAATCGACTCAATACCAGGCAAGTTTGCCATTTTACTTGCCGAGCAGGTACGGAGGCCGCCGCAAAGCCAAATTCAAGGTTTCAGTAACCTCCCTCCGATTTTCCGGAGTCATTGGGCACTAGTATTACTTCTCGGGGGCTCTCGAGCCCTCTTCCGGCAGCCAGAAGACAATGTCCTTATCAGCAGTAGCCATCATATTGTACCGCGGGTTGTACTCGATCATAGCAGTACGGCCACGGTGGGGCAACTTGCTCATTGGCTGTAAAATGCAATTGGAATCTGGCGGCTGCTGCAGGTCCCATACAAGAACATCCGGGTGGTCGCCAGAGCCTCCAAGAACAAATCGTCCGTCCGGAGTAAAGCAAGCGTCTCCCTGACCGAGTGGCTTTCCTGTTGTCGAAACCGGAGCAGCTCTACCAGGCGAGCCATTCTTGCCAACCAAGAACGCCTTCACAGAGCCTTCAAAGGCATCAAGGACGAAATGTCCGTGATAGTCAGTTCCGACCAGTAAATGCTTCCCGTCATTTGAAAATTCGAGGCGGGTCCAGGCTCTTCCCCTTGTAGAAGGTGTGTATCTTTCTTCATAAGGCGCTAGATCGAAAGTAGAAAAAGGAGACTTGTCATAATTCCGGAAGTCGTAGAGTAATATCGATGAAGTCGACTGGGACGCAATTGCAAGAACAGAAGCGGAAGGATCAAATGCAGCAAGGTACGGGGTGGCAAGTTTCAACTTTCCCTGCGCATTTCTCGAACTGAGATCCCATACCGCAACAGTATTATCCTTGGAACATGAGACAAAGGCGTCACTGCCTGGGGAGACAGCCAGACATGTCACCTTGTCCGTATGGCCGGAGAAGTAACGCACGTATCCTTCATTGTGTAGGTTAAGCAATCGCAGAGAGTCTGACTGGTGTCAACAAGCACTATCAGGCGTGTTGAGCCTCAAGGGCAGATACAAACATACCATCAACCTTTGTACTTGCGTGAAGGACCTGGCGGGAATGGTGCGTGAATCTCGCGAGATGCGCTCCGTATTTTTTACTGGGGACCGATTTTGTGGATTTGCCTTCCTTGACATCAAAGATCTGAATGGTGTCATCATCCCCTGAAGATACCAAGTAGTCACCCTGGTCGTCAAAATCTAGCGAGGTTACATAACTGGACGAATCTTGCTTCGATAATTTGAACGCCTAGAGTTGACGAATCAGTTCCACCGATTGCGCACACAATAGAGATACCTGTATACAGACCTTCGTGGGACGGAAACTACGAGCAATGTCCGCCACTTTCTGGCAGGGAAGAGGTGCCTGCTGCTGCGATTGGGACTGCGGCGGCGGGAGAGGGGGTGGTGGTGGCTGCTGCTGCTGCGAAACTTCTGCCATGGTTATGCCGCTGCGACGGGATGAGGAGGACCGTAAATATTGTAGGCTAGGCCAAATTGACCATAGCAGGGAATAGCTGACACGAATTAGAGGTATTGCTGCCTTCTCTCCGTTTATTGAGCTGCGGAGCTGGAGCTTGCCGTATAGAGTACGCGATGCCCCAGGAAATTTGGCGCGTTTGTCTTAACTCCGAGGGAAACAACGTTATTCCCTTCCGGCGGTTACTCTCGGGGCACCAACTGGTCGGTTGGCCCCGATGGTCGGAGCCCTGTTGGCAGGAACTGTTGAGTTGGGCCAATCAGCACTCCAAGAATCCAATCGGTAAAGCTTAGACTGGATCTCATAATTCTTACAGAAAGGCCAATGCTCCTTGTATAATCTGACTTTGTTTCTGTTTCTGTTCCTTTGCTGACCTTTCACTCGAACCCCTTCGCAAACCTTTGTTATCCCACGTGGGTTGTCCGTCCTCTGTTCTCAGCCAGACTCAGCTTTAAGTTCCGTCCTACTCGCGGACACACCTTAATATCCCTCCGCTAACGGAGGCTATCCGGCAGAGAATATGTCCACGACGACAGGGTATGTGGTGCTCGGATAACACAGAAAACGAAAATTAGCATCTGCTAACGCTCCGCTTCCTAGAGCGTTCATTGCAGGAGGAATCGCAGCATGCGGAGCTGTCACGGTGACACACAGTTTTGAAACTGTTAAGATCCGGTATGCACCATACTATCCTACCTTCATCTAGGAGATCAAATCGGTACGGACACTGATGTCGGTCGGCCGATAGGTTACAACTACAGGGAGAATTACAAGCGAAGTCTGAAGCGGTGAAGAAATATAAGGGCGTTTTTCACGGTGTCAAGGTCATCTTACAGAATGAGGGTCCTCGTGGATTATTCCGAGGCATAGGCTCCGCTGTATGTATCACTATGGTTTCAAGCGGACGAGAGATACGGCAAGCTAACCGTTGGTTTAGTATATCTATCAAGTGCTGCTCAATGGCTGCCGTCTAGGCTTTTACGAACCCCTGCGCAAGGGCCTCACGACGTCGATCTATCAAGACCCTCAGGTTCAGTCGCTCGGCATCAATGTCTTTGCTGGCGCTACCTCAGGTATCATAGGTGCTGCGGCAGGCTCTCCTTTCTTCCTAGTCAAAACTCGTCTGCAGTCGTTCTCCCCGTTCCTCCCAGTCGGTACGCAACACAACTACCGCAACTCGTTCGATGGTCTACGAAAGATCTACACTTCTGAGGGCATAGGAGGGCTATACCGAGGTGTTGGTGCAGCCATGGTTCGCACAGGCTTTGGTAGCTCTGTCCAGCTGCCCACCTACTTCTTTGCCAAGCGTCGCCTGGTAAAGCATCTGGGCATGGAAGATGGCCCGGCTCTTCACCTTGCCAGTAGCACGGCTTCCGGATTTGTCGTATGCTGCGTCATGCATCCTCCTGGTACGTTAACATATCTTGACAGTGATAACTACAGTGATAACTAGCGGCTAACTTACCTATCCAGATACCATTATGTCCAGAATGTATAATCAGACCGGTAACCTCTACAAGAGCGCATTTGACTGCCTGTTTCAGACGATTCGTAAAGAGGGTTTGCTCGCCATCTATAAAGGCTATTTCGCTCATTTGGCCCGTATCTTACCTCATACCGTAAGTGACAACCACCCCTGGACTTAATGGCTAGCTTCAAGCTGCTAACTTGATATAGATCTTGACGCTCAGCTTGGCTGAACAGACTAACAAGCTCATGCGCAGAGTTGAAGACCGATTTCTTTCTGACTCGATGAAGGCACGGCTGTAATAGGTTCACATATCAGTCAAGGCCACATAATACGACGGTTGTGGTTGTTCTTTTCTTTTAGATATTGGAGTGATGTGACCTCATCTGCAAGTATCAGCTCCCTAGGGTATGTATATAGAAGGCGTTGACACGTGGTTTCTCAAGTCATATTACCGTTTAGATTCTGTATATATATGATCCAAATAAAACGTTTAGATGGTATGGAAATTATTTCATGCTCACCTATAGGTAATTGACCTACCTGTCATGTCCAAATAACCGAGAGTGGTATTAAAGGTACAGGACACCTGGCTAGAAGCCATGTCGGCAGATAGCCCGCCGTCGTTAGTTCAATTCGTTTCATTTACCCCGCGATGAGTCGTTCTTGCTTTCTCATATTTCCACTTTATATAGACACATCTTTATTTAAGATCGTAACCATGGGACGTCCTTCGGGGAGTTTTCTAGAATATTATGATAAGGTTACGGTTCGTCGGATTTAGTCTTTCGTCTAACAAGTACCCTGATGGAAACTTTGTTAGATACTTGGCTGAGGTTATGATCGGCCAACCTAAGATTATGTTCGCAGATTCTCTATTTGAAGACAGAACCATAGTTCAGATTGGATTGGTCAACTCCAAATATCAATAGAGCTGACTTCTAGTCGAATGGACAGTAGTAAGATACCGCCAATAGCAGAGATGACAGTTCTAAAGGTTGGTTGGAGAGTTAATATGGGTGAAGCAGAAGCCTTGGTCCTTGTTGCTGCGAAAACTGAAGTGCCGGTGCCCAAAGTCCTCACTGCGTATACCATTGGTGATATAGGCTTCCTCACGAGCAAGATCGAGGGCCCAACGATTGCTTCATGCTGGAGAGCATGTCCCATGAGGAAACTTCAAGTGATTGCGCGTCAACTTGCATCCTATATTTCGAAATGGCGTCAACTGGGCAGTTCTTTCTCAGGCTCAGTCAATGGGGCCATGCCAGGATATTCTCTAGAGGCATCCTTGAGATTTCTGGTCCACGAAGCAATATGGGCCTTTCCATTCCTTTATGCAGTGCAAACTTGGTGTTGCGGGGGCCCTCCGTTTATCAAGGCAAGATGGGATCTGGTGTGAGGAAGGGGAAGAGCTTAAGGCGAAATCCTATATTACGGAAGGGAGATGTCCCCTGACATAGGAGTTATGACCCATGGAGATATGCAGTCAGGTAATATCATTATCAAGGATGGTTTGATTCCGGAATAGTAGTTTGGGGCGAGGCGGGTATAGCCTTCCACAGAGAGGGAACTCTTTGCTGCTAAGCGGATTGCTTTGGATCGAGCCTGGATTGAAACAATTCCAATTCAATTCCCCTTTTCCCGAAATAGTACGAGTTATGGGATGAAGTCGACCGGACAATGATGCGATATTCTCTTGTATAGCATTCTCTCTCATTCAGCGACGATCAGTCCCCACAAATCTCACCCCTAAGCAATTTGCAGCCATCCCGGGACCAATTCTTTCACTTCGAGTGCGACTAACCCATCTTTCACCCAATTCGGGCAGTGGTTCGTCCCACCCCTTAGTACCGGTACTTCAAAATTCAGTATCGAAGTCAACTTGAAGGGCTCTTCTCTACCGGGGGTATATAGTTAGCACAGGACCCGGTATAATGACCAGGTTCATGGACGTTGCGCCACAAAGACAGGTGATGCAGAGCACTACCCGGTCCTACTTAACTTGGAACGGGTTTCAAAAGTGCCATTTCGACTGTGGCCAAGTGTAAACAAGACGAATATTGCAGTATTTTACCAATCAAAGATTTTCAATCTTTTTCAGACCGATTGGCCTTCATCGACGATCGTACTAATGGCTTTTAGGTATGTAAAAAACTAGTCAAGATTCCAGACACGTAATAAAGCATGACAAAGACAACAAGTCCCAAGTTAGGTTAGTTAACTAACTTACAAAGCCGTTCCTTGATGTGGAATATGGTGTAAATCCGTAAATCCGCGCGCTGGGGGCCTAACTAGGCTGCAGGTGTGGGCTGAAGACGCCAATGCAAACGCTGACCAAGACAATCCACTCGCGTCGCGTCAACCCTTCTGGGCCTTTAGGTATTCTGTACCTGCAGATCTTTATTCGTCCCAGTGACGCCAATGGCCAAAATTCCCACCGTGAGATCGGAGCTGCGAACTTACTAAATTAAGTATAGCGTTTGATGGATGGTGGGTAACTCCAATGTATTATGACGCTCACGAATTGACGCGAAATGAAGGTTCAAGAGAGTGAGAAGGGAAGGACGAGCTTGGCATGGAGAAGGTTCTACGCGTATGACGTTCTTTGCAACATTTTAGAGGATCATTATCGTCAAGTTGGATGGAGGCTTCAGTAATAACTATGCTACGCGATTTGATGAATTGATCGCATCAGATAAGATAAAAAGCCCTAGTCGGGTAAGTACTAGACACTGACATCACATTCAGCGTTCTAGACAGCAGCCATGCCCAAATATGTGGAGATGTAAAGTCTGAAAATGCTCAATCAGTGGAGAACCAATACACCGGAGGGCAGGAAAAGCCAGTGGTCTGACCCGAAGCAAGGCATGAAGATTGTCGACGCGTCGCCCATAACACCGGATGCCCGCCAGCCATCACGCGCTAGATCACGTGCAGCGTGACTTAGCCCGTCGCGCTAACGATCACGTCCTCGTCCGAAGCAAGTATTTCTGCCCGCTTGCCCTCGTCTCCAGCTCTTTCTTTCCTCATCCCAATTCCTCTGCCGAAACCATTGGAGTGCTTCTGAGCCTGTGTCTTTCAATCTCTTTATATTCAATTGAAGACTCTTCAGACACTTTATTAAAATGTCCGCGCAGCTCACTCCCTCTAAGCAGGTACGTGATGTCACGTCTCGCCTCCCAGACTCGACGCGTCTCAAGAGCAATAGGAGCTAACTATGCCCGTTTTACAGACTGCATCTTCGCTAGAGAACCTCAAGATGAGCGATTCCCCCGTTAAGAAGCTCAATTTCGAAGCTTCCGGTAAGGAGAATGCTCCTTCGTCTTTCCCCGTCGCCGACGCCCCCGCCACCAAGACTGCTGGTGAAAAGCCTTCCGAAGTTGCGAAGGCCACCCCTAGTGTCAAGGAACTTGAGGCCAATGAGCCATTGCTCCAAGAGAATCCACATCGCTTTGTTCTGTTCCCAATCAAGTACCATGAGGTGAGTAGCGACAAGGTCACTACGCGTCACGCGTAAAGTGGAATTTTCCCATTGGGGGTTCTGACTTGTCCCAATGACCACCTTATGCTAACGGATGTCATCTTTGATAACAGATCTGGCAAATGTACAAGAAGGCCGAGGCCTCCTTCTGGACTGCCGAAGAAATTGATCTCTCCAAGGATCTCCACGACTGGCACAACCGCCTGAACGATGACGAGCGCTACTTCATCTCCCGCGTCCTTGCTTTCTTTGCTGCCTCCGATGGTATTGTCAACGAGAACCTGCTCGAGCGTTTCAGCGGAGAGGTGCAGATTCCTGAAGCCCGTTGCTTCTATGGTTTCCAGATCATGATTGAGAACATCCACTCAGAAACCTACTCTCTTCTGATTGATACTTATATCAAGGAGCCCAAGCAGCGCACCTACCTCTTCGATGCCATTGATAACAGTACGTTTATGGATGAACTTGTCTAGTTACTAGATTGTTGCTGACAGTACGCAGTTCCTTGCATTCGCAAAAAGGCCGACTGGGCCATCCGGTGGATCCAGGACAAGGAGTCGACCTTCGGCCAGCGTCTCGTCGCCTTCGCCGCTGTTGAGGGTATCTTCTTCTCCGGTTCTTTTGCCTCAATCTTCTGGCTGAAGAAGCGTGGCTTGATGCCTGGTCTTACCTTCTCCAACGAGCTTATCTCTCGTGATGAGGGTCTCCACACTGACTTTGCTTGTCTGTTGTTCTCGCACCTCAACCACCGTCCCGATCCTCAGATTGTCGAGGATGTTATCGTGGAAGCTGTTGCCATTGAGAAGGAGTTCTTGACTGATGCTCTTCCCTGTGCCCTTCTTGGCATGAACGCCAACCTGATGTGCCAGTACATTGAATTCGTTGCCGACCGTCTCCTAGTCGCCCTCGGAAACAAGAAGTACTTCAACGCCACCAACCCATTCGACTTCATGGACAACATCTCCCTGGCTGGTAAGACCAACTTCTTCGAGAAGCGTGTAGGTGACTACCAGAAGGCTGGCGTCATGGCCAGCACCAAGAAGGACGCCAAGCAAGATGAGAGCTCTGGCAATGGGGGCGGCCTCAACTTCGACGAGGACTTCTAAATTAACCTAACGAATATACCCGGCCGGGTGTCTACAGGCACCCACCATCCGATACGAGCTAATTCTCCTTTTTTTTTTTTTTTTGTGCTCGGCTCCGCGTTATTGATTTATGAGGCTATTTGAGTTATAAGCATGGGTATGGCGTTTGGTTGGTGGGACTCTTTTCTCAATGTATTGACAGTGTCTTGCCCGGTATTCGGCCCCTAAAATGGGATGGATGGGCGGTAAACTGTATTTAAATAGGATACCATTGTACATTCAATTGGATACTTAAAGATGGAATCGAAAAGTCACTGTTTCTCGCAATTATCTTGCTTTACTCTGTACTGTGGAACATTTCCTTGTCAAAAGGCACGTAGCAAATGTATCGGAATTTGTCTATGTACAGCACATACATCATTAGAGTATGAAGTCCTTTTCCGGAGTAATGCCGTCTGCATCCACCCGAGGAGTCTGCATCCTACTCCTGTCTCTCTGGAAACACAGGGGCCTAAGAACCCATGAACAGCCCGTTCCCGATACCGAAGATCAGGAGCAAGTCCTGTGCCAGCTCCGAAACACTGCACAAGCAAGAGACAACCCCCATAATCCTGGACACAAGCTCTAGCTCTACCGGCCCAAACCCAGCATTTGTAAACCGGGCGACCAAACACACCCATAAGCTCCGACATCCATGATTCTCGATCCTCGATCCTGAATCCACACTCTAGAAAATCACCTCTTCCCCTTCCCACCCTTCTTCTTCCCCTTCACTCCCTTATTCCCCTCCGTCTTCGCCGCAGCCGCAGCCGCAGCCACAGCCGCACCATCCTCTGGCGCATCAGTCATCTCCACATCACCCTGCACCGCCGGCGCAGCATTCCCCAATCCCAGCGCAGCTACATTCGCCCCGCCGGCCAACTTCCCCAGAGACGTGATCAACCGTCCTACCTCGGCGGCTTTGTTCGTGCGGTATTTGAGACAGATTCCAGAGGCTGGGTTGTAGGTTTTTAATGTGAGGGTTGCGACTGGGGGCGCGGGTGGTGTTGATTCGGTATCTTTGGGCTTGGAGTTCTGGGATGAAGGGCGTTGGGAGGGGAAGGAGTATTTTGTCGTTATGCGGGTCTGTTTGGTTGATTGGTTGGTTGTTAGTTATGGGAAGTTTCTATTAGGGGGTGGTCAAGAGCTGGTGTTGGGCTGAGCTTTGGAGTGGGGGATTTTGGGCATTGGGAGCAAGTAGCAGGTTATGGTTATGGAGGGAAACGTACGTCGCTTGGATATGCTTCGAGGAGGAGAGCGGATTGTTCCAGGTATGCCTGAGTGGTGGGGAGGTATGGCATGGTTGGTGGTGCTCCTTTTTTTGGGTTTTTTGGAAAGTCGGCTGGTAGGTGGATTTTGAATGAATAGGTGAGATTTGAGGTGTTTTGGAGGGAAGGTGAGGTATTATGGTGGGTGATTTGGAGTTGTGATAAATGGTGGAGTTAGGACAGTTTGCTTGCGATTGTCAGTAGTCGGTTCTTGGCGGAGAGTTACGGTTCTATTTTATAGTATGGACATTTGGGTCTCTTGTGGGTTTGGATTGTAGTTAGGTTTATTTTGATTCACGCTTTTTTTTTCCCTTTTCCTGTTTCAATAATGGCTTGACTTTTGTACATTGAATCGTTTATCTCGTATACTAAATATATCCTGTGTGTCTGCTACATACATCCATCACGTCCTGAAAATGCGAAATCAATGAACACCCGCCAATGCAATAAATGTCAACATGGGCCTTAATCCACAGGCAGGAAAAAAGAAAATTAAAGAAAACATCAATCATCAATGACACATATAATCAATTGACGGGCTGTGAACACCGTACGCAGAGCAACCTCTGCTTTCCATTTCGTCCTTTCGTCGCTCGGAAATTCGTCCCTTCACAGTTGTCACACCGGAGAACATCTTCGCTCTCATCACCATCTCCGTTCGATGATGCGTAATCACTGCTCAGGATGCTGCCGACACTTGGTTGTCGTCTTCCGGGAATAGAAAGTCGATTGGGGTCCAAATGACGGGGCGGTTCTCGATTACGCACGGCTAATGCATCTCGCGCGATTTTATTGTAGAACGCATAGCTGTGGTCACCTTGTAGCCAGAGAGGGTTATCATGATTTTGTGGTTTGTTGGCATCCCATGATGGCGCTGTTGGCTGGGGCGCCTTGGGGCCATTGGTCATACCGTTCCGCCCCGCTACTTCAGTACTGGATCCCGCGCTGTCCAACGAAGTCTTGTACTCCGTCGAAGTTTTGTGCGCAGAAGCTGGAGGGGAGGTGGTGTAGCCAGAACGCGAAGGACCACGCCTGGGGCTTGAGTACTGCGACCGATCTGCGAATCTCTGAGGAGATGGACTTCGAGTCCGTGTGCCTGACTGATGCCCATCCTTGCGATCTGTATGGCCGATCACCGAGTTGCGCCAGGAGATAATTCGCTCAGATGGCGTCTTATGAGATGACTCCTTTCCAATAGATGATGCGATACTATGCCGTGCCGAGTTACTGCGCCGTAACAGTCTGCGGGAGATGGTCGAGTGCGTATCCCAGCTTTCAAAGCGCCGTTTGTGGTACGCGCAATCTTGTCGCAGGACCTTTATTTTCCCAGAGTAGTCAGCCACTAGAATTATATTCCCACCTGGATGGGTGGAGCGAGCAAGATACCCCGGCGATTCCTGGGCTTGCTTGCTGACTACCGAATTGCGAGGAGTTCCGTTCTCCTTTGAACCACCTAGGGTAACAGGCGGAGGGTTGCAGACGTCGAAAATCGGATCTTCGGAAAACCCTAAGATCTGCTTCGTTCTCGAGGAAGCCATGATAGCCACCGTCACCATAGCCGATTGTGGTTCAATAACTTCCACAGCACGCTTGTCCGAGTCCTTCTCAACAGAGCCTGTCGGCCACAAATAAGCCCGACGATCCTCACTTCCACAGATGACGTGCTTTCCATCGTCGCTGAAGGAAGCACGGATCTGACTGCATGTATTCTCATTGCCGCGGAATTTTGACTCCAGAGTCCTATCCCTGAAGTTGTAGAGTCGAATCCGAGAATCGTTGCTAGTGATCAACAACTTGACCTCACCGTTGGGGTCACCCTTAGGCAAAGAGGCAGTATCAATTCCAGTAATTTTGCTGCCTTTGGCATTGCGCCCACGTGCCGACCTGACGTGGATCTGCGTGACTGGTTTAAGACCGTCAGTTTCATAGATATTGCACATTCCGTTTAGGCACCCAGCAATCGAGTGTCGGCCATCTGGCGTAAAAGCGACTGACGTGACCATGTCAGGAACTCGAGCAACGAACGCTACGCTTTTATCCGGGATACTCCAAAGTCGCAGTTTCGTATCAAGAGACCCGGCAAGGAAAAATCGGTCATCACGAGGGTGGAACTGGATCGATGTGACAAAGTCGCTATGTTGGAAGATACAGAGGCATTCAGGACGGCTGATATGCCATAACCGGACCGTTTTGTCCATCGAAGAAGAGAGAAGGAAGTTGTTCTGCTGCGATATTAATTTTGGTTCGGAGATCTCGGTTTGACAAAATACTGGGCCGGCGTACCTTGCTCCAGCTTAGATCAAGCACACTGCCTGTGTGACCCTCGTACACCTGGATTGGCTTCTTTTTGAAAACCGGCGCTTTCAGCTGAGGAGACTCATTATTATCCTGGCCCTCATCTTCCTGTGGCTCAGATTCGTGACGGTCCTCTGGCGAAGCAATAACAGTCCAGACACGAACCTTACCGTCTTGACCGGCAGCCGCCAGATATCTGCCATCGTTAGAAAACACCAATGCCCATACTGCTTTCCCAGTGTTTTTGCCGCCTCTTGCCCCTGCTACCGATGACGACGCGTCTTTCTCAGATGAGTTCGAGATATCATCTGCACCTTCAAGCTCCTGCGCTACGAAGACTCGGTTGAATGTCTTCTCTTTCTTATAATGCGCCCTAACCCGAAGGTACTTTGGGGGACGAGGAAATCGGGGGAAGAACCCTATCGGTTGCGCAGTGTCCATACGAGTAGTGTCTGGTTCGGAGACATCGTCGTCGTCATCGAGAACTTGATCTTTCTTTTTGCCGCCGATAATACGGCTGAGAAATGACACACCCTTTCTATTTGTTCACAATGATTTATTAGCATTCGAAACGGAATGCAGAGAAAACAAATGTGCGTGCTCGTGCAGTGCGGGGTATGTCAGGTAAAACCGGGAGCGCATCTCTGCTAGACACCGGCATGGCACTCACTTCTTGTCCCTGGACGGTTTCCGGTGCAGCGCGGCATCTCCTCGGATTGGGCCTTGCTCAGGTGGCCCATCAGTCCCGCCAGCTTCCGCCTCGTATGACGCCCGTCCAAGCAGTTTTAAAGGGATCGACTTCTCCGTATTGGTTCGTTTTATGATATGCTGCATTTATGCGGCGTGATCAGCGACTACTGCGCTCATCAGACACACGATTTAGTGGCTTGTCATTCGTACCTGCGACAATGGATCTATTGCGCTGGAGTCGGCGTTGACCTCAAAGAGGGTTGGGGAAGAAAGGGAATTCCTGGTGATCCCGATGGAGGCATAACTCTGGTCCAAGGCCGATCGAGAATTCTTTCTTGCATCCGGCGGATAACCACTGGAGGCTGACGCTACATCCGACGGAGCCGATCCTATACAAACAGCGCATAAGCATGAGTGACAAAGACGCGAATGCGGTGCGCCTTTGTTGCGCGTTTGGTTTCACCGCAAGCCATTGACACGTGAACGAAATCAAAGGTATTATAAATTCGCTCTGTCAGGTACAAGTCCGTCGGATTCACTGGACATACCGGCAGGGAAGGACTGAGAAGTCTGAAGGAGTCTCGGACTTTCGCCGTCACGAGGACTCCCACTGTCCTTATTGATGGTCGGATTGCTACCATTCTTCAGACTCGAGGAAGACCCGGTCGCAAGGTTGGTGACGATCGCGGGGATAGGTAAGGCGCGCGATGCCGAAGCCCCTCGGCTGTCAATCTCCTTGGGCGCTCGTAAAGCCTCCGTCATGGTTGGGTCAGCGCCCCAGTGTGCGCATGTGGAATCGGGAGCGTTTGGTGGGAATATCGCCTAATGGTGGAAAGTAGGGAAAAAGTAAAGAAAAATGATGGAGTATGCGAAATAATACGGAGACAGGAAAACACGGCAATATTCGGATGAATCGGAGATTAGAATGACATCAAGAATCCGGTCATTTACCCTTAAATTATTTTATTTTCCCTTTAATTTCTAAATGACACTTTTCTAGTCGCAAACTATCTTAGTTTCGGGGGGCGATAACGTCGCATTCTGGAACGACCCATTCAAGCGGAACGGTTGGCATATAGACGTAATTCCTCTCCCAGTAGCGAGTATTATTGGGGGGCAAAAGATAGGAATATCTCGGCAAGGACTCTACTCTTGTCATGCAGGTCAAGCATTTCAAGCCCAGAGCGTGGGGTTCGTAAGGGTCTAAAAAGTCTAAGGGATGAAATTGTGTCATAGGGGTACTCGACCAACCAACTCCAGCCAAGATATAAAAGATTATAACTCCCTCCACATTGATTGATAATATATGGTTAGATCTATTTATCTATCTTTTTTCCCCAAGAGAAATGACAAATCACTTGCAGTTGAACGGAGGACAATGAATCCTTTTCTGACTCCGTCTCCACATCGGTTGCCATAGCCACACACACCTCTAGCTTGAGACCATCGCGTTCGCAACTGGCAGTCTGCGTTAAACAAGGGTCGCTTTTTCCACAGAGAACTTCCTTGACCGTGAAAGATCTTAATCTGACGACGGGAATATTAGAACCAATCCGTGTAGAATTATATCCAGTTCTGTTCTATTTCATTCTTCAAGTATCTATATCCGCGACGACTGTTCCAACTTCCGGGCCCGATCTTTAGCAATATCACACATCGCCTATCCACCAAAGTTAGTAGGTTATCACACGACAACGAGTCGGTCACGCCGACAACAACTTAATGCAGCATACATACCTGGATAGTCTCTTCGATTTCCCGCTCAGCATCCCCCCTCTCAATCCTCTCTCGCATCTCCCTCATGATAACATCTCGGCTCCGCCCATTAACGAACGTTCTAAACTCTCAGTTAACCAAGAGAAGAAAAATAGGGTAAACCAGATCAAACGAACACAAATCTAAGCCCAGGAAACTTTTCCTCATATTCCACATTCAACAGTCGTAGTCGTTCAGCCTGTTCCTCTGCCCCCGTGGTCAACTGCGCCTGTTCCTTCCTGCTCAATTCGCTCAAATGCTCGGATTGCGCCACCTTCGCTCGTCCTAATCGCGGATGTGACCCTAGAATCCCGACGAGAACCGCTTTATCAGTCGGTGAATTTGCAGCCGATAGAGCGGACATGCGGCCCCCGACGGCGTCAATCAGACTAGTATAGGAAGAGAAGATCTGATTGGCCAGAACAGGGGCCATCAGCGTATGCAGCTCCGGCGATGGTTCGAAGAGCGTATCGAGGACCTGGAATTGCTGGTCCTGGGGGAGTGAGGGGAGTGATGAGAGTAGGGGGAGATTGGGTGACATGGTGGTCTGTGTACGGATAATCCCTAATGCTGTGTATTTCCGTGCGAGTATGTATGAAACTGGGGTTTATAGTTGAGGAGGTGGTTCATTCAGGGATTGATTGGGGGGTTTTGATATACTAGAAGTTCGATGGTCCCCGCATCGGCAGTCGCCGGGCAAGCGCGGAGATCTCCAGCGCGGAAGAAATTCTGGTGTGGAGACTGGGACTATTCGCCGTGTTGGTGTCGGTTGCCTCGATATTCTTGCATCTTGGAATTTGATAATTGTTGCTGTTTTCCTAAAGACTAGTTCGAAGCTTAAGGGAGACTAGGGGAAAGTCAAGAGTCTAAGGACGGCGTTATTGTCTTCTAGAAGATCTTGGTTGAGAGTATTCTGGGGTTAAGGTTTATAAAGGGGAGTTTCATCAACATTATTGGGCTTTTTTAGAAAGTTCCTGAAATTTATTACCAGACCGTCATTACACTGTTGTCGGGCTTAGCATTACAATCAGTGTACAGTATGTTTGTTAATTTCTTAAGTGAATGTATGCACATCATACCTTTATTCTGCACATACAGGTAGCTAACCTAGTTATATATGATAAAATGAGAACCCCCTTGCTGTCTTTTTTTTTTTTGACATATCTCAACAGGGCGTAATAATAGACCTCCTGGGGCGTTGACTCCTTTTCTTTGAGAACCACAACTTACCCGAAATTATGATATTGGCAATTTAAATGAGAACTAGTCAAGTAGACTCTAGCTAATTTACCCGTGTAAGCCTTCGTGCAACATTTAGGAGAAAAGGGACTGTATTGGCACTAATCTCACCTCAAGAAAAGAAAAGAAAAGATAACGACAAATGCAGAAAACGAAGAGCTTTGATTCTGGTGCTACAATAGAATAATATAGATGTTAAGGATTTAGTATTGTTCTATATACTGGAAGTCAGGACGACGGTCAGAGCTTGCATTAGGATTTGGTCCTCTATGTGTATGCCCCTGTTTCTTAGGCGGTTGAGTTGTTGAGTAAGTAGGTGATTGCATAGCGGATTATGCTGGGTTTTCATAATATATTAAGGTCCTGAGAACCCGTAGGCTCTTGCATATTCCCGCTGTGTCCAGTCTATTAGTTTGGGCGGATACCCATAGATAAGGAGGTATGGGTGTAGGCGTAAGCTTAGGGATCAGCCTTGAGAAAGGAGCGCTGATTCTGAGGTGGATGGCCTCGCTGCCTCCGCTACTTTAAATATTCCTGGGTATTTTACAGGTGGGGAATGGGAACTGCTCCGAATCATCCTACTATAGAAATCAAGCTCGTAATTAGTGGAGTGACCTCTGAGACTTAAGTTGATGACTGGTCAGGTTCAAACTTCTGTAGGGCCTGTTTCTCATTAAAAGAAGTGAGACCAGATCACTTCCAGCCGCTTAGTATGTTAGCTGGCGTGACCGCTTCATGATAGGCATTGAAGAAGAAAGGGATGAAAGGATTCTGGCTGATTTTGATCTGCGCAGGCTGAATCTCCTGTCGAATCTCCTTAAGAGTAGGCCGTGCCTAGTGACCTAAGAACACCAATATCTAGCGGTTGCAACATATGAGACAGGTGAGATGACAGGCAAAGTAGGATGATATGACGCTTCCAACATGCCTGTATGAATTCAAACGTGATGGAAGATCTATGTCCATCTAAATCACCTTAGAAGAGGAGTCAGCGGTACATACACTCCCCCATTAGATCTTATCTCACACCCATTCACCCCCCCCAAAGAGCTTTTAGCTTCAAATAAAGGACCTGTTCGAGTGGTGCAAAAGAGTTGTACTGTTTACCGAAGACGATCCGCCTTTTCGCGACCGCGTCTAGTGGGCGCGATCATCCCTCCTTCAATCTCCGATCTAAGGAATTCAATACTAACATGAAATGTTGTTGTCCGCCTTCTCTACCAATGTTCAAGATGTTATATAGATGCCATATGTTGGGCATACTGCTTCATGTACATACAATAAAGGGAATGATATGGTACTTACTTAGGTTTGGTACCTTGAACCAGAACGATCTTAACCCATCAGAGCCAAGAAAACGTGGAGACAAGAAAGTGGAGGTTATCGGACCATCCACTAAAAGAGAGCCCCTGAACTCCTGAGAGGTTCGTGAAATACACACCTCTGTCTCATCAAATGACCCTGTTAACTAATTGCTCGCGTTAGTGGTTCAGCCTGGGGTTGATCTCGGTTCGCAGAAGGTCGTCCTTCTGCTACATTTCCAGATCATACCTACCTTCTGGCTAGATCCGTCTCTTCTCTCGTTTGATTCCTTGTGTTTTCCCATCTTCATTCGTCTCGTTGTATTCGTCCCCTCCCCCTCTTTTCTTCTGTCGCCGGCAGACTCTGCTACATTTCTTGATTCACGCCCCTGTACCTTTTTTTCTCGATTAAGTTTCGCCTCCCATGCAGTTCTCGTCATGTCTCTCAATGGGCTAGATAATCCCGCTGTTCTAGAAGCCTATCAGACCGCTTTAAGTGAAGCGGGAGGATGGTAAGTCATGTTGCTTTCTCTTCTCCCCACGCAATTGATCTTCCTGGATGTCTCAAATTGAACTAACATCTCGCCACCCCTCCCTGCATCTAGGTTTCTTCTCCAGTATGTATCAAGGGATGAAGTGGCTCTGCTCGATCGGGGAACCGGCGGGGTGCCCGACGTCCGGAATGCGATCGACAGTTATGAAGAAAAGTCTCCGCTCTATGGATTTCTACAATACCGACGCAGAAAGGTAGTGCTTAGCTATCTACCGGAGGGCATCTCCAGACTCGTGCAAGGTATATCTTAGCTAACTACTGCCCCTGGTTTACCTACTGACTCGATCTTGTACCACGTGTAGCACGTACGACCGTACAGTTTCAGTCAATTTTGGACAAATTCTCCCCACATGATACTGTGTTTTCTCTTTCACAGCTATCGGAGCTCACCGAGAGCGCACTGTCTTCCGCATGTCTACTACATACGGCTTCAGGTTCTATTACCTCCTCGAATTCCCTCCGCCGTCGCAGGCTGATGGAAATCGCGGAAGATGCAGAGGAAACCCCCGGAAGTAAAGACGCTCCTCCACCGCCAGTCCCGAGCAAGGACTTTCGACAAAGGTCATTTAGCCAACTATCAGAAGCAACTGTCATCGTCTCGCCGGTTACCTCCGACGCACATTCCATCCTCCACGGCACCGAAACCTCCCTAGCTACGACGAACACCCAAGCCAACGGTCGACCTCCTTCGATTGCCGGCGACTACCACTCCGAACGTCCAGCTTCGCGAAAGAGCTCACGGGATGAGTTGTCAATTTTTGAGCCTCGAAGGTCTACTCAGTCCGCTAGACCATCTTTAAAAGATCTGGAACGTGCAAGTACGTACACACCAAAGGTCAAACTCGGTCCCCGGCCTTCAGTAGATGGGAGTGGGCGGCCACGCACCGCAGGTAACCTATCAAAAAGTGCAGAACAGCGGCCGGTCGCCTCCTTGCCAGCAGGTATTCGGTCGTCGTCCTTGCGAAGGAGCACCCCTAGTCCTGCCCGCCCGCGATCCCAGGGAAGCACTGCAGCATCCATGTCTGGCCGAACGGTGCCTCCTGTGCCTCCTTTACTAGTACCTCCCCTATCAATGCCTATTTCTAGACCTCAGCTGTCGCCTGGAGCCAAGTCATTGAGCGCGTTATCGTCATCCGGAACATCCCACGAAAAGGAGCGGCTAATGAAGGCACTTCAGCTACGGAAGATGCAGATGGAAAAGAAGGCACAGGAAGGGAAGGAAGGCCATAGAGCTTCTGAGGAAAGAAAGGAACCAATACCTGACCCGATTGAAGACAAGGAGAATATTGGTCATGCCCATGACAACATGAAGCGTGTCCAAGCGAACGAGAACAAGACCCGCATCCTGGAGCATAGCAAGGATCATCTGTCGGAGGCTCAACCCTCCATTGTTCCAGGACCAATCGAAGTACATGATGGAGTCATCCAAACCTTCTCTGATCCCATAATCTCAGAGCCAGCCCCTGACATGGCAATTACTGATCTGCGTGTCACTTCTGAAACAAATGCGAAGGATTCAGCCAAAATTGAAGAGCCTTCGGAGGCGGACCACTGTCAGTCTGCACAGGATATTTCTGAACCTGAAAATGATGTTGTTGAAGAGGGTTTGACTAGGTCCATTGATGGCGAGACTAAAAGTGGTCCCGGCTCGCCTAGCGCGGCCAAAGAAGTCCCACTTGAGGACAGGTCCGTCAAAACTCCAGACGAAGAAATTGCTGTGGCTTCTCCACCAGTCGAGAATCCTCTTATCCCTGTTGAACAGGAGGCCGACATCATAGGAGAGCCTACTGAGTCTCCCCTCCCTCAGTCCAACCCCGTACCTACATGCTCGTCCCCTGATTCTCGCCCAAGTTCAAGTTCCGACTCCTCAACTGCCATCGAAAGTCATAACACTGTAACACAGAATGACCTAGCCCTTGAGCTGTCGATCGCGGAGCAAAAGGACGTTGATACACTGAGAGAAAAGCGTAGACCCCACCTCGAACCTATCCAAGTACCAACTCCTGAATATTCGGATGACGATAATCTTTCCGATGATTCATTCATGGAAGAATTAAAGAGTGCCACCCTGGAAGAAGCCAGGCCCATTTCAGTTGGGAAGTCGCCGCTATCCCCGGGCTATTCTAATAATGGAAACGACCGAAGCCCCCCTGATGCCTGGAAAAATTCACGAGCGGTTTCCAACCCAAGCGCTACCGGGCGCCAATCACCTAACTTACACGCACTAGCCGTGGGAAGGTCTGTATCGACGCCCTACAATGAAGCTGACAGCCCTGTCCTGGTGGCCAAGAAGATCAATGTGTCGTCGGGAATCTCAAACCGGATCAAAGCCTTACAAAAATTTTCGAGTCGGGCCGATGCACAACCGACCTCAGGTCAAAACTTAACAGCACCTTCTACGTCGGCTTCCTTTGAGGCTCTTAGGAAGCGAGCCTCAGCCTCATTGAATGTTAATTCGGATTCAGCTCTAGGATCTAGGCATGGATCTTTCACATCTGAAAGTTTCTCTCGGGCTTCTAGCGTGAGGCGCCGCGACTCACAATCCAGTACAAGTGTCAAGCGTACGAATTCGGTATCGGTTACCGCCAGAATAGTCCGTGACTCCAATACTACCCCAGGAGAGGCTGAACCTTCTGATAACAGAGTTCTCAATCTCCACGCCAGTCCACTGACCGTTGAGCGTGACGATTGCGGGTCTCCTTCGCCGGATTCATCAGCAGAGCCTGTAACTATCAAGACGGAAAAGCGCAGCATGTCTACCTCTTCTGCCGGCTCAGGCAACCAACCCCTTGCGCCAGCAATGCGACGGTCAGAGAGCCGGATGTCTATCTCTTCTATCTCCGAAAATGAGACAGCCTTACAACCTGCCACTGATGTCCCTCTGTCTCCCGAAGGAAAAAAGGAATCCCGCACTTCTCGACTTCTTCGTCGTATGTCATCTATCACCTCAAGTACACGGAAGAGTCCATTTAGCTCACTTAGTCCGGTGGTAAAAGAAGAAAGCATGCCGCTTGATACAGGTGTTGAGATTGCGCAGGCAATTGACATCGGAGAGGTCAATGTCCAATTCCCTGACACTCTGCTTTGGAAGCGCCGATTTGTTCGCGTCGACGACAAGGGTTACTTGGTTCTGACCCCTGGGAACGTTGATTCGAGTAACCGCAGCATGGTCAAACGGTATCATCTCACTGAATTTAGAACGCCTACTCTACCGGATGAGGATCGACAGGAGCTTCCCAACAGTATTTTGCTGGATTTCCTCGATGGAAGCACTCTTCAATGCGCCTGCGAATCACGGCAAGGGCAAGCCTTTATCCTCCAAAGTAAGTTGCCTCACCTATTCATGCTGAGTATTACGGTGACTGATTGTAATTAGCTCTTGTCGATGCTCACAGAACCCATCAACAACTGTCCCAATAGTGCCCTCTCGTGCCACCCTTGCATTCTTTCTAAAGCTATCTACACAGCGCGTTTCTGCAACCTGTCCTCGAACCCTTGTCCGTCATTTTGTACTGTTTCCTTTTGGTATCTGAGTTTCAGCGGTATACCCCTCTAAAAACGGCTCTCCTTTGTTTACCAGCTGTTCCTACTTAGTTCTCAGCAGTCAGATTCTACATTTCTCTTCAACTTCAGCGTGTTTTCCTTACCTGACTTTTAATCGTTGCTTGATGAGATACATGATCTTATGATTTAGACCTATTGCCTAACAGCGAGCCAACCGCTGTTTTGTCACGGGGAGGATCAGTAACTGACTTGTCATCTTCATTCCTTCCCTTCCATTCCTCTCCTCCTTAGGTTCTTTGGTATAGAGTGATTGACTCATTCTACGCCTAGACCCGTTGCTAGACTTGGATTCCAACTTGGGTTAGGGGGCCTCGATACCTGTCAAACCCACCGGACTGACAGCAATGCATCGAAAAGTTCAAACCATCTCACATTTTTTTCTTCAATGTGTACACATTTATCTTCTTTTCCCATTGGCGATCTTGCACATATGACAGATTCTAGAACTTTTGAGTTTTATTTATTCAGCATGTGTCTGGATGGTACACATATAGTTAACACGTTTTCGGCTCATATGCGATTAGAATGGCCGACCTCCTCTGCAAACACTAAAGTGTATGTATGGTTAATTTTGATCGGCATTTTCCTCAGTCGCCCTCTTCTTCTCCCACTGTTCTAGAAACTGCTGTACTTTAGGCCCCCACACTTCTTCCCCAGCCTCTAAATCACGGTACTCAAGTACTTTCTCAGAACCAAGTTCAAAATGTGCCTGGCGTGTTCGAACCAGTTCACTCATAAGAGCACAGCTGCCAACGGCCTTTCCTAAGTCATGCGCCAATGAGCGAACATAGAAACCTGACGAGACGGTCATGATAATCTTAACGGCAGCAGAACGGGGCGGAGGGGTAGATTCGGCTTTCTGCGATGAAGCATCAGATTTATCTTCCACCACATCTGGGGCATCTGACGATGATTGCTCAGCCTGTGCCGGCACCGCTTGGCCCTCAGCAGACACCTTCTGCTTCTTTGCGGATGAAGAATTGTCATTCACCGTTGAGGCTGGCGCTTCGTCTTCATCCGCCTTGAGACTTTCCACAGGTGGGGGTGTTTTGCGTTTGGCCGATGAAGCATCCTGCTCTACTGTCTTCTCGGCTGACCCTGCAGCCTCCGCAGGCGGCGCAACAGGCAGAGCATCATCTTTCGCGAGGAGCTTCTCAGCGACTGCCTTCTCCTCAGCAGCGGCCTCTTGCTCAGGCCACTTGAAGTCATGCGTGCCAGGCTCGTACCACTCAAGAATGCGCAGATCCGTCACCTCCACAGGTCTCTCCTTGATCTCAATCGGCGGCTCCTTGCCCTCGCGAGCGTACTCATAAAGCGGTTTACCCTTGACCTTCAAAGCCGAGAAGATAGGTGGGCGTTGCATAATCTTCCCTCGGAACTGCTCCAGTGCCTTCTCAACTGCTTCGCGGGTAACATGTTTATACGGAGCCCGTCGGACAATCTTCCCCAATCGGTCGTAAGTGTCTGTCTCGGCTCCAAAAAGTACAATCGTTTCGTAAGTCTTGGTACATCCTAAAAAATCAGGGAGCTGTTTTGTGCCTTTGCCCACGGCGGTGACTAGCACACCGGTTGCCAGAGGATCGAGTGTTCCTCCATGACCGATTTTGACATCGAGACGTTGCGTGCGGCGCCGTCTGCGCTGGTACTGGCTCTCGCGGTTTCGACGTTCGCGCTCAGTTTCTAGCCACGGCTTGAAGAGCTTTGAGGGGTTGAAGTGATGTTGAAGGGTACGGATGACATCGGCGGAGGTGACGCCTTGGGGCTTGTGGACGGCTATTATGATTAGTATCTTTCATGTCATTGCGAAAAAGATGAATGGGTTGTGGTATAATATATTGCTATACAGAAAACATACCGAAAATGCCCTCGTAGATCTTTTCTCCAGACATGGTGGTTCGAAAGAGCCTGAAGCCGCGGCGGAATCCCATCAGTCGCGGAGGAGGGAATTGGAGATGGACGTGGATTAGTAGCTTAGGCGAGGTTGCATGCGACCAAATCCAGACATGAGAAGCTCAATGGACCCCAACCCTAAGTTTGAATAGAGAGAGCTCAATTCTACCAACCGGACATCCACAGCACGGAGTTAAGACTGCGACAAAAGTGGAAATCACCAGCGCAGTTTTCTCCCGCTTGCGAAGATGTAAAGCGGTAATACAGACAGCTGGAAGTATGGACCACGTAAAAGTACGTTGTATTTGCGTAGTGCACAATGGGCGCGGAGTACCGTCGTCGTAATTACGAGACCCAATAAATACAAAACCATCAACCACCCTTTGGACTCTCAGGAATCCCAACAACGCCTTTCATAACTCCCTTTCTTCTCTGTTTCCCCCCGTTTCTCGTTGTATTGACCTTCAGGAGCATCCTTGTGACACCTTTCTTGCATGTCGGTCAAGGCATCATGCTACCTCCGGAGACATGACATCGCGAGAAGATAGTGTCCTGGCCGCCAGAGACCCGTCTCTTGCTGACGAGAACGACTGGGAAGAGTTCAGTCTGTCCGAGGTCAGAGTCCTGGTCCCGGGCAAATCCCGCTATGCGAACCTTCTCGCCGCCTCCCCGGACAATCCTGTCCAGGTGACCGGGTGCTTGGATGAGGTGGAGGAGGAGCAGGAATCTCTCGGTGCGCTCCGATCAACAAATGGCTCACATAATATAGTGAACACCCACTTCTAACATTCAAATCGCTGGTTTTAGTACTCGACCAAGACTACCTTACGAAACGAATTGTTCTCGAAAACGTTACGCATTACGCTTACGGCCAGCATGATGATGGTGAAGTCGGCATCTGGGTTGCCGGCCGCGCTGGTTGGTTCTCCATCTCGCCTGCGAGGGGTTACCGGCCTATGTTCAATGATGTGGTGGAGGCCATCGATTTACTATATTTCCTAGCGGATCGACATCAAAAAAGGCGGAGTAAACGGAGGAATTGGAAGCCAAGCCTTGAATACTTGTGTGAGGAGGTCAGTGGATCCTTTCCCGATGCCCTTGATGTGCAGTATCGTCGCTGACATTGACCGCTGGGATAGTACGTGAGCCATACTCATGGCATATGCGAGGATAACGACGATTCCGCCGAGGTCTTTTACAAACATCATCACTTTTTACTCACCCAGATGCTGAAGGGTGAGGAGGGTGTCCAATGGGTTAATACAGATATCTTTGCACATTTCTGCGAAAAGTTTCCGGTATTTTCATCCTCCTTTGGCATAGCACGAAGTACAATAACTTACTAGATGGTTAGGAGGAGTATGAAGAGATCAAGGCCGAACTAGAAGCACCGAAGGCAGAGCCGGAGTCAGACGAAGACAAAACCAACGACGAACCGGAAGAGGTAACCCATGAGCCAGATCCTAGTACCGTCTTTAAAACGCAAACAGATTCTATATACCAGGTAATTCTTGACCTGAAGGAGGCTGGACACTTGGCGAAACGTCAGTTGAACCTTGATCTTGTTACCTCCACGCTAGTGGGGCGTTTTGAGATCGATAGCACAGAATACGCGGAAGACCTTATAGCTTCAAGAGCCGAGGCGATTATAGAGCTTATGGACGAGGCGAAGACGCCAAATTTCGATTGGTCTCGCAAGGTCATATACCGAGAATTGAAAGCCGCCGCGAAGAAACATGGCGTGCAACAGGTAGCGCTCACTCCACTGCGACCTCGTATGTCTAACGACAGCGAGTCATCTGGGGAGGAGAGTGAACATGAAGAAGAACAGCCTCGGCCGCGAAGACGCCGAGTTCGCAAGTCTGTCCTGCGTCCTAAAAGCACGATAGCTAGCAAGAAAATTGGCAAGCGAACGAGGAGCGCCGCAGCGGACGATGAATATCTTTCAGATGACAATCCAGATGCAATGGATGAATTCGAAACACCTAGCAAAGTTCGCGGGCATGATCTTGTCCGTGATCCTTTGTCTACGCGGGCGAAACGCAGAACCCGTTCAATACTCGCCACCTCAGAATCTACACACTTTCACAAAGCAACAGCACTACAGGAAATTCTTCGAAGTCGTAATACGTCGGTCTCTGTTGGTGACCAGGAACTCTCAGAGTCAGATGGCCCTAACGGCAAAGAAGCAACATCTGATACATGGGTATGCCAAGTCCGGGGTTGCGACAGAGTTATTAATAAGAGCAATACAAATCACGGCAAGGAGTTGATCCGGGATCATACACTAGTTCATGCAGATGATGCCAAGGCTAAAATGGATCTTGTCCTTTCGGAACATCAACTTAATCTAGGGTTTCGTGTCGACAGCCTCCTTGATCACATTCGGGAAATGAGCGGGTTGGATATTACAGCTATGGACGGGTCAACGAATGGGACTACTGGGATTGGGGCATAGCTGCAAGGCAGCACGTTACGATTTTGATAATATCCTTATTCAATACCAGCATATTTTTTTCTACACTAGACCGTTATTGCCACAATTAGTCGTATTTGTAATACTTATCTCACTTCCTTAGAGACTATGGTAGTCATCATTCTTGGTATCCTTGGAACGGGGCGCCAATGATTCTTGTTACACTCGCCAGTAGGGTGTTGTGCACGATAAACGTCCTCAGGTACTGAACGAAGGTGAATGAAACTATATATCTCAGTCAACCTTGTTGTTTCAGGGTACACATAAGCAAATGGCAGCAGTGTGACGCCCTTGATTCGCTGTTCACGCTACGTAAGCTCGCAATAGAGGTTGCCCATTCATCAGCGGTAACAATTTGTAGCGAAAATCGACCATACCCATCTTCTTCGTCTTGTGAGGAGTTGGGCTCGCAATGTTGACTTTAACCGCGACACGTTGCTCGGAGCAAGAGTCCCGAGTGAGCCATACACTCGAGTAGCCTCCATAACCCAGTTTATCAGCGATACGATATCGACTGTGTAGCACGTTGCCAACCATGATAGGATGATACCCGCCTGGTTCATATAACAGCATTGCTTAAAGCACGGGTTGAGACTTGAACACTTCTTCGGCAGGGGGCATTGGTTGGCGACAGATAAGTGCTTCCTATATCACCATTTCCATGTCAATCCTTTTTATTTGACTATCCTCGCTCGGTTATTATGCGTTGTCTTGGCGTGTATGGCCAGCACGTCCTGCTCTCAGAAGATAGAAAGACCTCGAACGTTTCTATCCCACTAGCCCGTGAAACGATGTAAAGAGGGAGGATAGACCTTTCTTTTCTTCCTTTTTTTTGCCTTTCTTATGATTTTCTCCTATGCGGCAGCTCATCTGGCTAGATCATTGGCTCGGCTATTGCCTAGACCCTCGGAGTGGTCAGGAACCCAGCGCAGCTCAAGCTAAACTTTTGAGCAGCGTATCGTCAATGATTTTCTGCCAATATAGCCATCGCTTCATCCGCAGTGTCCTAGGTCTCTAGGAATTTTTCGATATACCGAAGTACCTCCCTGCAGTCAGATAATATGATAATTCGTCGGGGAATATCAGTCTCTTTTTTGTAACAAACGCAGAAATTCCGGCCGCTGCTAGAATAGCGAAGAACTCTTCTGTTCCTGAAGAACACATCGGTGATAGAGCAAATATTCTACAAATCGACTCTGAGCCTGTCGACTATCACTTATACGTGACAGTAGCTCCCGATATTGAAGCCCAGTCGACCACGGAGGCATCAGTCCACGTCACACGTGTATCGTCAGAGCCTGAATCCGGTATTTCTTCAGGTAGTTCCGAGCGTGGGCGAGAGCATCATCGCATCCATCTATGACAATATGTCCATAGAATATAACGGGCGAAACAGTCGATATTTCCGGTCGAGAATCAGTTCAAGGGGCCTGCGCGAATCTGGCAAGTAATTAGTCTTCCTCGAGTAGTCCAAGAGAATTATCGGTTTTGATATCTAGTGAAAGGGAATCTATGTCTTCAAACATCTCTGAGGATGCTTTTTCCTAGCTGTAAGCTTTTATGTTATTCGATTCCATCTTCGTCTGCCTGGGATTGTTGTGGTCCACTAGGCGGGAGTATTTGAATCTTTGGAGTGTTAAAAACAGGATGAGTCACGCTTTCTATCATACACCAGAAGTACTAGCACATATAATGTACGCACGTAGTCTTCACGTATGTTCAGCCTATTTATGTATGTATATATATAGCCCAAGAAAGTCCACTAGTAGAATGAAAATATCGCCGATTATCTAAATTTGTCATATACAAACTAATAAAGGACTATTTTGCCAGCACTTGGCATCTTCCTAGTGTAATTAAGCGGGTAAAGTATAGTAACCTATGATCTGGCCAGACGTGCCTATCACGTCAACATCAGCATCAACACTAACATCAACATTACTATATAGTTCAATTAAAGGCTCGAACAAAGTTTACGAACTAGGTGTATATTCTAGCCGCACAGAAATATTGCCACATCTCCGGGGCGGTAGCTCAGTGGATAGAGTGGAAGATTGCAATTAACCTCAGTGGTTGCTACTATTGCAAGCTATCTTTAGGTCGCCGGTTCGATCCCGGCCCGTCCCTGTTTGTTTTTTTCTTTTTGCCCTTCTCAAACCAAAAAGAACCCCCTTTTTGTCACATTCAAAACCAAATTATCAATTATGTTATATATCAGTGACGGTGCTGGCTGTCACGTGTAGATAGTACAAACTTAGCTGCTTCTATACAGTCGACCCAAGAGACTCAGACCCAGTCTTCCATACATTCCGGCTAGGCAGACTCTCCCAACTCTGTTGGCAAACTTCTGCCACTACCATGCCTGTCCCGTAGTGGTAAAACTTACAATCATTCCATATTACCTCCGCAGGCCAGTAAAGGGGCATATTTAGCTCAGTACGCCACCACGCCTACCGAATAAGCGATAATGGGGCTCTTGAGAACCATTGCACTGGTTATTCTGGGAGTTTCTGGCTTCACTTTTGTTGCCCTGTTTGGGAGGCTGCCAGCGTTCCGGTAAGGCGTGATAGCCTATTGATTTCATCTGCTATGGCTGATGGATATTCCTATACAGCAAAACCCCTGTCGGCTTACTCCACAGAGTTATTTGCATACATATTCCAAGCGGGATAGCTTTTCTTGATTCTCGTTTATTAGGTGGCCGACTTGTGCACTTGTGGAACCGGTCCGGTAGCTATATATTTCACGAGAATCATCCGCTGGTCCTTGTGAGTTCTAAGACCAATGTTACAACTTTCATCTTGCTAATCTCCCTCATAGATATTCTTTGCATCACTTCTCATTACAGGACAATGTATGTTCATTCCGAGTGCATGGCCCAGAGTCTCCACAGTCCATTGGTTCTGCATACCGATCGCTGTAACTCTTCCATATATTTTCCTTTATGCGAGCATTGTCACAAAATCGTTCATCACCCCCAAGAATCATACGGAAGAGATGGAACGCTATCCGTTTGATAAGGTCATCTTCCACCCGGGTCGCTACTGTAGCTCGTGTAAATTCACCAAACCGGCACGGAGCAAGCATTGCAGTTTCTGCAAAGCATGTGTCTCTCGACATGACCATCATTGCGTGTGGCTAACTAATTGTGTTGGCTTGAATAACTACCGCTATTTTATAGCATTGATTTTCTCTCTTTGCATAATGCTGATCTACGGTTCTTGGATTGGCTTTTCCCTTCTGTCCCAGACATGGGAAGAGGTAATCCCCCCAGACTCACCATTGCGGACGATGACACAAAGTTGGACAGTGTTCTTAAATGTGTGGACTGCGGTGATTTCCATGGATCTCCGTGTTGGAGGCATTACTCTATTAATGTTCATGACCGCACCTTTGGCGATGGCATTTCTTGTGTATCACACCTATTTGGTTTGGGCTGGTATGACTACCAACGAGAGTGCGAAGTGGTCTGATTGGAAAGAAGATGTTGCCGATGGTATGGTTTATAGATCAACTAAGGCTGAGGCGTATGGTAACTCGCCTTTGCTGCGGGAATATCAAAATTCTCAAACACTCTGGCCGGTAAGTAGTGACCAGGTGCTCATCTTGACAGAAGGTGAGGCACCGAGGGTGGGCTTCATATTTTCCCCCGATTCCAATGAAATTCGCCAGCCCAATGATGGAGAGGCGTCTATTGATGAGAAATGGACCCTGGTGCGCAATATGAGGGAAATCGACAATATCTATGATCTTGGGTTTTGGGATAACCTCCGCCACGCCTTTGGGTTGTCTACTCGACGGACGGTATCATAGGATTGAGTATCAGCGTTGAATTTACAAGGGACTCAACTGTATCGTCTCCTACCACTTATTATATCTATCCATAGGTCACATTCTTATACATAAGACACTTTTGGAGGTCATGGACCAATCATTGTGAGGGAGCAGCCGGCGGGACCGGAGCCGGAAAAATAAATTCACTTTTCGAATGGCGTTCCTATCTTCCCCACTCAACTCATTTATTCTAAGTGTCTCTCACAAACAGCTTCGTCGCATAATCTTTGGGCGCACACTCTCACGGCCTCAGCTAAAATGGCAGACTGGACAGCTGCAGAAATGAAGCCAAAATGCACACCCGCCGAGCTCATGCTAAAGGTTATCCTGACGGGAACTTTAAGTCACTATGAGACTCGTGGGATGATCGACGATAAACGCCTAGAACATATGTTATCGGCCGGAAAACAGATACTGTACAAGACACACCAGGAGAGCGATGTTAGGTATACTTCTTCCTTCTATAATTAGCCACTCTTTTGTATCCTCACACCTTACATACTGACTATGTACGTTCTTCTGACAGACACAATCTGGGCCTCTCCCCAGACATTTGGCAAGGCTTCACGGATGTGTTGACGAAAGCAATTCCCGTGTTAGAATCACAGTCATTTGCTTGGAAGTGCCCCCCGACTGCCAACTATGATCATTCCTCCTCCAACTTGATAGCCTACAATTATTTTTCACTTGTCAAGGATATCGAACGTCTAAATGATTTGTGTACCATCGCCCGTAACCTCCTTGCGACAACAAAGAAAGCGCAGAACATGGCGGCGGAAAAGGGTTTCGACCAAAGGATCTTAGCACTGGTGGACACATGTGTTAGAGTAACCGCCCGCGGCTTTGATGGAGAAACGAATGCAAGGAATGAAGAGCGCTGGCAGAAAGTGGTCAACCTTTATAAGCGCTTGTTGATTACGTGCCTCCAGTTCCTTCACAATTTCATCATGCACAACGAGCAGCGGAAGATGGTGCTTTGGTTAGACCTTTTCGGATACCATTCCACCGGCGATTCGAACATCATTCAACCTAGGGAGCCTCTCGATCCGGCCAGTGGTCAGCCTGAGGGCGCGGCACCGATTGTCAAGACTGGAGAGAGAATCGTCAACCCACCGATTAGAGCGCTTTACGACCAGACAGCGGAGGACTTGCTACTGGAGACTATCTCCAACTTCCCCAGAGAGCCAGCCACAATTAAGGAAGAAGCGGCAATGTTACTTCTCGCAAACATAAAGGACCACATGGAGAAACTTCTTGGACGCGATCTTACGGCGATCCAAGAAATGGGCAAGGACCCGGAACAAGTCAAGGAGATTCGTGCTGCCCTTACGGCGATACTCGGTGCAAAGGTCGATGGATTCTCGGACCTTCAAGATAGAGCTAAAGATCTCCCCCCAGCCCTTCCTGAAGACGAACCGCCGCGCAAAAAGGCCATACTTACAATAGATCGAAGCTCGACGGCTGGGTTTCCACGTATTTGCTGGGCTGACCTGCCCGACCTCAACGCATATGGCGCCCTTGCTGCAGGGGATGCGACTGTCATGGAAGAAGATACAAGCATGCCGCGGTCTGCGCAATCAGCTGCGGAAACACTCCAGGAGGCGAAGGATGAGCTAATGGCACGGCTTCAAGAGTCCTCTCAAATCGGTGGTGACGGCGACCAGGACTACGATACCGGCGATGCTGGAACTGTTGGCGACGACGATTCACGTAGTCTTGAAGCCGTAGCGGATGGAAGCATGGAAGAGGAAGAGGAAGAAGAAGATGAGGACGACGATGATTACAGAGGCCGTCCAGGCGATCAACAACGTGGGCTATTGACAGACATCCCCCTAGTGTTGGGCCCTGCAGAGATAGAGGCGCTTCCGATGATCATCCAAGCCGGCATCGTCGACAGCTTTGGGCTGAAGGGTGGCGAAAGGACTGGCACAAGGAATATGCAGTCCCTTAGATGCCACATACTGCTAACTCAGGAGACGGGCCGGAATCTTCTCCGGGAACTCCTGATCTTTATTGCCGCATGGGACCTCCCCGATGACGAACTCTACTTCAAGATGATGGTGCAAATTATGGACGCAGTTCTGAGGAACGGCCTCATGTCCCATGCCTATTCGGACTTCGGCCAACCAAAGGACATCATCTCTCCGGCTCAGGCGGTCGTTGTCAAGATCCTCACACATATCTTTAGAGCCAAATACTCTCCTGCTTCCGTCACAGGATCGACGCAAGCCAATTCATCAAAGAATCCAGCGCCGCTCTCCAGGGTTGATATACTCACAGTCCGCTACATATTCACCATCTTCCGCGGCAACATTATTCCAGAAACCTGCGCTTTAATCTACCTTCAAGGCCAGATCCGAGCCGGACGGGCACTTCCCGAGGACTTCCCACTGAACCTGTGGGATATGGAACGGGTTTACGAAGGTGTCTACCAGTTCTTAGAGTTTTTCGCTGTACTTACTGAGAACAATGACTGGAAGAACTTGCTAGTTAAGTGGGAGATTGTCTACGATCTCGTCACCTTGATCAAGGAACTTGAAGCCAGCATTCCCAAGGGACAATTGAGCCAATTGTCGCTCGGCCACAACAGCCCTTCAAAGGAATCTCAACCGATCATAGTCCCTGGGCCGGTGGCGATTGAGCGACCTTACGATCCAAGCGATCCGGATCCTGTTGATGGCGGTGCCGGGTCTAGAGCTGAATCGCCTCCGATAACCGAAGATCCTTCTGAATTTGAGTGGCGGAATCTTAAGAAGCTTGTTGTGCTCGTCCTTTCATCCCTCGTGTGGAAGTGCCCAGAGGTACAAGATCAAATCCGTCGACATGGCGGTGTTGAGACTATCCTATCATGCACCAACTTCGACGCGCACAACCCATACATCAAAGAGCATGCTGTCATGTGCCTAAAGTTCTTATTGGAGGGCAACCGTGAGAACCAGAAGCTTGTCGAAGAGCTAGAGGCACGGGAAGTAGTAAAAGACGAGGACGGACTATTAGAGAGGAGCGGATTCGAAGCCGTGATCGACAAGACCGGCAAACTGGCCATCCGACCCAGGGACGGGTCCGGAGAGCAGAAATAGCATACAGGAGTCACTGACTGGAGTCATTCATGTACAGTAAGCATCAAGCATTAACATAGGTAGACAAAAAGTATCGTGCAATGAGAGAGCATCAGCATAGCATAACTACATCAATCATCAAACCATATATCACTCATAATCATTCTTTCATATTCTTTTCTTCACTCTCCCCAATATCAAAAAGCCTCCCTCCCCCATTCCAAACCCCACCCTAAATATAACAACACCAAAACATATAATAATAATAACACCCTATTTATTGTTCAACCATACATACCATCCCACTCCTCCTCCTCATCCTCTACCGGCTTCCTCCTCTTAGCGTCCTCCTTCGCCCTCTCCTGCTTCGCAAAATCCACCCGATCAAGCGGACACGTCCCCCTCAACCTCAACCACGGCCTCACACATTCCAAATCAAAAACATGCGTTGAATGACACGGCAACCGCACAACAAGTGGATACTTATCCTCCAAAAAGCTATTCCCGCAAATCGGACAACTCTGATCCTTCTTCAACGCCGCCTTCGGCACCCGATCCAGCACTACCCATATCATACCCATTAGCATCATCCAAACCGAACCCCGACATAATCCAAAAAAGGAGGGAGGGTTCAAAAAGAAGATAAACATACTATCACAGAACTCTTCACTAACACCCTCGATCTCCCTCGGCGGCGTCTCTGCCTCACTTAGTAAGCTCTGAATCATCTGCGTGAGGAGACCATCGCTAGAGCCTTCGGTCAGTTCCGAGCCTGGACCTTCACGGCGCATCCATTCAAAGGCCTCGGCGAGGGAGTAGAAGGCTGCGCTGACGTCGCGAGGGACCGGTACGGCGTGTTCTCTTGTGCGGGACTCGTCGGGGGTGATCTCTGAGAGGGTGGCGAAGAAGGTGGAGAGGTCGGGGCGGTGGCGGTGGGTTGGAGGGGTTATTGTGCTTGGGTCTGTTGTGTTGTGTTCGACTTTTTTTTTTTGAGTTATTGTTAGTTGGGGGGCTGGTTTGTGGATTGAAGAGGGGTGGGGGATTACCTTCGTAGGTGGACATTTTGGCGGTTTGGGGTTGAAGATTGGGGGTTTCAAAGTAGTGAGAGGGGCACGGGCCCGGTTTCTTGAGGGTTGGTCTCTTGGTTTTTGTGAATTTGGGGGTTGGATTAAATGTGGTGTAGGGGGAGAGTGGGAGTAAATAGCTGTTAAAGCTGTGGTTGTCCGGCGAGGTTATGCGGAGGCAGCACCCGATAACGCGTTTTGGTGCGGAGTCAGAAATCCTAAACGGGGTGGGGATTTAAGGCACCGTATGACGCATTGGTTTGGTTTTATGTATTTCTACTACTGTTTGACTTGAGTTACTGTTGGGTTTGTTTATTTTCATGTCGATTTTTTGCTATTATGTTCTATTTGTAGTGAGTTGTGGTGGGTAGATTGTGGAAATATACTATATTTCTGTTTAAGCATGCATTCATGGTAGATAGATATGAGATGCGAAAGGCTCCACAACTTCCTTATATGGAATTTAATAGCTGAAGTCTTCATACACTACGTTCTTCCCAGTAAGCCAGTTCAGTACCGAACTCTTTAAAGAAGAGCCGCCACAGAAGTACCACACGTCCGCCAATGATAGATCCAGATCGCTAGCTTCCATTCGGCGACGTTCGACTTGCGTTCCAGATGAAGTGACAGCCACTAACTGTTGGGCAGTTTCCTCGTTCTGCGGCTCAGGTCCAGTAATAAAAAGGCTCGTAGATTGGGGTATCTGAGGAAACCTCTTGAACGTGTCCAAAACCAGGCCGAGATCTCGAATAGAGACGGACCACAGTAATTGCAAGTCACTAACATGGATGTCCGGAAGCTGCGCAAGGAGCGGCGTAATTCCGATCCCTCCTGCTATGAATGGGAGTTTGTCGTGTCCGCCTGGTGTCTTCAAATGAAAGTCGCCACCGAAGCCTTTCAAGGGAACCTCTAAGCCGGCTCGCTCGTTGATCCCCCAAAGGTAATCCGTCACACTGCCGTGTCGGCGAGCGGTTATCTCAAACTCCGTGGAATGATTTTGGACTGGGTATGATGAAATTGTAAAAGTCCGGATATAGTCATCGTTAATACTCAATGGGTCGTCATCCCTCATGTGGCTATAACCCATGTCTAACTCATCCTGGAAGGAAAGAGTAGCATATTGTCCAGGCAACCATGTCCCAATCTTTGATGGGTCGTATATTTGGAAACGAAACCGGCAAATTGTTGGAGTAAGCAATTCCTTCTTTATCAACGTGGCTGTAGCAGATGATTTCCCTTCACCTATAGCAGCAGGGCTAGCCTTTTCTGTAGCCAAGTATCGTACGCTTGGGTTGTATGGAGATCGCGGTCCTGCAATACCTCGGAATGCTAGGGATTTCTCTACGTATCGAGCCGTGGTGACGGTCACTTTCACGACCAGATTGGATCGCGGAAGGAGAGCAGCGGCCTCCTTACCTATGAGGACCTCGGTTTGTCCGGTGAGGTAAAGTGCATTACCTGTTTCAAAATCCGGAAAGACATACCCTGCTAGAGGAGTTGTTTGAAGGTTACCCAGGGTTTGATATAAACGATTGCCGGAATATTCCGGATACGCGAATACAGCCCCGCTGGGCTCGTTAGATATAACACGAACAAAGCCTGGAGGCCCGCCACGGATGTTGGTATCCATATCCACATCCCCATGACGTGAGGATATGAAAAGCGTGTCTGCACGGTTAAGGAACTTCAACGCTTCAGGAGGGAGTTGAGGGGAGTCGGAGATCATTCTTGGAGAAGGCAGAGTGGGGACGATGTCTCTTGTATTCAAATATTTGGGACAGTTGCCTGTAGCTGTAAGTACCCCCCAGATAAAGCTATTCTACTTTTGATTCTTACCAAGGCTTGCTTCGATGTGCACCAGCAAGTGGGCAAACCCTGCTCCGTCGGAGTCATTTCGGTTCTCCGGACCAGGTTCAATCGATCCAGCGATTTTCCTGCCGAAGAGCTTTGCTCTTCTGCGATTCGCTAGATCGACAACTAAGCCGGAGACCAACTGCCCGGGCTCTTCTGGGCCATCGTGTAGTAGTATATCCGCTAGAGGATCATATTTGCTATCCACAGGGGTCCTAATCTCGACTCTGGATTGAGAACATGGGGTAGCAAAGCCTACTTCACCACCCCAGAGTGTTGACCACGGCCTTCCCTCTCGATCAACGGCGCCAATCGCGAGCAAAGGGGAGTTTAAGAGTAAATAAGTCGCTCCGTAACTAAGGGAGGGCACAGTGGGGTTGATAGCATTGACATGGGGTGGAATGCGCAGCTTGCTGCGCATCTGAAGTTCGCCATGATGCCAGGGAAAGGTACCAGTTAGGAGGGACGTCATTGTTTGATAGTACGAAAGAAGAGCGTAGATCTCATAGTGAGGTATTATTGATCATTGATATTTATAGATGGAGAGACTCTCCTGGGGATTTTCATTGAGGCTAACAGAGCCGACTGCATTGGTCAGCAACCGGGTATCGACTTTTCGCCATTGTTTTGTGAGATTTCAATGACCGAATGGCATCATTGCCTCTTTCTTTCAACACCACATCTTAAAAGAGGGGGAGATGTTTGGTTGGTTTGTCTGCATCTGTGGCGGGAATCCAGAACATATCACGTGAATATAAGAACGAATGATCCTGTGACCAGTCCATCTCACCCAGAATACTAGGGCTTGTCATTTGAACTCGGGTGTTGTTAGTGGCCTAAATAGTGTTACGGGAAGCATCACCCTTTCCCGGAATTCATGAGTAAGCAACTTGCCTTGACAGCTTAGCCTTAGGCTATGACGCAGAACATGCCAGCGTACCTAAAAGCTCATGTGGGGGTGCATACTCTTCACGTGACTGACGAGAGTATTAATAAGACGTAATAGCTCGCAAGACCTTTTAAATATTGTCGCGTACATCTGAAATTCATTTTCCTCCATACTTTCTTTCCACTCCACAATATTTTCGAAAGACTTAAGCAGCTACAATGACTGGTATTTGAAAATTAGAACACACCTTAGGATGGGGCCGTGCGCCCGTCCTACCGCCTACCCTTTTTACTATGGTAAGCGGGACTGAGGCAACCGCGCGCGCGTAGTTGAATAGGATCACATATATATTCTGAAGCTTTTCAACTCTATACAATATGCCTAAATGTAGGGTGTTGTGATCTCAGGGGAAAGATGGGCAGGATGAGGCTGTATCAGCTACACGTACGTAGCCTACTGAGGACCGGATGCCATTCTGATAGGTGCTCAATTCTATGGACGACTATATCAACTATCTTGAGAGCTTCTTCTTCTCTTTTTCAACTACTAATGGGTGAAGCCTTCAGGGGCTGAAGGAGTGGGTGATCCGGCCAAGCCGCTAGGCGATCACGTGTCTCCTATAGATTCATATCACTCCCCTTCGTTCAATACCCCGAAACGAATGAAATGAAGCTATTATAGTTTCCTAAATAGGAAATAAAGCAAAAGCATAGAACTGATGTGTAGGGGTGTTGAATGCCTTTATCTTATTAGTCTGAGGATCTTGATGTTGTATCATAGAACCTTATTTTAACTCCAGCTGCAACATTCTGATTAACTGCTTTAAGCTATCAGCCTTAGTTGCCTTGGTCAGTCCATCTGCAGCCATTTCAGATGTAGGGACGTAGAATGGCTTGATATCGCCATGCTCGATGAAATCATGAATAGCATGATATTATACACAAATGTGCTTGCTGCATAGGTGGTTGACTGGATTGGATGCTAATGCTAAAGCACCTTGATTGTCAATTCCCAATCAGGTTGGTAAAGTGCTTTCGCTGATCCCTATGTTAGTTGGCTCTTTGGGACACTTCCGGATAGCTGCTAGGAAATATCTGATCCAGATAGCCTGCTTTGATGTCTCTGCAGCTGCGATATATTCTGCCTCAGTAGTAGACATAGCGGTGATAGGTTGCTTCCTGCTACACCAGCTAATCGGCCCGCCTGCCATCATGAATATATAAGCACTTGTTGAGTGATAGTTCGTGGTATTTCTGTATGATAAATCTGAATAGCCTACTAGCTCATTACTTCCCTTTGCGCTGTATATGATACCATAGATAATAGTTCCCTTAACATAGCACAATAGTTGTTTTGAAGCTCTGAGATGGACATCTCAGGGATCTGCAAGATACTAACTTAATCAGTTGACAGTAAACTGTATATCTGGTCTGGTATCACCAGCAAGATATATGAGTTGTCCGATAATCTTTCTAAACTTGCTATATAGATCACGGGTGAGCTTCCTAGATAATCTATTATCCAGATCAATACTAGGGCTAAGTGGAATAGCTTAGGGTATTAATTCAGTCATTCCAAATTCCTCTAGAATAGATTGTGTGTAGAATTCTTGGTCAAGTTGTATAGAGTTCTTGTTCCAGGTAATCTGTATTCCCAGTATCTTCTGTGCAAGTCCTAGATTCTTTATGGGATAAAAATGCTTTAACTAATCTTTTGTGGACTTAATGTCTCTAGTATCTTTACTAAAGATCAGGATATTATCCACATAGAGTGCTATAATAACCTCCTGGTCATTGATAAAGACTCCAGAATCTACTGTACTTTGTTGGAAACCAATAGATATAACAAATCTCTTGATCTTCTGGTTCCAGAGATAGGTGGATTGTCAGAGACTGTACAATAACTATAGGATCTTGTATACATTATTTGGATTATGGGAATTAGGACTAACTCCTTCTGGAATCTCTATATAGATCTGCTTATCAATTCTTGACCCAATATAGGTATTTGTTATATCAAGCAAATGTACTTTTAGACTATAGGTTACTACTAAAGCAAATAGGATTCAGAGACTTTCCAATCAGATAACTGGGATAAACATATCTTCATAGTCTAATCCTTCCTGTTAAGAAAAGCCTCGTGCCACTAGTCAAGCTTTAAATTAATTAATTTATCTATCAGCTAAATATTTGATATTAAAGACCCATTTAGTTAATATCATAGCTTGATCTTTATGTCTTTTGACATATCTCCAGGTTCTAAATTAAATTAGATTATTTAGCTCAAGCTTGATAGCTTCTTTCTATTTAGCTCTATAGATGGGATCATTAACTGCCTCTTTATAAGTCTTTAGAATGGGGATTATATGCCCATTAAGCTCCTCATTAGCTTTAGCCTTGAAAGTATCCTGATCACTAAGATAAAGCTCTAGTACTACAGCTAGATTAGCCACCTCATTAATACGCTACTGCTCTACAGTAAGCTGTGGAGAAGGATCCTTATCTGCCTCCCTCTCTTCTCTACAGCGCTGGGCTCATGGCTTTCGCCCATAGATAGCCTCTATCTGTTTCAACTCAATAACTGCCTGAGTAGGCTTCCGAATTCGGCTTGGTCAGTGTGTATCAGAGGTTTCAATTGATATCGGGAGTGGTGGTAATGATAATGGTGCAACTGGCCTTATTGGGCTTAGTTGAACAGGCAGGTCAGATCGGCTTATCAGTGATTCAATCTCTGGATACTGATTGGTTGAATCAGAATTCTGACCGCCTTCAGATCTAATTCTGCTGCTTTCAACTTCAGCTTCATTATCAATATCACGCTCATCAACAGCGCCTCCGGCGCTTGTGTTGACTACGCTATCAACGCTTCCATTTTTATTACTTGCACCATTTCCTGCGCTCTTAATAGGCGCTTTAATGATGCCTCCCCCAGTTCCTATACTAGGAACTCCTAAATCCCTTTGGAATACAGGTTTGTCCCTGATATCTTGAACTCCTGGTTCCTTACTAATGAAACCTCGCTTATTTTCCAGGAATATAGGATTTGTCACCCGGTAGATCTTCCAGTCTTTCTTTGCCATAACCAAATAATAGTTTCTGCTTGACTTATATCCTATAAATACTTTCTCAATAGCTTATAGTTCTATCTTATCATTGGTCTTTCTATAGAACCATACTCTAGAGAACGGAATTCAAAGCTTTAATATCTCTGGGGGATGATCTATCCATATCTCAAAGAGTGTTTTCTTGGTGCCTCGCACCCGGACTGTTCTATTTCTAAGGTAGATGGCCATTCTGATCGCGTACAGCCAATACTCCTTAGGAATATCTGTATCTATCAGGATCGCTTGTGTTATCTCTAGAAGATATCTATTTAATCTCTCAGCCACGCTGTTCTGCTGGGGCATATCAGGCTCTGTGAATTTAATTATAATGTCTTTTCTTAAGGTCTATAGCTCTATTACCTTGAATTCCTTTACATTATCAGTCTGAATGACAAGCAGTTTGACACCTTGCTCATGTTCTGTCTGGGCTAACTATTTCTCTAAGATAGCTCTCACTGTGGCAGTTTCCTGATCCTTTGTCAGATAGATCCACGAGAACTGTGTACAGTTATCAGTCAAGAAGAGATAATATCTTCACTTCTCATGAGTCTTTGCCTTACTATATAGATCCTAAAAATCTATATAGACTTGCTTTAAGGGCCTCAATACTCTAGGGACTGTCTGATAGTTCTGTTTCTTCACACTCTTTGCCTGTATATATGTCTTACAGGTCTTCAGTTCCTCTATTACTTCTTTCTCTAGCTTAAGTCCCATTCTTTTTACCATATACTTGAACCTGGCCTTTCCTGGATAGCCTAATTGTCAGTGAAGCAGTTCCCAATCTATCTGCTTTACAAGCCTTACAGATTCTCTTCCTGGCTTCTCAAGCCTTATGGCTAATGTATTCTTACTTCCTATCTAATCTAGATAGCTTATATAACTGATATTATACTCTCTTACTAGAATATCTTCTCTTCTCTTAAAGAATCAGTATTTCTTTCTTATATACTCATTTCAAATACCTGTATCCTGCAGTACTTAGGTCAATAGGAGAGTCTGTCTCATCCTAGGCATATATAATACATTCAAAATCTTTGCCACTTTTCTACTGCTCAATAGGATTCTCATCGTATCTCTGCTGGCGATTTCTATGGATTTTCTAGCTGTTTCTAAGCTGCCTCCATACCTCTGATCTAATGACTTAAATAGATCAATCTTGCTGCTGTAGGTGCTTGTCACTCTGCTATTAATAATAGGGTTATCGCTTTTCTTTACTTGGTAGGCTCTTTCATTGCTTTTCTCTCCAAGCAAGTGTTCAAATCAATTACTGATTTATTCTTTCAATTGAACTCAGTAGGCACTTTCAAACGCCCTATATGCCCTTTCTCTATAAACTCAGTAGGCACTATCACTGGCAGAACTCCTGCTGCCATCACTCAAGCTACTATTGGTATCAGATCCTTTATTTACTGTACAGGCCTTGCCTCTCTAGTGTTCTCTATAGCCTCTGCGGCCCTTATCTCTGGCCTTTTCTCTATAGCTTCTCTTTGGATCTCGGCGCTTTTGTCCATTTGTCTTATCTTGCTCCTTATCTCTCTTAGGAGCCTTGCAGTCTCTTGCAAAGTGGCCTATCTTGCCACAATTAAAGCATCCTTTTTGTTCAGCTCAGTTTGCAGCTTCATCAGCTATCTCTCTTGTACTAGTCCCTAGCTGTGACTCTTTCTACTACAGTCTTGATAGAATCAATCCTCGCTCAAGCTTGATATTGCTGAATAGAGAATCTCTTATAGTCCCATATTCCTCAGGTAATCTATTCAGAAATATAGTGAGTATTATCAGCTTATTAAAC